ACTGTACGTAAGTAAAAGAATTTGTGTGGGTGTATTTTTCTAATCTAATTTTCATTTTAGTTTGGCTGGAACTGTGACAGTTGAAGGATGGAATATCTGTCAAATTCTTCCCGCCTTAAACAGCTTTTGTTATCCGTTAACAAAACAGATTATATTTTATACTCACGCGTATTTACACTCTGAGCTCATAGCAAAACGAACAACTGTGTTATTCCGAAAATCAAATGAACCTGATATGCCTTTCACCTAAATAAACGGACGCATCATTATATAGGGCCACCGAGTCAGAATACCTCTTATGTGGAACAGAATTTGTGCCCAATAGGCCCCTGTGTAACGGTCTCCACTACAGAGACTCGAAATGAAAAACTGAAACATCCCACGTCTCCGTGGTGATGTTCAGTCTTCTTACAAAGTGTCAATCGACCCGACAGTGCCAAGTACATTTAATGGAAAACGTCTTAGCATTACAGATTCACCCGTGTAAATTTGTCGTGATGACGCATTAACCGTTACTCAGAAATTCTAATGGATAAGTGTTTGAAACGAAACAGACATTTTTGAAAGACAACCTCCTCGCTGTTAAATTCTCTTCTCTTTTATGCTAGTTCCTTTTTCTTATGGTGTATCCATCTCACAATAATCGGCTATCTAACTTGACACTGGTGGTAAAGTAACCATTTGTGAAGCCATTTATGGATCAAAATTGTTTTTCTTGAGAACCGTAGGAAGACATGGTCACTTAAAACAAAAATACCCGAAATCATCTACGAAAGGGTGTTAAATCTGTCTCACAGTCAAAAAGGTTTGACAGCAGTCCTTGAGAGAAGCCTTGCTTAGTCACTTAGTGATACCTTCTACGTGTTGATTTTCATTCTGTTTCTATAGTAGTTGTACTTAGCTTGTGAAAAAGTTGTCCTAATGCTAATGGCCAGGGAATCCAACCAGTCTGGATATCCATTCCTCTCAGGTATTGTGTGTCAGACTACATGTGGTCTGTCCCTGCTTGTCTTCGTTCTTTACTATCGAAATTAAATTGTCTCAAGTTAAGTCCCATATCAATGTCTCAGTGTTATTACATTTGTCTGAGAGATATGCCGCAATGGGTATTTTGACAGTGGACCATTGTAGGATGGCGATAAAGTATTACACATTTGAAACACGCATACCTTCATTAGCAAGTGGCCAGGACAAACCTTTGGCCAACTCAATACAATGTTTGCTCTGAGCAAAGGTTCCAAATAAATCTATGGAAAAGATTACCTTTTTTTGCAAAAGATCCACAGAAGTCTTGACATTAATCAGATTATTCTCCTCTCCCCGAAGCATAAAGTACTTTTTGCCAACATCATTGAGCAGAAATTCCCGTTATTCTGGCTGAAGTGATTGTGCCAAAATCTATTCCACTAAATGGACAAGAGTGGCAACCCCAAGTGTTCAAAGACCCAAAGGCGACAGCAAGACGGGCAAAGGCCAAGCCCTAGACAGGGAAAGTCATCAGCAAATTAAATCCTGCGATTCAAAAACAAGTTGTGCAGCAATGACCCTGCATTTGCTTTCTTTATCCATCAGCGATAATTTGTTTAGCCAAGCGACTGCACGTGCTTGGAATAAAAAGGCAATCAGAGACACTTCTTTATCTTGCGAGTGGCCTCTATGTTGCACGTAGGAATTTCATGACGGTTTAAACCTTGAATTTACCAGAACAACACTTTGTGTGTGTGTATACAATATCAAATCGCAAGCGACAGATTTGGAGGTTCAATGTTTAGGCAACATTCGTTGGGCACCCCTGACCACGATTTCTGAGCACATTACTGCGCAAGCGCTATGTGGAATCCGTGTATTATCTAAAAGTCATGCGCGTTGCACTATGGTAGCAAGAAGAATGATTCGCAGTAAAGTGTGCCACCAAGCGCCTGCCTCGAAGACGTCGCTTTTCGAATTCACAGTTTCGCTAGTCACCCAGCGCCCGAACAGGGCGCTAATAAGGGCTGATGACCTTGCACATCTTTTAGCAAAGGAAAACGTCACGGGGGCCCACAGATAACGACGCGTAGAGCATTGTGGGAAATTTCTGCCAGGCGTGTGCGAGCTCGCTCAATGCGTTACACAATCGATTATCGATTCTTATTTTTTTTTCTTCCTCATTGCTAAAAATATTCTCACTACACTTTATACGTTCATGCAGAATTGATCAAGATAACCACTGATTTGAAGTATATCGCCAAAAGCCACGTGATCAGTGACACCTGGTGAAATGATAAATTACCATTGTGCCAAAGCCATGTTTTTATCATATAGCCTAGGCGACACTTTACCCATGCCAAAGCACTTCCATTGGCAAACCGACTATTTGAAATAACGCTTCGCTAACTGGATTACCTCGCTCGCGGTCATAGGTCGTGCACAATGTAGCCAATCACAGTGCAAAGCAATCAGCCCTTCCCAGTGCCCTTTTCGGGCGCAAGGCGACAAGCGAAGTTCACAATCGCTATCTGCCATGCAGCTCATTCTCCGGTCTTTGTTGTCCACATCTGGTATCACACAAGCACACACACAGTGTTATAGTTTATCCGCATATCCTCCCCCACTTGTTTCGCATACGAATTGTGGACATTCCTTTGGTCTCCTGCGGTTCAGGTAACTTTGGAAAAATGCTACTTTTTCTCCCACTAGGATAATTCCTTAGAGCTGGATTTTTGAGTTTCCCGAACTGTTCCTCTTCATATTGCCCTAGATAGCTCTGACCCCAAAATGCCTCGTTCGGAGGGTAAAAACATTATGTGGACCTGTGCGTGTCCACACAACGCCATCGCACCCTACACTATGTATTGTGTATGCAACCCCCGCACAGCCATGCACGTGCGAAAAGTGGCGTTATAATAACAGCCTCTTGGTGGCGCTCTGTGCCACGAATCGCTCTTATTAAAGCCATCAATACATACGGGCTATAGTTAATGCCAGTGAAACCCGCTAAACCAAAAAGCAGTGAGGTACAGAATATTTACCCTTCTTGGCTGAAAAGAGACACAAGAAAACATAATGATACAATTATGTGAAAACGAAGGCATTTATCCAAGAATGGAGGCGACGTGGTACCCTTGAATTCATGAAGCTGTCATTCGGTGTCATATTCCTCGAGTTAATTCTTGAAACTGAGGTGCACAAATTAGTTTTACATAATGGACCGGGTGCTCTGCTGTGTGCCATACCAGACGAAAAATGAGAAGAGCTTGACATCGTAAATTCTCTCTACACTGTCCAACGCTCCATACCGACCGACGCGACGCCAGGCCGAGTCATAAATGTGATAAATCTGCACATTACAGTAATTCACGTCCACAAATCACTTTTAGTTAATGAGCGTTACAGTTGCCTGGAAAACTGTGTGGATCTTTTCAGGAGGGGACACAAAACACAAGACTGGTCATAGATAGTTAGATATATACTTCATGCCTTAATTAGTCAAATCGTAATATCTCGCCGGTATCCAAAGATTTTGCCAGTTCTTGCCAGCACCATAATATGTCCTGCCATTTTTTTAAAAATATGTTTTGTGGGTTTTCCAATTCTGCCACGACAGCATGCGTGCTCCACAGCGTCAGCATAATGGTGTATATAACTACATTTTAATTCCAAGGGTTCTTTAAGTAATCATAATCATAATCTAGGGTACTTTCATTGTTTGCAGCGCTCAGCCTGCCACCAGTTCACGTTAGCCGACATGTAAATGATGAGAATTTGAATGACTCGAGACATTGAAAAGATAGGACATAGAGATGCTAGAAATTGTCCTCTCCGTCCAGTTCTGTAAGTGTAAGTGTCCTCTAACAAAGACACCGGAAGCAAAATACTGTTTGCATCGCCGAAGAGACAAGCAAGTTGTTCAGGAAGGGAAAAGCGTCGAAATGCACGTGCCACTGTCTTTCCTCAACACGGAAAATTGCTTGAGGGACGCAAAAAACCGGTTGGTGACAGAGCATTGGCATATTTACCGAGTAGGATAAACAGTCATACCCGGGAAACTAAGGCTGGATAGAGACGAAGCATCAGTATTGATCTGACATGAATGAACGTCTTCCTCTCCTGTCAACATCAGGCTGTTTGCATTGTGAATACAAAATGGCCCGAGGGGAGAGGTTATCGAAGCATAGACATTGGACAAAAATAGCAGCACCCCAAATGCTGCATGGCGGAATTCATGCACAATTAGGGACTTTTTAATTATTAAAAAATGTTCACGCGAGCTTTGATTTGGTGATTAAGCGGGGCTTCACTGTGTGTAATTTCAACATCGGACGATGCATCTGCACTACAATTTTGGTACATAACAACGTGAGATACAGGCAGAACAAGGGAATCTATCGATTCTAGCACGAAAACCTCACAATTAAAATGAAAAATGAAAAACTATTTCTGTATTAAGCCTGAATCTACATAATTATAAAGTCTGTTTTCTTCGCTTGATAATTTTTCTTCCACATTGAAAAAAATAATAATGAATAAATTCCCTTTCTTTCTCCCCTCCATCCATAGCACTTACACTGCATTAGATGGCGTGCCATTAAACATTTTGATGTATGCCACTTTCTCTTCCCTTCCTTGAAATACGATACGGGTTGAAAGCTGACGACAAACATTTAGAGTGGAATAGCAAGACAACAACAATCTGCTGATGAAATTACTTAGGCCTGGAAGTGCAATTCCACCCACGACGTCGGCGAAACGGAAAAGGGAAACAACCGAAAGTACTTCTTCAGATTGTTTGTCCGAGCAAATGTTAAAAACAGCAGTGTTGAAAAAAAAGAGTCCTCGTGGTAGGCCTAGCCATTAGTTGAGCATACAGAAAATCAGATACACCATAACTTTCAGTGTGATTTCAATCAGACTTATTTCAAGTTTGAGTTTAGCTTTTGCATTTCAATCCTTAAGTGATTAGCCGCAATGCAATATATTGTGCTTGACAAGGTCAGGGCTGAGCAATGTACTCAAGGTGAACTGAACCTGTTACTATAAACAAACAAGTTTTGTCCTCTGGAAGAAGGTTTTTAATTCGATGATCGAACATGTTTCTACCGAATAGAATATCTGCTTGAAGGGGAAAAAACCAGTATACGTTAAGGATAAAAATAGCTTATCATAAGGTTAAGTGTTAGCGATTTTAGCATGACATTTTTAAGTCTTAAACATGTATAGATATATGAACGTTGTCTTGAAAACTCAGATACAAATAAGACACCAGTTATTCAGAGAACTCTACCGTGGTGAAATCACCTGTAGTACAGCAAATCTGGCATTTCAGGTACTTTCCTACCTGAATACGAGGCAGCATTTTCATAGTCAATTCGTTTGATCTCTTCAAGCCATTTGCCCAATGGCGCGCCGGATGTATCACGTCGGCGGCTGTAAACACGACACAGTCGAGGGGCTTCGGCAACTGTTTTTACTTTGTCTAGGGTCTTTTTACGGTCTAGGGGACGCGCCTCTTTGCAATTACCTGAAATTGGTTCGTCTATCCATAGAGCAAGGACTCTGAGCGCAGTCAACGAGACGGTCAGCCCGTCCTGAAAATCCCTCGAGACTGCCTATACAGGACATCATGACCGGACTTGGACAACTTACACACCAAGGCTACGCCAATTATTGGAACCATGTACTCATATTAATGTTTCTACATTGCATTGCATTTTGAGCATCCATGACCTTCATCGCACTGACTCAGTTCCAACGTGATATTGTCACATAGTTCCGATAACTTCTTATATTGCTATCCCATCTCATACCACATCCAAACCCCTACAAGCACCTATCAAATCAAGAACTTGAGCCCGAGACAAATATTCGACCACAGTACATGTATAACATTATTCAAACTCATACAAGACAGATATTGATTAAACCATAGTCAACCAATAATTCAACATCATACCACGCGTAGAAGCATCCTCAATGAATTTACTGTCACTCCACATTAGAGAAAGCACACAAGTTTTTGTAGTCTTTCATTCGAAAAGGCAGAAACTGACTGCCTCGTCGTATGTGACTATGCCATATGCGCCACAGTAGTACATTGTAATACAGAGTCTAAAAAAGTTAAATCTAACTTCACACGCACTAGAGTTGACTCAGACATCTTAAAAGTGCATAGTCCAGGTGTAAACTTGCGAAAGCAAACTAATCTACAAGGTTTGTTATTATTACCAATACAAAGCTACACTGAATATCCTAAGGCCAAGGGCTGCTCTGTGCGCTGTGGTCCAAGTTATCACACTTCGCCCGCAAGTTTATTCTCCTTGATAAATTTGTCACACACGGAATACCGCTGGCTTTGCATCAGGCAGTCCCGCGTCGATAACATCGCCGTCGCCAACCGTGCTTCTACCAACATCCCCCACCAGCAGAATCGCCGAGTCCATTCTACAGCCACCTACCAGCAAAGGTTATCCTTGACTGCAGCCGTCACTCGCCGGATAGAAACATCAGCGCGTGCGCCGACAAGCAAGGGTTAAACACATTTAGCCATAACTTCCACCGTTATGAGGGCGATCCACCCGGCTTTCATCGCGGCTTTCGACTGAATTTCTCCCTTAATAAGTCGGCGTGAGCTGCATGCTAAAGACTATACAAAGAAAGAGCACCGACGGAGCAAACAGAGAGGAGACCATCGCAGTGGCAATATCTGATGAAATGTGTTGGACACTAGGAACGGTTTTTGTGACGATATTCACGATTGCGGCAAACCAGGGAGCGCGAGCAGTGCCGGCCGCGTCGTGCGTAAACTACGCCCGGTATGGTGACTACAATCTCGGCGGAATCTTTTCAGTACACCTGGACTCGCGTACCTCGGAGGGGGATCGATGCAGTCCACAACTGTACCCTTTCATCATGTACGTGGTAGAGAGTATGGTTTTTGCCATCGATGAGATTAACAGCCGCACCGACATCTTGCCGAACGTGACGCTGGGATTCGACATCAGGGACGACTGTCTATCAGAAGATTTAGCTCTGTGGACGGCCATGTCTCTCATTCACGGTCCAGGGACACCGCTGTATGACCACCTCTGTCCTTCCAAGGATCCTAGTCCAAGTGGTGGAGTGATCGGCATCGTTGGGCCTGGCAGGAGCTCCATGAGTCTCACTGCCGCCTCTGTGGCTGATCTCTTCCAGGTACCGATGATATCCTACGCCGCCACCAGTGATGAGCTCAGCGATAAAGTGAAGTTTCCCTTCTTCCTTCGCTCAGTAGCTCCAGACCGGTTTCAGGTTGACGCCATCATTGATATCTTGGATCATTTCCGATGGGACTATATCAGCATTATATACTCCACCGACGAGTACGGCATTAACGGTGCCAGACTCCTGCAACAGAAAGCGGAGGAATACGGTATCTGCGTCTGGTTATCCGTATCAATCCGAGCCGCGTCCAGCGAGAGGGAGGTATCTGATGTCGTACAAAGGCTCAAGAAAAACACCAAGTCGAAAGTCACGGTTATGTTCGCCGTGTTTCAAGTGGCCAACGCCGTCCTTAGCGAGGGAAAGAGACTAGGACTGCCGAGTAACATGACCTGGATCGCCAGCGACGCCTGGGGTCACCGCTTGGCTAAATTCAATAACGAAGACATCGCGCTGGGCGGACTATTTATCGATTTAGAGAGCAACAGCGTTCCGATATTCGAGAAACACTTCAAGACCCTGACGCCTGATAATAATCGACAGAATCCTTGGTTTGACTCTTACTGGAAGTATCTGCTAAGCAAAACCAACTGCTCTCGAGTATCAGATGACAAGGAGCTACCGGAGTGTATCCTAGCATCTCATAAGACAGGCTTCAGTTCTAAAGCTATCGCTGCCGTCATGGATGCCGTTTACGCTTTAGCCTATGCCCTTGACTCTCTACTGGACGATGTCTGCTCTGGGATGATGATCCACAACTGCAGGCCTAGATTTAACGGAACTTTTTACCTAGATCATCTGAACGGCGTGAATTTTCAGGAGCACGGTGGGTGGTTTTTGTTCGAAGACAAGGGCGATCCGCCGGGCAATTATGAGATTAAGAACCTGCAACCAATCAATGGTGAGTATCGAATGGTACCAGTGGGGAAGTGGGACGCAATGAAAGGAACGACACGATTGACGATTAACGAATCTCGAATTTACTGGGCCGGAGGCCAGACAATGATCCCGGAATCGATCTGCCGGGAGAAGTGCGGTCCCGGATACATCCCAGTGCCTCTGTCCGAGGCGTGCTGCTGGGGTTGTCACCGATGCCGCGTGGACGCTATCGTGGTGAACGGTACGCAGTGCGAGAAGTGCCCCAAGCGCTTCTGGCCAGATGCAAACTACACCCGGTGTGAACATTATCCGGAGATTCCAGTTAGCACCAACGAACCCGTTATCCTCGTTGTCATCTTACTCTCCGGTGCAGGCATCATCCTTACCATCCTGGCTGTGATTGGAATGCTGGCCCACTGGCGGCATCCCCGCATTAAGGCCAGCAGCCGCGAGCTAAGTTACGTCAATCTAGCTGGTCTGATTCTCGCCTACTTGACCATCATTCCGCTTGTCGTCAGGCCAAGCAATCCATCCTGTTCCGTGGCACAGACTGTTATCTCCGTATGCCTGACCCTAACTTTTGCGCCCACTCTGCTGAAATGCAGTCGGATTTTCAGGATCTTTCGAGCTGGAAAGAGATCAACACAGCGTCCACGGTTCATCAGTCCAAAGGAACAGATTCTAATGGTGTCAATTATGGTCGGACTTCAGGTAGGTCTCACGATAGGTCTCATGATAGAAGCTGTACCTTCGTGTTAGCATCTTCATAAAATATCATGTAACAAATACGGCGGTTTGGTTTTTGACATGTCGCAATTCACTTACTTTTACACATTAACACAACAAGCAGCCAGACAGTTCTTTCAAAGGTAAACATGTCACTTAAGCTCATAGAAGAAATCAAAGAAATTAAATGCATACCTAACTCGAACAATACTGTACACGAGACACCACTAAAGGGACAAGCATAACATAAAAAGATAAACATATAAATTTAAAAGGATGAATGACCGAACTTTCACGCTTCCGTATTTCAGATAGTTTAACTTTCCGGTAGAGAGTGAACCGTGTGTGATTTTATTTCGGAACCAAAAAACTACAAAATGAACATCAAAGTGTGAGGCTTTATGTCAGTGTCTACAGTTGTAAGGAAGATGTGGATGTAAACGACTCTCCACCGATCCACGGTAACATAGCTCGCAAATCCAACCCATGCCGCAGCATGGTGTTTTCTGATTTATTCTTCATTAAACTCGATGTCAGTGTCATGTCCGTCCTTTGATATGTCGAGAATATTAATTTGCTATTCGTACCACTGGCGTCTTTTTAGAAAACCCATCAATCTTAATGTAAAATAGCAACTGGTACTGCTTTAATCGTGTTTTGTATACACACCCAGGTTACTCATGTAGAGAAGATGCACTTATACCATGCCATGACAAAATACGATTCATTTGACCTTCAATCCTAATTCACCTTTCTATGGAAATTAATTCAACCACGAGAATTGTGTTAATGTAAACTCTAATCATGATGGCCTGGGAGACTTTCAGCAGCAAAAATAGTTGCTGGTAATAGCTGAACTACACGTTTAAAGTATAAAGTAGTAAGCCTGGAATGACATATTACAGAACAGAGTTGGTCCAAATGAAAGATGTAATGGAGCAAACATTTTACATTATGTTAAATTACTGGACATAACATCATATCCCGTACAGGTTTTACAAGTTACATAAAACTTAATGGCATCAGTGGTCTTGGTATAACCAACAGATCAGCTATAGGCCGATCAATGCCTGCATTGGATTTACATTTCTTCGGGCGGTTATTGAAATGCACATTCAAGGAGTGGCCATGCGCTGCTTGGCTTTAACTGGCACACGATAGAATGTATCTTTCTCTTCAAAACAACTAAGAGACTAAAGGCGTAATCAAAAAGAGATATCCCAATAATCTAGTTAACTTTCAATTCGCTGTTTTCTGTTTGTATGGTTTTGGTTTGGCTAGTACATTTTGGGAAAAACAATTTTGGAAAAGAAGAACCTCGGTAAATAATCAGTTAACACAACACAGGTGCTGTCAAAATTTGATAAGTGATCAAACTGAGAATTGTGATGTCGTGCTCTTTTTGAATACAATATTGCGTTAACACAATGTACGTATATTCACCCCCAAGGCCATAGTATTTTGAGGGCAAAACAAGCGCAGTTCTTTCTCGTTACATACTCGTTATGGGAACATATTCGGCACGATCCCGGTGCAATGACACAGACATAATGAATGTCAGACGAGCTGTTCCTGAGGTTTGTGGAACAGCATGAGGTTCATTCTCACGCTGACGCAATTGTTGCTCGGTGAGCGAAGCAGTAATGCATGCTGCTAGATCTTCCCAGTCTCATGTTCTAGTGCTAGTCGAAATCCCAAGAGCATTCCGCCAAATCAAAATGACACTTCTTTCACAGGTCAGGATCGATGATCCATAGTAAAAAAAGGTATTCCTACAATTTAATCCCAGAAAAGAAGACATTTTTGGTATTTGAGTGGGTTGTTTTTGAGTGACTGTGCATCACATACGGAAAATGCAACGCTTTGGAATAACAATCCGTTTACATACCACAAATAAAGCCGAATACACGTTACTGTATGTTGATAAGTGTTTGGTACTTTCTGCTAATACATCATGTAACACTCATAGCAAGCAAATGAGAGATCACATTACTTGTAATGTACTGTCTCGATTGATAAATTGATGTTGCTATAGCACTATATACAGAGTAAAATTTTCATTCGATTGCATGATGCACCGACACGCATGGCCTCTTCTGAACAGCAGTGGCGCGAACTTTAATTTCATAAACAAATAACAGCCGAAAAATTCTAATGCAATTTGTCTCACAACGTGTTGAGAGACTTACACGCCTACGATTCGATGAAAAAGAAGATGTCATGCTTTTAATAACAGGTTAACCTGTGCCCGGAGTGATTCGACACATTGCCGGTATATCAATCACGTTCGTTTTGAAAAGAAGACTTTTACACTCTTCAAATGCAGAGCAACGAAATCTGTGTAACTTTTTCTTTTCAATGCTTCATAATAGTTGTTAGAGTTTTGATGCTGGAGGCATGAACTGTTGTTAATTTATTTCCCTGGTGGTTTTTTAATTGAATATTTTAATATTTTATTTATATTGCATGTAGATAGAATTAGAAGCTGAACAGAACTTCAGGACATGTCTAGATTACAGATTCTCGATGAATAACCGGTTTAGGCCTGCATGACAAGGCCCGATAGAAAACATATGTTCCCCTCCGTGCAGGCCGCGTATGCCACCTGCATTAACTGCGAACTCTGAAAGCCGATTTTTCACATGTCGCCCGGAAATCGGATGAAAGATAAAGCACACACTTGCCACTGCCGGGTAATGTGGATGCTCTTTAAAAATCCGGCTATGGAGCCACCTCACAAACCGATCAGTCAACTCTTCTGGCGCGAGCCATGAATGTGGGTATGGACGCATTGACATTTTGGCATTATTTCAAAGCCTTCGAAATGTGAGCAATAGGGAAGAGGAGTTGTCGGCAGACATAGGGGGGTGTTGCGGTTGAGATACAGTGTACTTGGCAAGTTGATGGATTCTGGAAATTCGTGGCGACAACTCTAAAATGAGGATAAATGAGGCCCACTATACTGTGGGCATACGTAGTCAATAATGAGCAGAATTCTGCAAGGCAAATTTTGTAGTGCTATGCACTGGGTCAAGATGAGTGGGCCAAATTGACCCAAAACATCGTAGATGTCAACCGAATCTGACTGGAAACTGACCCCAGCTACCAAAATTCGACCCTATCCGATAAAAATGAAGGTCAAACAGACACAAACCGGCTCAAAACCTGCGAGCCACCCCGAAACCTGGCTCGGACAACTCGTCTTCTCTTTTTTGGCCTGAACTCCTTGGTTTTGCATTATTGTAAATTATTGTTGAAACAAAATCATAGCAAGAGGTAGAACTCCAAACTTTTGCGAGGTATCCCGTTTTAGTCCCAGTTGGACTTTATAGAATTTAACGTGGGGGGCAAAAAAATCGCACCTTGGTCATGTCCGACACTGTGACCCTGCATTAAAAGATTGTCTCCTTTTAACTAGCCCCTATGGGCTGTAACCCCTCCCTTCAAATAGCTGTAATTTCTAAAAAGAGCAGTTGATCCGTTTAATAGACAAAATGTAAACAAAATGATAAGGCATTTCAGTCCTTAAAGTAACAAAAACAGGCCATTTGAAGCTGAAAACTGTCACAGTAACAAATTTCGTATATCACGAAAGCGTGACTTGCGCTGTAAGCCCGTAGATCAGTACACTGCGACGTCATGCTCAAAAAAGGTAATTACCAACAGCGCCTTTTACACTCTGTATTGCACGTATTACACAGAGTTGAAGCAGAATATTCAATTTATCGGAAAAATTACAGTCTGAGCTTCATCTCAATTAAAAGCTGCTCGCGGCAGGAAAAGTCTGGGGAAATAACTGCAAGACGCTTTAACTGATTTCTTCACCATGAACATTCATCAACATAAACGCAATACTGTCAAATCGCCCGATGGTATAGCCCGCCATTATAATTGTCGCTGTAATTTCCCAGCGTTTCTTCCCATTATGGCAACAAAATCCAGCCGCGAATACTGGATTGAAAATTTGACGGGCGTATTCCTATGGGTGATAATGTCTTTTGCCTAAAGCTCTTCACTGAGTGTGAAACTCTCCAGTTTCTGAGCCCGATTTTTCCCCCAAACGATTAACCCTTCAATGATTTATACAAATATATGCGGGTATAACAACTAGCTATTAAATTTTATGGGCTTCTGTACAATACACACGTTGAAAGAAATCATGAAGCGCCCTGAGCCCCATCCTAGTGAATAGGTGCGATTTAAAAAATAGCATTATTTTTTATCAGTTTCAGTTGTGGACATTTTTTCGCTGACCTTGTGCTTCAACATATAGTATGATTTGTGGTCCTCAAAACTGGACTTTCATCATAATGTCATATTTGCTGTACTTATTATGTCTGAGCTGTAACCCTGATATCGCTAACAAATGCAATTTCAACAGGGCATTTCGGCAAATATAGGTTCATTACCCGTTAGGGGTTGAAAATAAATCAAACAAGTTCGCCTAGGTCACAGGTCTCCTGAGTTATATTACAATGGTACCGTTTGAACTTTCATTAGAAATGAACAGGCAAAAACGTGTATTTTTCTCAATCTGTCTTGTGTCTGTAGACTGACAGTCGGTATTTAACCCTAAAGGACCAGGGGCGGAATCCGCCCCCCCCCTTCCACCATATTTTTACCGATTTCGTGGCAGTACATTTTTTCAAACAGAAGTCTTCAAGAGTTTTTAAAGTAATATCTGGTAGTCATTCTGACAACACGTTTGAGAAAATCGGACAAATTGTTCTCGTTTGGTGCCTATTTTACCGAGACAAGTCAGCCAAAATTGTATTTTTTTATATGAAAATTAACAACAAACTCAGATGTCAATTTGAGTTGAAACTTCACATTTGTTTCACCTTGTTTACTTCAATGAATTGTTCCTTACTAGGTTTTACAAAGTATTTTCTATTTTTTCATCTCACTGGTTCATCTGTAGCTCATTATCTCCTGCCTATCAGCTGTTCTGCCCGAGGAACTCTCCGGGGGAGTTGATATCTACACCTACAGTCCGTTCTTAGACGATTCAGGATCCCTTGCAGATGACAGCGATACAGCTGACAGCCATCCAACCGTGTCATTCACTCTCTATTGCAAGTTTGGACTAGGCTTCCTCGTCTCGTCCATCTACAATCTCCTTATCATCGTGGGCTGCTGCTACTACGCCTTTAGGGCCCGTCACGTGCCAGACAATTACAACGAGTCCAAGTTCATTGCGGTCAGCGTCTACTCAACCTTGGTGCTGTGTTTGGCCGTTGTACCGGTCTATCAGACCTCAGACGATATACATATGAAGATTGCCACGCTTAGCCTTGCTCTGGTCATCAATGCTTACGTCACTCTGGTCTGTCTGTACATGCCCAAGTTTTACATCATCTACGTCATCGAGAGGAAGTCGCAAGAGACAGACAGGACGCGGTCTGGAAGCAGCTTTAAAGATGGGAGAAGTAGCTTTGAAAGTAGTTTGCGAAATAGCCTCCGCACAACGCAACATCACGCGCCAGTCAACACAAGTGTTGAGCTTCTTCGCTCAAGAGGACAAGACTTGTAGCCATTTTATAATTTTTTTCACCATATCTCGTACAACAGCAGCAAAGGGAAACCTTATACGCTGTGAATGTATCTGATTTTGAGATGCCTGGATATGTAGCTCTTTTGTTTACGACCTCTACAACGAATCGACTCCACAAAAGCACCTTCATCAAAGCGCCTATTCATGGGCGTGTTGTATGGCACACGCGTTGCTTCATGCGTAAAAAAGAATTAAGAATTGGTGTTAATATGTAAATGAAGGAGCTTCTCGTTCTTTTTAACTAAAGCACCACTGCTTTGCTCTCAATTTATTGCGAGTTATCTAAAGTCTGATAGGGTTCCAAGGGTGCCCTACGACAAGTCAGCTACGATGCTAAAACAATGTGACAAATTAACAATGCTATGACTAGGGAATGCTATCGTTAGTGAAAAATATGCATTTAATGTGAAGAGGTCTGTTTCTTTCTTATGATTCTGGGCATAAGATTAAATGTAGATAGAAATTGGTTACCCAAGCCTGACATTGTCACACAAGATCTACCCTAGACAAGATCATTATAAGAACACAAACATCTTACTCCAAGAAGTATTCTCATTTACAGAAATGTCATTTTGATGACTTGATTTTCGGAATATCTTGACATATAAATTTATCATCCTGTAAAATATTTTGGTAACATTTTGAGCATCAAAATAAGACAAGTAGCAGATAAAAATCATACGTATAGGAATCATTGCGAAATGTCTTCAGCTGAAAGTAATTTTCGAGATATCTGGCGCTGTTATCTCTTCATTGAAATGCCGGCTTGGTAGAGTAGCATTAATAGGTTGACTGTTTCCCGCCGGTAGGACAGATGTTTACCCTAGCATGCCGTACAAATACGCAGCATGTCAGTAAACTGGGCTGGTTAAATACATCAGCGTCCACACTGCAGCCGTAATGGTTTCTCTAGCCCAAATATGTTAGGAGTTGCAACCGGCACTTGGAGCCTGGAAGCCAAGACGCCTGGGGCAGCTGCGCAGCTGCTTGGGGAAGAGGCAGGTGTGTTCACCCCGCCTTGGAATGGTGAAAATGAATCGGAACATTAGCGGAGACACAGTAAGCACGCCGAGATATGCCAGCCTGACGCGCGCTAATCTAGACTCGGCCAGCACATTGCATAAACATGTTTTCTAGCAAGTGAGTTAGAGCAAATCCACGACTCACTATATGGTGACTGCAAGCAAGCAATATCACCTCAATCGGTTGTGAGATTTAGATTTCTGAAGAATTTGGTGATGGCATAAATCAGAATACGTAACATCAGTAGGTCAATACTCCAAGCACGCAAATTTTCCCACTAGTGACACTAGACTGCTTCAAGAATGCATGAATATTTTATTCGATTTCCCATCCGTCTTACATTTTTACTGTGAAAATACCCAATAGAAAAATAACCTAACGCAGACACTATTAAGCTGTTGACAATAATATGTTGAAACCTGGTCACTCTAATCGCTAGAAACGATAGATTACACAGTTAACGGCAATTTAAAGTGTAACTTGACAGTCGACGACTGCTTGATAACCAGTTGAGTATGCGCAAGAGATGCCCACAAACGGTAATCCGAACGCTCAGATTACTAGTCTTGACCGTTCGAACCAATATTCATGACCCGATCTTTCATAATTCAAGGCAAACATCCTTAGCCTTGGGGGTGACTTGTTACCCCGATCCTCTCCAATACTCGTTCCGATTCTGTGTCAAAAAGAAACAAAAAACGAACGGAATTGACCCGCCTGAAAAGGCTGGTCGGGCCTTATTGTCATCGACATCTGCCCTTTTCCCAGCCGTAACCTTTCTGTCCGTCTTATGATAAAATAATAACGAGGGAACGGCGAGTAGCAAAGGCTTGTCTACTCTTCAAAGGTTTGATGACTAGTGGAAGGGCGCAAATACGAAGAGCGCAAACCTTGACAGGAAGAGCACGGGGAAACGATGCATTGGTCCCGCGTCTGTGATGATTTTTAAGTGGTCAAGATCACTCTCGTGAATTCGATTTGCGTTGTACGTAAGGGAAGTTGTCACTCAGTCTTCGGTCTTTTGCATTTCGAAAGGACTTGACAGCTTGTACAAATCCTGCAGATCTTTTAGTCGGGTTGGAGATCAATAAATCAGAAATATAGAGTTCATAACTACTTTAGAGCTGGTGTTTGTATTTCTGAGGAGGCGCAATGGTACATTTGGTATCTGTGTTAATACCGTTCCTTGAGCTAAATAAAAATACCTATGTCTTAAAATGAAAAATGTTCTGCAAAATACATGTAAAATCTTAATTTCACTGATCAGCCGCCTTTACCACAATAGAACATTCGTTAACATAATTCAAATATCCAATGGCAACTTGTTCTCACTTCCCTCAACATCTAATAAGAGTTGGAGAGAACCGCGTTCCCCGCGGAGTGTAATTTAAACGCCTTTGGAGGACATATAGCAATTTGTCCTTCACACCGACTGCCCGCAAGGAGAATCGTGCTTCTTGGATATTTCTCAGTCTTTACTTTGATCACGTTTTTCGCCAAATGGGCCCAGAGAAAAATCCTTGTATTTTCTTCCTACATTTTCAATACCTAATTCGTCTTACTCTTAACGAAATACTGGCGACCATTTGACATTGTTGAATGTTTAATCAGCCGTTAAAATGTGGAATGCAGAATCAGGGTAGGTTATAATCAAACGTGGGAACTGCGTTTATATATGCAACTTCTGAATGTAGGACTTTGCTGAATATTCTGCTTTCTATGCAAAAATTGCCATGAAATTAGCAGGTGTTTCAAAGATTTTGTAACCAAAATCCACCTTTTGTAACCAGCTAGAGAAGAAAAAGAAAACTAAGATTTTTCTTAAAGGTCCATTTTAAAGATGTTTTCTTCAGCAGACGTAAATTAACCTGTGCTCGCGGGAAAGTGTGTACAACAGGTGAATCCCAGTTCCCATCTCTTTTTTGGAGGTAACTTTGGTGGATTTATTGGCGGTGGTTGTATTTCTGTTAGATTTTACCCAGAACAAACCAGAAAAGTGAGAACACAGGCTGACAAGCTTGGTCGCAGTGAAAAGACAGATGATAAAATGCTAACCATAGGCTTGGGGTTTCGTATCTCCTTGATTAAGTCTGCCTGTCTGGAGCCAGCTAAAATGACACACATCAATCGTTGGCAACGAAGCAACCGGTTACAAGTCAGAAGACACTGAGCACGTTGGGATAGGCTACACTGTCAGCTGGTCATGTATAACATAGCTTGATGACAGGCTACAAATAGCAACATGACCGTAAGCAATCAAAATATCCATGTGTTTAATACAAGTAATGAGGGAGAGACAGAAGTCACCTGAAAACTTAGAAAAGCTTTGCAGTAAAAGACAATTTTAGACTTCTTACACACTACATTAATATTGATTTGGTAGGGTGCTTTCAAAGAATTTACAAGAAAAAAATTTCCGTTGTTGATGCAGGTCAACCACTGTCATGAGGACGGATCGATAACAGCACACTCAATTCCTTCATCCATCGGCCAACTCCGATGGACAACATTTGTCATCTCCATCGTCCACCGAGGCTGAACTGACAGACAAGAGACGGACACCAAGACAAGAGAACTCACTCACAAGGCAAACCTTAGCTGTCACCCGTTAATGTGACAGCCCAACACTTGCTCAGTAATAATAAAAAGGGTGGCTGGCAAATTAAATGCACACCAAACTGTCACCGTTGAAGGAGCCTGGGTGGATGACATTACCCGCAGTTCTCAGACTGAAATTCTATCATGATAAACAGCAACTATAACTGAAGGGGCCCCCAGTTGACAAGGCACGAACTAAGAAGTCGGTCCTTGGTGTTCAAACAACCGTTTTAAGTTCAAAGATGAGGTTAGCAAGCAAAATAAAAAAGAGGTCAACACGAGCACCTTAACGCACATTTTGAAAATATAACACTAAATATGAAAGAAAATAGTGTGATTTCTCGGAGGAAATCAATGACCGATTAGAAAGAGAGTTGTTGAATTGAATTCCAAGCCATGTTCTTGCATTACCTTGTATTAGTGTTTCACACATTTCACTTTATATCAGCGCTGCCCTTCATTGACAAATGAAAAGAAAGTGTATAGGCTTTGAAATTTGAGAAGAATGTCGATTCCCGGGGTTGAGATCTGACCATGGGGCAGGTGCTTCTCTAATTGCCGGAACATCATCCCAAAGAGTCATACATTGTACAGACGGGACAACCAGGCCCGGACAGATATCATCCGACACCGGCCAATAAAAGGCCAGGAATACGCTAGGCATTACTTACGCCCCGTAGTTCACGCGTCCGCTGGGATCGCTCTTGTCTCCTTGTATACATCTTGTAAACGATTACCTGCGCGTATACGTGCTAATTCTAACTACTTTTCATCGGCCTCGTCCCCAGGGTAGGAATTGATAGCCGCTCAACCCCTCGGCAATTTGTAGGTTTCTTTTATACAATTCATGTTGATTAACACGGCTATACCACTCGCCACATTACTGAAGTCTCCAGTAGTTCAATTATAGTGACTCTCATTAAGCAAACCAAAATGTTGCAGCGGCTAAGTACAGTGTATTTCAACACTTCACACATCAACTCGTAACAAGTTTGAATTCCTTGCGAAGTCCCAGCACAGGTCTTGACATTTCTGTAATTTCGTTTCTAAAGACCACTATCGGCAAAGACTGCTGACGCAGGAGTTCGCTTAGCGAGATCGAATACATGGGGAAAAATATATTTCCCATTGGACTGCGCCACCCAAGGACATCATCCGGCCGGCGAATTCCAAGACATTTCGACGTCAGTTCGAAATATCCTTTTGTAATTAGTACTGGGTTGGTGACGTTACGCATGGCCACAGAAAGTGAAGTCAGACCGTCACCTGAGCTGCCTGTAGGGGATATGCGTTGACAATGACGGAGTCGATGATCGAACAACAAAAAGTCCAAGAATACGACGGACAATATTTTCCACTCACAATCGGAAACGTGAGCTTGATATACACTGTATAATGAAGCACAATATGTCTACGTTTACAGCTTCCGGGATATTACAGTAATCACTGCCATTTTGACGTTTTAATTCCATTTATCTTTTAGTCGTGATTTACTCTTCACTCACCTTGATAAATTCCAGTAGTAACATACAGGACTGGGAGAACAATGAAAGCAGCACGATTACGGTAATCCCGATGGGATTACAGAGATTTGGATATTTTGCAAGACATTTGAGTAATTACAATAGTTACAATGATCATTAAATGTGAATGATATCAAAATAGAAAATGTAAATTTTACAAAACAGGGAACTAGCTGAAATAATTCTTTACTCTATTCACATTAAATCAAAATAAAATTACAATTTACACAAAATAAAAACGAATTATTATTCATTCAACCGTATATGTTCGATATTTTCCTTAGTGCATGCATTGTTAAGAAGTGTTTCCTTTGTGAGGGCAATGTTTCTACGTTATTTGATTTCATTCATCTTGTACAACCCTTTGGGCTACACTATCAATGCACCTTGCTGACAGGTCCAGGAAGCTGCAGTTGATGTTTACAGCCATCGTCCCTGCCAAGAATTACAGATGTGAAAGTGCAGAAACACCATTTGGCAGCCACTTAAACTCTTGGTGGCAGCAGACACAAGATTCCTACTTCTGTTGAAGTTTATTCTTAGAATTATGCTTTGTTGTAAATAGTAGCTGGCGTAATTAACATATGATACAAGTGCGCCACAGATTTTACGGGAAAAGGCTAAGGTTCCCACTGAAGCACTTATGCAACCATTCAAAACTTAATAAAAAAAAAGAAGGCAAGGTTTCTGAAGACAGCAGTGATCGCTACACTGAGCCATGACTTGGACGATGTTGCTCGTTAAGAGGTAATGGGGTTGATGCAAGCAGTATCAATGATGATCCCTATTAAAGAATCTCTTTAATGTTAGGCGTTGACAGCACGTGTCGAGAAAGGCTCGAACGCTCATCTGCACTTTATCATCGAAGATACAAAAAGTGTATCTTGTGGTTCGACTTCCTGTGTTCGAGTTCACAAACGATCTGCGCGGAGTGGAAAGTTGCCGACAAAAAATGTGGGCCGCCAATGTGGAGGTGCGAAATGCAATATCGAGACAATACTTTAAACACGTCTCCAAAATAGACTCTTAAATTCCTGCTTCCCTTCAGATCCTGAGAGACACAACGGACAAGAGATGTATGTTGCCAAGACGATGGTTGCAGTCTTAAGGGAAGAGGATGATTGCCGCAGGGACAGAAATATATAGAAAAGGCAAATGATATTGCGGGAAGTAATGTGCGGGGACTTGCACTGTAATATTTAATGAAAGGAGACCTTTTACTGCCACATTATTGCCACACATGATGTCACAAAAAATCAAGACAGGCCAACCATGCCTGCATGATGAACCACACGATGAATGGGCTCGTTCACGTGGTTTTAGACAATCAATTTAACAGATGAATTGTTTTTTGCTGCTTCACAGATTTGACATCATTAGAACAGCTGCAACATTCCCAGGTACCCTACGTGGACACAGTGATGGTGATATTTTCAGAGAATCCTTGATTCGTTTTTGCCTCCAAGGAGGTGCACATGCATGGTACCAATATACCTTCGATCGATGGAATCAACTCAATCCCACAGAGGGTACAAAGTGTAACGTAAACAGACATTCCGTGGCTTGCTGTAGGTGCTGTTGGTGTGATATCTTTGCCTTTGCAATATTCTTTGGTATTAAACGGAAGTGCAGATCGGTCCAATGCCCTGCCAAAGGGTTTGGTACTTGTCGGTACTTAGGACTACATTTTTATTTATTAAAGTTTTACCAATCAAGCTTTCTGGGTGAAAGCGAATAACCTTATGAGCAAATAACAATTCATGGAGCACAAGCATGTAGTCCCTCAGTAATAACAATGTGGGCAACATATGTAAAAATCTGCCGAAGACTCATAAAAGCTGACCTGCCACTGCGAGCCAACATCCAGCGAGGCTTCTTCATTGACACTGCACTTATGGCAAGGGTCGCAAGGGTGCAATTTCATCCTGACAGTCGGTAGGCAAAGCTGGGTTAATTGTGTTTGGACGACAACTTGTACCGAAACATCCACGGGGGATTGTATTCAGCATTTCTAAGTTTCCTCAGCGAACACATAGATTCATTTGAATTGCTCACTTTGTTATCCTTCATATTAAAAAGGCAAATTTCGTTTAGCAAAATTAAACTTGATACTCATAGAGAATTCATGACTGTCTACCTGTACAGGAACATAATGTTTTCAAATGAGAAAGTTTGAAAAACTAGGCTATTTTAAAGAGGGTTTAATGCACTAAACTGGCGCAACTACAGAAAAGCTTGTACTTTCTCTTCGATTTGTAAGGTATTTTTCTTTCCTGCAGTTGTTGCGAAATCAATGATCCGAGGTCTGGGCTAAAACCTCAAAAGGCGTCCTGGAGATAACAATGTCGCGGGAGCTTCATTCCTTCCCTATATACGATGGTGCTGAATAACCTAGGGACTGATGCGCAGCATTCTCTTCGATTCAAAGCCTTACACTCCATCTCGCCGCACGTGACCAAGTCGAGCTTTGATTGATTTTCTGTGAACCTGAACATGCACTGTCGCCGAAGGGTTATGTCATTCTTTTTTTGGGGGGGACAAGATCCGATTTTGTTAAAGAAGACATAGTCATACAAAATGACAACGAATGATGTCTGGGCAGAAAGTGTTAAGCACTTGATTGAGTTGGAAATAGAACCACCAACAGACCGATAGCGCCTGCTAAGTGACATGACCTATAGTGGGTATAAAATTTCAACAAACACGCGTGCGGTGCCCACCAAATAGCAAAGTGTTTCTTAAGTATCATTAACCAAAAATAAAGCCGACGGTGGGTACCGTACTCAGACTACTGATGTACTGGGTACTAAACCGTCATTTGGCTGTAATGTTTGTAAATAAAACTCGAAACACACTTGCTATGAGGTTAATACCCACTACAGGTCTGGTGATTTATCGGGCGCAATCCGTCTTTTACTATGGTAATGACGGACAGGTGACAAGAGCTGACACGGATCTGGAATGGTGCGGCACTAATCAAGCAGTAGGTCATGAAACTCAACAATTGACTTGAATTTTAGACACCAATGCTCAATTTAAAACTTCATTTAACTTCATTCAAATGATACAGTCAGGCGAGTGGGCAATGCCAACGTGCCAACAGGCACAGCTAGCAATTAACGTGAAAGTGTGTTGCGTACGTGATGGCTGCGCAGCTCATGCACCAATTTGACGCTACGTACGTGACGGAGTCCGTTGGCGTGTGATCACAGAAATCCGGCAAGGGCGAAGAAGTGGGTTCAAATCAAATTATCACTCACAAAACCTCTGGGACCCAAAGGCACACCAATGACGGAAAAAACATGTGCCGAAGCAATCATGACAATGTGACAGCAACATGAAATGACGCGTATTGGGAGATCTCTTTTGAACTGGACAATCAAACTGGTCTGACATGTTGTGCTTGGAGGCAATGGAAATTTGAAATAATAAGCATAGCTGCAGAGACCTACCAAGCTTGGACAAGACAGTTATTATACACGATATGGCCAAAAACACTAGAACCAAAAGGCTTCAAGGTCACCTCATGTAACCTTATGGGCGAACTGCAACAGGTCAAGCCTGTGAAAATCATTACAAGTTTCTCGGTACTAAAATTCAAGTTGATATTCAGTTCGACCTCAAAGCAATAGAAACTGTGCAAGACGCCCATTGGCAAGCAAACCCAGGCACAGGCTAGCCGGGTATCACTTCGCTAGAGGTGAGTCCACGACCCATGTGGCCATGATGTCTATATCAACACATCACAAGTTCAACTCGATGCAGCACCATTTGTCAGTCCAAACTCGATCGCTGTGTGTCTTAAAATCCTTAACTGGACCCAACACATTCATAACTCCGATTCACTTTCTTGCCTTTTCGCAAAGAATTCTTCTGGTTAATGGCATAATGTGGGGCTAGTTGATAGATGGCTTACAGTAAAAACCTTATTATCAAGGGCCTTAAGAAGTAAATCTTTTGCGTAAGGATCCAATTTCTCCAATCGCGGACAATTTACAGCCAATTTGAGGCTGCCAAACACGTAGCACTACATCTCCTGAACTATACTGCCTGCCAAGTCCCAGTCACCCTGTACATTCTCACAATATGTTAAAACTGACTGTATTTGCCATTTTCTGATCATAGTAATTTTGATAAGACAAATACTCCATTTGCCTGATAACTCATCCAAGTCCCTCGTTGTATAAAGTGCCATCTCTCTTTTGGGATATATCAATCATTATTGATGTAACCCACACAAGGAAGATTGGTAAATCATCTTTCCAGATAATGAGTCAATTTGTTACTGACAACATTAAACTAGAAATGACACATAACGGACGCCAGTGTCCAAATCGACAGAAAAAATGTTTTTCTTCATGCCAACCGTCTAGGTCAATTATTACTCAGTGGCCGCATTTTGACCGTTGGTTGCCCCGTGCAGGCTGTGATGTCTCTAATGGTTACGGCTCGTCCGTTGTGTAGCGCATTCTATCTGATGAGCCACACCGACACATCGAGTTAAGGTGGAGAGAATGCAGAAGAAAATTGCACATCTTCTAAGATCCAAGATGAAGAAGGTAGCGTTTGCTGTCATCTTCTCTAGCCGTCCCTCGCTAATACCTGGTTCTCTTCTTTCTCCAAGTCTATTAGTCTACACACGGACACATACATGTAGATTGCCTTAGCTGTCATATGACAAAATATTGTCTACACTTCGCTCATCCAATTACCGGTGAATAAAGCGGAAAAACAAGAGAGCAACAAATTGCCACCTTTTACCAAGGATTAGCCTGGGAAATGAAAAGGGTAATCCCCTACGCTTGCTTTGAAACCTCAATTCCTACTGGAAATCACTGATCAACTACGCTTAGACTAAGGAGAGCGATATATGATAGTTCTTGGAAAATACATGTACTTCGAATAAACAACTTGGCCAAAGTCCCAGGTTGAACAATGAAGAGATAGGCAGCATATTTTTAGCAAAGAGCCGAATTTTTGTTGGAGCACAAAATAACCAAGATGAACTTAACTCATAGTCGTTAAATTTAAGACAAAGCCCGCACCCCTTGGTAGGTGATTTTCATTTTTTTAATTCAAAGACTGAACAGTCTGGGTTTATCTGTTCCTTGAAGAGGCTGCCACGACTAGCCCTGACTGTTTAAAGATAAAGAGTACATGTATGAAAACAATTTGGAGGAGACAGGGTGCTACAGCCCAACAAATTCAGTGGTTAGGGTTCGTTTTCAGCTTATCAAAGACAGGCTTAGATGACTGGTTAGTGAAATTCATTCAGAGGTTGTCTCTGTTGGCGAACTTGTCTCTCAATCCGAATGTGATAAAGATCAAAGCAAGTCAACCCAAGTCACATATTTGCAACCTTATTTCCTTGGACCAGTACAGTGAACTCCACTGTAGCCTATCTCCAAGCACAGACAATTTCTCACCAATCTATTTTAACCAACATTTCATGGAAAAAAGTCGAGCATTTATAGGAAGAAAATGAGTATGATCGGTAACTCGAGCCGAGGACGAGTCCTTCCTGTGTTACGCGCTTTTCAGCTATTAACAGGAAGTGCCTACTTTGTCTTCCCGCACTTAACGGAAGTGTGCCTCCTCTTGTGGGCATGTATCTAGAGCCTATGACCCACGTCTCACGTAATCCATGATGATTCCATACACGTGCTTAGATGTGAGCAGAATTTAACTGTCTAAAAGCTTTCGGCGAAACCGCTAGCCATTCCCCGCCTTTCAACGATTAGACTTTAATTCTGGGCTTTGCGGCGGCTAAAATGGTATCGTTCCGTCCTTTGTCGTCTCTCAGGGGTCTGGTAACCGGGGCAAAATTGAGACTGCTGATCCAGGAAATCGTGTGACGCAAAGCCACTGGTCCGACTCCGAGGCTCGTTCGCTAAATGTACAGCAGTCGTTCTGTCGTCCGTACAAAGTAAGTTTCAAGTCGAAAACAACTCACCACTGACAAAACTCTCTGTATATTCTACAGATTCCAAACGAATTTCAAAACCTTTTGTCGAATAGGGCCCACTATAAAAAGTTTCCATTGCTTGAATTTGTAGGGCTATATCCTCATTTTGAGACAATTTTTAAAATGACCCAAAAAATGTTTAAGTATTTTCCCACGATATTGATGTCAAACAGATTAAAGATCACAGACATTTTACTGCAAGTAAACGAAATTTAACCTTAACCAGAACTTAAAGCTTCGGCTTTGTCAACAATTGAAGCAATTCAAAACTGACTGACTAAATAATTGCCAGACAGAATGCACTGTGTGTTCAAGTCATGGGCAATATTTCTAATTTAAAAACAGAAAACGAATTAATTGTTTCTCTGTGCAAACCAATTTTGCGCAAGTAAATCTGTAATACTTTCATTAAGGTTTGCCACAAGAAACCCCCTTCACTTTAAGGTGCCTATCTAAGTTTCTGAGGAAGCAACAAGGCGTTAAGTGTGGCACTTGGCTCTGAGGAATGTCGCACGAGGCATCTCATCGTCGCCGGTGCAATCTTCCGCTCACACTGAAGAGTCCCAAGGCAACCACAAAAAAACGACTTCAACTGTTATTTCATTCAGCATCGATCAAATCTGAAAAAAAAAGATTTGTAGTCAGGCTATTATTTGATTGAAGGCTAAATAAGAAATGTGTTTACCGAATTTTCTACTTTGGAATGTGACGCAGATGTGTCAATTTAAATGGAGCCCTAAAAATCCACATACACTTGTTTCTTTAAATTTAAGAGCTTTTACAATCGGCATTGCTCTGATAAAATTTGAAGTTTAAGTTGAAGATTACAATAGCAGTGTTTGTTTTCAGGTGACTGTATGAAAGTCAACTGTAAAAAATGGCTGTAGCCTACGGGAAAAGTAAGTACATGTAAACTTGGATTTGTCTAAAAGAAAAAACTCCGAGGGAATCGATGCTAAATTGCAAATATTCCTTCAAGCTTTCCCTCCAAAAATGTCGTAAACAGAGACGGAGTCCGACTTGTGGTAAGTTGAACAACCTGCTCCAAGCTTTTGTATGCTATGAATGTCATTCGATCTCTTATCCCGATTATGTTAAGCAACATGGCAGGTATCCAGACTGACAACTACTGGTAGATTGTCTTTCAGAATTCCTGCCTGAGATATTGAGATGCAATGAAAAACACAAAGCTGACTTGATTTCTGTTGAATTCGACCGTGCACATTGCAGGCTGTATCAATGGAACATGATGCGCACGTCGCTAACAGAATTCGATCAGGAGGAAAGTGCAATCCCAGGTAACTCGCGTTTTCGCACGTCCAATTTGCAAAGAGGAAAGGAAACGTCGGCGTTACATTCATACCTTTCTGGTATTTGGCGTCCGAAATTTAAGATTGGCTTTAGTAACGACGCGACTAATCCTAACGAATACGGCACATTGATATGGCTAATGATGAAAGGTTAGGGGATTCCCCCTCCCTTCAATCTGATATCGAAATACACAGGGTTACTTGATATGTCACCGTCTTATGGAAGTCTTGGCTGATGAACTCGATTATATACAAACCTCTACAACTCCATATCCAACTCCTTACCTTCTGCCATTTTATGTTTTCTTACTTATTCTTGATTGTATGTATAGATACATGTATACGTTTTATTATTATTTTTTTATTTTTGTATGTCTTTGTGATATTTGCATATTTGCTTATATTTGGATTTGTCTCGGGAACTGAATGCCTGTGGGAAACAACAGAAACTCTACCCCCAACGGCGCTGTGTAAAAACTCCAGCCATCTTTTATGAGTTGGGTAAGATATCTGTTTGGTTAGCTACTGCCAAATTACTGGACACCAGCCGTCACTAGTAGCAATAATGTTTCGATTTCAAACAATTGTTGGCGGGCAGATCTGGTTCACGCTACCAAGAGAAATAAAGACAATTAGCCCTTGATAAGATTGCATAGACACGGCAAGAGAATGAAAAAAATGGCAACAGCTTCAGAGCACTGTCATAGCAGCTGAAGTCAAACAAAGAGCAATCGAGAGAAAAGTACACGTGAACAGATGTTAGTGAAAGATCCACAGGTAAAGTATGACCCTACTACCACACAGCCACTGATTCCAAGAAGGAAGGAGCAACTTGAAGTAATTAAGTGGAGGAAGTTATTGATGACCTCAACAAATCCATGCTGATGGGCCAAAGTTCAAGTGACGTATCCAGCGGGGTTCAAACAGAAGACATCTGAGATACAAGTAAGTTGAGGGAATGTTGCTACACTATTCTAACAGGCCATAAATATCCTTGGCACACGTATGCTAGATCAGTGTGGCATGGGCAATAAATTAAAGACATTACAACAACAAAATGGTCAAAAGAACCTGTACAATGTTACAAATGGGTACCCATGCCCGAATGATATTGAGTCACACAAGAACGTACCACTATAAAATCACATAAGGCTTCTCACATCATTTGGTTTTATTTCATATATGAACTGTTGAAGGACAACATGTACACATTCTCAGCAATACAAATTATTAGTTCCTGCAGGCTAATGGTAGAATGTTACTATCCTTAAAGTAAAGCACGCAGAAAGTAATCATTTTGGTAAATAGCTGTACATTCAAGAAAATGTCAGCTACAATTCATAACAAAATACAATATTAATCCAGAAAAATGTTGCTATTTACAGTTAAGCAAAACGTGCAGCCTTTTAACTAAAGATCAATGACTTTTGAATATACTTTTGTTCTACGTCAGTAATAACCCATTGGTGCACAAGGGGAGGCTGAATGCCAAATTCGTCTCCAGGTATCTTTAAGCCACGGCAGTGTGAATCATACGTTCATTGGCACCAGCAACAGTCTGAGAAAAAAACAACAAGAGTTCGTCTTTTTAATATGCACTTCTCACTTGCCCAATAAAGGTACAGTGTATTTAACAAATGATTGAAACAGTCACGTGTTTATGGCTCCACTCATTCTCGCTTCCTGGATCATAATCTTCGGCTTAAATCGAGCAACAGTAAATGCCAAAGCCACATCAGCCACCTTGGATCTTCGGATAATGCCAATCATACGGATAGCTACCTCCAGTCCTGAACAACATAGAAATAGACTCCAGGTACTCCTCCTATGCCAGCACAAGTTTGCAGACTGTTTGCCTAAAGCTACCCAGACAATCAACATTCGCTCATACATTAATTACAACTATGCATGCAGTATCATCGGCTCTCCTTGAACAGGTAATGCAGGAATCAAATTGCCTTGTTTCAACATCATGCTGGTAGGGAATGAAATGCTTAGCAAATAGCACAAAAACTGCAAAGAAGACAAATCAATTCCCCTCAACTTCCATCAGGTGGAAATCTTTAATACCGAAAATTATAAAAAAACACACAAAATCCAAATACAAAACAGGTACATGTGAACGTTTTCAAAGAGTTACAGGCTGAAAAGTCAACCTCTTTCAAAGTACATAAGTACATAATGATTTCTCTCTGAATGACAGATCAGCTCATACAATATTCAGAATATTACCGACAATTAAAATTTACAGTTTACCATGGCAATGTATCGGTATTAATGCATGTACAATATCAAAGACAATGCAACATCAATTAGGCTTACAGGTACATGTGGCCTAATTCTCACCCAAACACAGCTTTGTGCAGTCTATGTGTATGTTTGCCAATCAGTATACCTGGCCATTTAACAGGTTGCAGATGGAATGGCCAATTGCCTTCTTTCTGTGATTGGACAATTTTTGACTCCACATACCTTTAACTGCATTCAGTTGGTAGCCACCAGCTGCTATTGACTACATTATGTACAATGGTTACTGCTCAGCTTTCATCATAAGATCGATGAATAGGTGGGAATCTTAGATTTGATGATGGCTTGGCTTTCCTTTCAAAAGAAAAGGGAAAAAAATTGGAATTTGAATTTCCAAGTTGGCAAAGTGCAAATGAATGAAAGTATCATCCTATAAAGGTAAAATGTGACACTGCGCTACTCTGGATCAATCCCAGTTTGGACACAGCAAGGCTATTTCAGTTTAACTTGGAGAAATACCATTTTGACTATGCACAGGTGACCAACAAATCAAATCAGAGTAATGTTCTTGTTGCCTCCCAAAATTTCTGACAGGTAAAATTGAAAACCTATTTTTTTAAAAATCTCTGGAAGCTCCGTTATTGCTCTTTTATCTCCCTCTTCCTCCCCCCACTTGATCCCCGAGTGGTGTACTGATGAAATCAGGTCCCCAATGACTTGCTCTTCCCAGGGCAGGCTTGACACAATTCAGCCATAATGCAGACTATCCAACATGGGAAATTAGGAATCAACTTCAGACTGCTGTAACAGTGCGACTGCCACTGAATTATTTACTTGCAATTAGGACTGAATCCAGACCCCAAAATCTCATCTTGTCTGCCGGAGCTGCAATTTGGGAATGGTACCAGGGTTGGGATTAAGGTTGTACTGATGTTGAAGAATTGCAGTCTCAATACAAATAACCAGTCAGACAACCTACTATCTCTTTGCTACATGTGTAAGTGCTTATTTAGGCAAATTCCAAAAGTCGGATAACATACTCTTAGTATTTCAAAAGGGTCCCAAGGGGACAATGCATCATTATTACAATAAATTATTGATTTTTAATTATGGAAGAAAACCTCTGTGGATTACCACAAGGTGACCAGTACATCATTTCAGTAAAGTACCCTTTTAGTAGTAGCTTCATCTGTGATCAGTAGGATTATCAACCAACGTCAGGGATGTTTGCTCTGGGCTCATTTTCAGCTTGATTTTTTTTTTGCTTATTTCAACTGATTTCCATTGAAGCACCACTGATGTTTGTAAAATTCTGTTTCACAAAGGTTCATTGAAATGACAGAACAAGTGATAACAGTACAGACAGTAAAAGGCAAAAGACCTGAGGCTAAGTTTAATGAAGGAATAAAAATGACTCCAAAAAAAAAAATTCGTCCAAAAACTCCTACTGGTGTGCCATAGGTGCAAAAACCAAGCTAAATCCATTTAAGGCATATGAGCAAGACGACGAGAAATTTACTAGGATGACAGATACTAGTGCTAATTATAAAGTAGGCCAACACCCAACACCTACCTTGCCGCAGGCTTGCTCAATCTGTTGGAGGGCTGTGGTGATGGAATCCTTGCAATTCTTATCCATCAATTTCTTGGATAACTGTGAAGAGCCAATGGACATCTCTTCTTTATTTATTGATTTTGACACCTTCAAAGCTACGGTCTCTTAATCATTTTAAAATGGATAAGATTTTTTGTGTAATGGTGGTAACACAGGACTTCTGCTGCTTGGTATCATTAGGTGAGCTGGAGTAGGAGTGGGGATGTTGTGGAGATAACATGGGATATTGAGTGGGGTACAGATTAGGCAGGAATGGGGTGGGAAAAGGGTGCTCAGGGGGCATGGTAGGGGTGTAGATGGAGTGAGGCTTGAAAGGATAGGGCGGGGTGAGATTTTGGAAGGGTAGACTAGAATGGGTGGGTGGGAACTAGGTTGAGGCTGCGTGAAATGAGACCGAGTGAGTTTAAAACGAACTCTTCTTAATTGTCTGTAAGCATGGACCTCAAGCAAAGACATATGGTAACACCTGCCACATTCTCTTTTTATCACACCTGAGTTGCAGAGATTTTATTCTGATTAAATGGCCAAGTCACATCAGCAGTACACTGAGCTTTGTTGGTTCTACTTACATAGCTGAGAACTGATTTGAGATAAGGGTTGAGCTGTGGTCCTACGGCAATGCTGAGATGGACTAAGGCATCCACTGCTCCCTCAAATACTGAATCATTAGAAGAACCCTTAAACACAAGACAGAAACACAGAAAGGAACATTGACTGGGCAAGAGCTACGTGTACGTGAAATAGATTCACGGATGTTGAGATTATACCAAGTGCCCTTCTTCATTTCAACTCTACGGTGAGTGAGGAACAGGTAGGTCAACTCTTGAGATCTTTCACTTGTCAAAGCACCCGTTTCTACCCCATTCCTGCCTAACCTGTACTACGCCCAATATCCCAAACAAGTTTACTGCTTCATCACTACCTCCACACTCATAAAAAGTATCCTGTGAGAGGAGAGGCATCCTGTTAGACCAGCTGATTCATCACTGATAGAAAGCTAAATGTCAGTCTGAGTTCATTTCAAGCTTGGTTGCTTGCCTTGCTCAATTTTCACAGGTGACTGCATCATGATATATCACCAATTTGCTCTCCTTTGACAATTTGGCTCTATAAACCACAAATTGGTCTTTCTGCTATTTATGCTTTGTGGAAGTAATGAGCGTGGCATTTTGTCATTCTGCATCGTCAGAAGTGTGGGTTACATAGCATTTTTTTTCAAACAAAGTTACTAGGTGGTTCATTGACTTCAACACTCGTAGGAAGGATGTTGAAGTCTCAAGAGCCTTGGCGGTACAGACTCTAAGAAAATGTCAGCATGCTTTGATAGAAATGCCTTGTCCCTTTGGGGCAAACTATTTGTTAACAAAATGCTATTTCTGTCTGTGATGAACTGTTACCTACTCACAATGTCCTTGCTACATCAGAAAGCCAATACATACATGCAAGCTCGGCGTGAAACTTGTTCATATGCTTGGCCGATCTTAGATATGTGTTTAAGACCGGCTCAAGATAATGGACGCGACAAATGCCCGAGAGGAAGGCGAGAGCATTATTAGCGTTCAGTCTCCTGAGCCATTCATAAACTAACATTTAAGACGATCTCAGGAGACTGAACTGTTCAGAGACTGAAGGGGCAAGCACATATTTATTCCCATTCATGAATACCTGTTTTATTCAGAGAGTCAAAAGAAGTCAATACATGATGGATTCTCAACAATTTTGTTCAAGAATTTTACTTTCATTTTCCCAAACACCCTTGTCCATTTTATCATGTTTATGGTACCGGTACATTCCTTGTGCGAGTTGTCCAAAATAATCTCCTTATATGGACTTGGCGCACGCGTGGCAAGCAACATGCACAGACTCTTGACCAATCAGAATTGATTAAACTGTCTCATATCCGGGTGCCAGTGCATGATATACACAGCGGGCATTATCACTTCTCAGCGGGCATTATCAAATGTTAATAAATGGTAAAGGTGTACGTTGTTGAATAGGGAAACTGTCTGAGGCCAACAATTATTCCCAACAAAAACCCTTCAGTTTCAATATGATTTTAACACAGCTAAGGGAGTTAGAAAGCCATTTATGAAAGGAGTCAAACATCATTCAACTGTGGCTGAATTTAGTGCACCCACCTGACTAACATCCGAGAAAAGCTCAAAATCTTGAACTCAACGCTAAAAAGGCCATTTAAATCTTTCTCCATTTTGTTCTCAAATTGCATTTAAGTGTCTTCTATCTTTTCCTCAGGTCTTTTAAACAATATGCACATGTTATCTTAGAATCCTACAAGTACTGCAGCAGTGAGATTTCAATGAAACTTTTATAATGCAAGTTGCCCTCATTTGGTCAGCATGTAGGTGACGGGAGTGCCATAAATAACACATCATCAGACATTACCTTGAGACAATCACTGTGACGTCAGTTAACATGGACTCCATAGCAGCTTAAGTACATGTAAACTCTATCGTCACAATCTTGAGGTTGCAAGTTAATGTTGACAGAACATGAGACACCTTTACAAGATGCTGACCCTATCACCTGCCTTTATGCAACAGGTGTGAGACAACTTAAAGAGCACCTCTAAGGAAAACATGTTTTCTCAGATTTCATCTATGCAAAACAATACATCTAGCCATTGTTTGGCATGCACAAGGGTTTATCCGCTATGAACAGAGGGCGAGGGTTCCCCTCGTTTTCTCTGAATGATGCAATCTACATTCAGAATTTGCATCTTGGTATAAACAGAAAAAAAGTCATTTTGAGCTTGTTATAGTTGAGCTCTGAAGACAAATGACACTGCATTCAATTTGGATGCTTCCAAGTTTATGTGAACAGACAAAATCAGAGAAAACATGTTTTCCTCAGAGGTGCTCTTTAAAAATGCACACTACCAAAATCATAGCAATTCTGGGCCTTTGAGCTTTGTGAATGTACATGTATGTGTGGTAGGATTAGGGCAAGGTGCACCCAGTTTTGGACTAGTTACCAAATTTTCAATGGTTTTTTTCTGCCAAATTCATAGATTAAAAAAACAGGGGAAATTTTAAGAAACTCCTCATGATGTTGAAATATTACCATTGAACGAGACATATTTGGTTGGCATGCAGCAGGAATTTCCCCGAGACCAAGAACAGTGGATTCTAGATAATGTTTCACGGAGGCGAAGTGTCCAACTGGATTTTAACCATGATATGAGTTCTCCAAAGGGAAATCGGAGGAATTTACTCAGTCATATTACTCATCAATATAAACTTCTCTTCTTCAGTTTCACACCTATCTGGGCCAAGCATGCAAACTGATATCCCTGGACACAGAAATCCTACTCTAAGCTAACCTGATCCAAATTCTCTGTTTTCACTGATATGGTAAAGTCAATTGATGACATACAGAGCCAATTACCAGGGTGTAAACATGAGAAGTTCACTGACTGGAACTCCTACTCCAAACATTTAAGTGACCTCGAGGATTTTTAAGAGGTCTTTTCAATGTCTCAAAAAGTCATTTTCACTCCAACGCATCATGCTATACACATGTGTATGAAATGCAGAGCACTTTAATACTGTGCAGCCAAAATCTCATTTGGAGTGTCTGTCTAGGGTCTTTTCAACAGCATTGATTCTGGGACAACATTGTGACAATGCAACAGGGCAATGCATAAAACATTTACATGTGTACACACACATGTAAATTGATGTGTGAATAACTTTAATGCAAGCACATTTCCCCAGTGTAGGAAACAGCGGAAATTGTGGATCAGTGCAGTACACGCAGGTGTAGGGTAAATTAACAAGACAGGTGTCTCCTATACCTTCTTTGATCAAGCAATGTGAATCATGGAATATCCTGGGATGGACTTGGACACACATCATGCAGCTCTGCATGTACATACATCTACAGGTAGCTTTTGATCCTCACGGAAATGACTATGAACACGCATTCACAAGCTATTTTAGGAAGATCGACATCAAGTGTCTTATCCGCCTAAGGGCCTCATGTCTTCCTCAACTCCTGCACAGTTTCTCTCACACATCTTCACTTTTAGGCAATCTTCTTGTCTTCCTCCACGAGTACCTTGAAACGGATGGTTGACTGACTATCCCCAATTTTCTTTGAGCAGCAGTGTAAGACTAATGATTTGATTAGATGTTGATGTTAGCAAACCTACCAAGGCATTTCTCAGGGGTAGGATGATTCTCGACAAGACCGCCGTTGCCTTGGTACTTGCATCTGATACCTGCAATAGCTCCTTGAAGCCTTGCTGAGCGACAAACTGATAAGGATGCTTGAATTCTTGGAGACCCTGTCAATGGAATGAGGAAAGTGTTTTTAAGAAGAAGTCTTGGGGGAAAATCTTTTCAAGTTGTTGACCTTAAGGCGTTAATAAGTCATGAAATAAGCCTTGCGTATCTTTTTTATATTTCCTCCTAAAATATTTGTTAGAGTTTAGATGTTTCAGAGTTTGGAACTAGACCCCTGTGCTCACACTCAGGTTGTTACAAGTACACACCATGTATTAATTAACAAACATCACCAATATCAGCCAATGTTGTCTGTGATTAATTAGGAAAAACTACTCCTCTCAAATCAGGCAGAGATGTCTGAAATTGCCAGACAATTGTCAAAGTTGTTCATGCATAAAACTTCCAAAACAAGAGGAAAATCTTGGCATTTGGCCCACCTCGGCTAGTGTGATCAGTAGGGGATCAAAGGGCAGGTCACATGGGTTGCAATCCCACTGTAGCTTGTGCTTTACTGATCCATGGACCAGTCTGTTGACAAGGGAAAAAAACGCATCAGTTATCCTACATTCACAAATAAACACTGCGTTTAATACTGCCCGTATTTCGATGACTCAGACATCAATTTTCTTGTGGATTACCATCTTGTGGTTTCAAGATTTAAACCATTTCCGTTCACTCAGTCTTGTTTAAACTACTCTTTGACTAGTAACCTGCACAAGTAAAATAATAGTCCTAGTGACAGGAAGGTTTATGCAACTCACTTGGAAAAAAGCAAGCAACTCTGAGACATTGTCTAGGTCCTCTTTCTATGAAAAATGTTTCAAACCAAAATGCAATGACACATCATCAGCTCCTAGGGATTCCTGCCAGGCGGACTGTTACAGACAAGACAATCAGCATAAATGTGCACATACAACATACACAGATGTATTACTCCTCCAAACAAGAGATGTTCTAAGCAGTACATCATGAGGTAACGAAGTAGGCTCCCTACAAACAAATCATCTAACAGCTGGCAGATTCCATCTTTATCCATAAGAGATGTTCTAAGCAGTACATCATGAGCTGATGAAGTAGGCTCCCTACAAACAAATCATCTAACAGCTGGCAGATTCCATCTTTATCCATAAGCACGAACATAAACAAGGCTCTTGATTACAGACATTGTCATGAATACAAATCTGTCAATATTTCTCCAGAGGCACTGAAGCTGCATGCACACACATCCTGCATACTTGTGTACAGAAAAGCTCATAGTTGAAGACATTCTTCTGAAGCAATAATATCTTGAGAAAGGGATTCCTCTAAACCTACTGGATGCAATCAAAGCCAATTTGAAAAGCACTTATTGTAAAGGGGGGGCGGGTTCATCAACATGCAAGGCTTTGTGAAAAACAAAAAGAAATTTCTTGCAAATAACTTTGGCACAGTTACATTTCATTAAGGGTGGGAATTTACGTTTAATTTGAAAAACCGCCGCTGCCTACCTCGATGATTTCATATATGCAAAATTATATACTTGTAGGTTCAACAATGCACATAGTCCAACCCATGTAAAAATGTTGATTGATGTTGGGGCAAATATAAAACAAGCCATGTTTGTTGTTTTAGAATCCACTTTTTTCTCAAAAAGTACACAGACACCCAAAGGGCAAAAAACCAATATGTAACAGGCATTGTTTACATTAAAGACTGCGTCAATCAGAACGTCAAACCTCTTAGAGGGGCGGTTACGTTTCAACATTTGGGAAAATCTGTAAATGGATTTGGAACGTTTTTGTTTAACTGCTTATTTAACTGATTAAATGTGTAAACATCCCACTTTTACATTTCAGCAACCAACTGTCCACATTTTTGTCTGTCTGTACATGTGTCGCCAATTTTCTGATCCATGTTCCCATATCATCATCATTATTAAAAACACAGAGACTGACAAACATTTCAACAGGGGATGCAAGTGGAAGGATTACACTTGACATGCATGATCACTGTAAGCAGATTGCTGTACTAAGCAACAAAGCACAGAAAAGGCTGTGTACTGATATCACTGGTAATCTTACACTGACAGTAATAAATATGGGATTTGCTACAGGGAAAACTGGATGAAATTCAGTCTAAGCACTCCCCAGGAGTAAGACGAGTCTAAGTACACACCTGCCAGTCAATCCGGAGACAACTATACAGCCATGAAAGATGCTGTCTTTCGCAGTCAGGAGAACTTCCGAACATCACAGGAAATCAATGCTTCCATTATCTTTTTCTCATTCTCAAATAAAGGGACATTTTCTAGACTTTTATTTGATACAATGACAACATTAAGGTTTAGCTAGCTTGATTGCTCTTTCTTATTTTCCACAGTCTTTCTGCTCATGTACTGTACACGTATGGGCTGTCATTTCAATAGATTTGTCTTTCTTATTTTCCACAGTCTTTCTGCTCATGTTCTGTACACGTATGGGCTGTCATTTCAATAGATTTGTTTGGAATCTGTTGATAGTACCATTATTCAAATATTTTATTGGGCAGGTCTTTAGTCATGTTCCTTAAGGGCAGTTTTGTAGACAGGAGTCAAGCTGGCCACCAGTTTGTAGATTTAAGAGATCACTTGTTACAAGTATGGAGTACAATGGCTTGAAGCAATTTTGACACAGGAGTCCAGAAGTCCAGTGGTAATCCTTTTATTGTCCCCTGACTGCAATCTCTTAACCCTCCCTGCTTTCATCTCTGGGTAACCTGACTGCAAATCACTTTGTCATGTGTTTTTAAACAAGAAAAGCCGTGACAACTTTTAGGTGAAACCTCAGCTTACATTTACCTGCAAGGAATGCCCCCTCTGGCGTAGACGCTGGCAAAGGCAGACTTAGGATTTTTGGATTCTTTGAACTGCCAAAAAAACGGGACAAAAATCGTTTAAAAATCTGATAAGTTTACCAACTATAGCTGTCAACCCTTTCAAATTTCGATAAGATTCTAGTTGGTGCCTTTTTCACTTTGCCATTGACCCTCAACACAACAAATTAACTGCACATATTAGAAATAAAAAGAAAAAAAGAAACTCTGAAATTTTCTAGGTAATGCCCAGGTTACTACCATATGGTTAACAATGTCAATAGCCATCCATGACCCAATTAGAGGACACCCTACGGAATTTCATTAAGGAAAAAAAGGAAAGATCAAAATTACCTTGCACCACTTTGATAGATGTGTGACCAGCCTGTTAATGACATGGGCGCTAGACCACAGCAAACATGCATGTAGCACTGACAAGTGAAATTGCATTTTTTAGGCTTCAACGATCACTTAATAACGTTGCATGCATGACATGGAATAATTGGGAACATTAATCATCTTGCTTGTCATTTTTTTCCAGATGCAATGTGCAGGTAAACGTATGGTTTGTCATAAGTGTGGATGATGTGCACATGTACACTTAAACACCTGTAGATGGATCATTAGTCTTCAAATATCATAAGCCAGGTTATGAGGCAGTGAAAGAAATGCATAGAATCTCAATATCACTTAGTAAACGTGTTTACAGATGCTGAACAACTGGTGTCAAATACCGAAACATGTCCAATGGCTCATCGCTATCCATTAAAGCTCTAAATACACTGAACATTTACGCATGTTTATAAACATGTCAGCAAGAAATGGTTAAAACACAGTGTCTGCAGTGTTTCTGCTTTGATTCATCTGTTTTTCTCTGAAGCTTTCTGTCTGTCTGTTTTTTTACTTGTTTTCTTCTTTCTTTCTGGATACAAATAAAAGGCTGACAGAGTACTCAGACACATGAACGTAGGGTAGTTGACTTACCGGATCAATAGTTTTGGGATTGAGTCTGTCTGAAGGTTTCTTCATGGGCCTCGAGGCTGGACTCTCCCCACCTCCATGACCAATACCCCCTGGAGTTGGTGCTCCTCCCCTAAGCTGGGACGAGGAAGACTTCCCTGGTGTCCTTGGCTGGGCTCGGGATGCCATTTCATTGAAGGGGATGCCGTCTTCTAATGAGAGAAAAAAGATAAATATCTTTCAATAACAAAGTTGATAAAGCGACTTTTCTGCAACAGATGAAGTACATGTATTTTAGTAGCTACATGCATACAATACTGCTGGAAACAGTTTAAAATGCTCAAAAAGATAAAAACGGTAAGTTATCAAGATTCTTGTTTTGCATATACATTTATTTGCTGAATACATTCACAAAAAAGAAAATAACTAGAAATCTCGTTAATTAAAGCGTCTGCAACCAAAAATTATGCCATGTATGTACATCATGTGGGCTATTACACTAAAACTTCATTGATGCCTACAGAATACTGTATTCCCACCAAATAAGGCTGATAAACTTGACTACTTTCTCCGAGGAATACTGTCGATCTGTTAAAATACATGTAAGCCTGACTAATTCTGCTGCAGGTGACAGGTATGGATGAGTAACACATGCTGGCAATGAATTACTATTTTTCAGTTGTGGCATCATGGGATTTGGAATGCTAGCGAGCAAATACAAGTGTAGACGCTACTTCATTACACGCTCATGATGCTCTATATATATACATGTATATACTGGTGCTTTGCAAGGACAAAATAGTAAGCAATACATCAAAATACAAAAAGTTGATGTGGATGAATCATTCCTTGCATAACAGGGACACCGAAGCCCTACCAATAGCGTCCACAAATGTTTCAATATGTGGACACTTGAAGAACAGTACTACCAGTACCTGCTCTAGGGCAGACAGAACCAGCTCATCCAACTTTTGGGTTCCTCGTTTTCTTCAAACTACAAGTGTGCACGTGTCAGCCATCTTGAATTGAAAGTGAGGTAAAACTTTTCATTTGGAGAGCCCAAGAGTAAAAAGAAAAGCGACAAAGTAAAGGTTTATACTTCATGCCAGTTTTGTCTAAACAATAACAAATTATATCGGAATGCTTGAAGCATTAAAAAACTGAAAGTGATGTTTGGAAACCAAAATAGCCTGACACCACCTCATAATAACAGATTACAGTGAACATGAGTGAACAAGATTTCACAAAATGGCTTCCCAGTGAATAAGGACTACATGTATTCTGGATGGCTCTACATTACATTAACCCTAACCCTCCTCAATCCTTCACCTGTTGGAGGACTGAGGAGTGTTAGGGTTAAAGATGACTGCAAAACTTGACACTGAATAACTAATTTCCAGACAATTTTACCATTCTGACAGCTGGGCGACGATACCCATTGGGGCAACTCAACAGGGTTTTCTACAAGTATGCAAAGGAGAATGGCAAAGAACAGACTAGTCACACAAGGTACATGAAGGCTTACAAGCGTGCTTGGTGGGATGATCCGATTCAAAATGTATAAATCAGGATGATGCTTTCTAATAGTTTGCAAATATCCAAGCAATGGTAATTATTGGCTCCTTTGTTCTGTTGATTGTACATTGTTTGATTTTTATGGATACCATGGGAAAGACTAGCCCTTTTTGATATCAAAATCCTGTGACAAATGAAGGAATCACATAAAGTCCATAGATGAATATCTGGTTCCAGATGTTGAGAGCAATTAAAGTGTGAACCAACTGTACGTTTCCATTTCTAATGTCCACGCATAGCACTTGTTAAGTTAATTTTATGCACTGGGTGAATTTACTGAAATGAACTGCACGTACAAACAATGTATCTTAAAAGGCAATCAATCTGCCTTATTGTCTTGCTGTCACAGATGCAGAGGCAGATCCAGGGAGCAGAACAAGTGGCAGATGTACGAGATTCCAATTTCAATGTCCACATAAAATTATTGGAATAACTCATAATTAGAACAAAACTTATCAAATAAAATGGCAAACTGCAAAAGCAGTGCGGTGTTAACAACATTATTTTTAAACTGAAACCAAATTTGAAGGAAATATATGTACCACCTTATCCCAGTATTGTGCATACATGTACATGTGTCGCCCAAAACATCAAAATGTTGTCACAATTCAAATTACGGCAAAATATTTCCAGCCAAACCTAAGATAAAATTGCATCTTGTGGTTTGCTGACACTCTTTGGTAAGAGATACCCACTGAGCACTGTTTGATAAAAATTAACATCTGTCACCCAAGCAGGACTGTGGGTACACTACACACCATCCAGCACAGTTAGACACAAATTATGCACAAAACAAACTGTGGTTTACAATTACAGTAAGTACATGTAGTTACAGTATCCATGCCAAAACAAGACAAAAAGATCATTTTGCAGCTATAAAAACACAACCATTTCCAACTTGAACTCATACAGAATTTATTGTTTTCGTTAAAGGTGTCACAGGTCTTCTCAAGTCACATCTGTGGAGAGATTTATTACATGTGCACATGGGTAATGGTGTATTTGTGTCAAAGCCTGGCTGTGAGTAATTGAGATGTCTCTACAGACAGACTGCCTGCCGTCCAGAGATGCATCAAAGGCTAAGTTATCAAAACAACCACAATGTCTGGCCTGTTGGTGAGTTGTCATCTTAATGGCAAATGTTGTCTGGAACAGAGTTGTTCAATAGTCGAGTTGTCTGACATCCACAGGGGCAGTTAATTTAGTAATTACTCAGCTGTCAATCCGAATGTACGCATTGTTTCACATCAATTCCCTTCTCTCTCCCATAAACTAGCCCCGAGCTGGACCAAAAGGACACAACTTTCCCATTGGAAAGAAGACTCTCTTGATAAACTTTATTGCCATATCAGACAGCATGGGTGATTTGAATTTTGCAACATGTTACCATTGTAGAAAGTCACCGAGGGAAAGAAAAAGGAGCAAACATTGCCCCTTTTGCCTTCCCATGTCAATGTCTTTCTACCACGGTCCAAAATCACCCATACGGTATTAGTGAAGGCTTACGGAAGCTGCACTGCCATGACTGCGCTGCGCTAGTTCACAAACAACTACATGTATGACATGAATGCGTTGCTGTTGCGTCACTTCCATAAAAATGAACATTCTCCACCAAATGCATTGCTCTTATCAACTAATGACGGGGCAAGCCTGCTCTAGACAATTGATGTAAACTTGGTAAAAAGAGTAAATACGGCCTACACGTAGTAGGTACACTGTCTGCATGGTCTGGACGTGGACTGTGCCATGATGACGGGCCAAGGATATATCGACTGTAATTCGTTAGAAGAGCGAAGCAATCCATATTGGAGTGTAACTATTTTCATACATCATAAAAAGTAAAAACCTTAACAAATACATGTAGTATGCATAATGGGTACTTAAGTTCTATTCTTCAAAAATTAGGAATCTCTTTCTACAAATGCTGGACAAATCTACATGTATGCCAAGATCATACATATGCACGGTACGAGCGCCCTCTTCCAACATCGAGGCCAGTTCTAACTTGTTTGATGCTCCGTTTGGGATGATTTTTTTTCTTTCACTGAGAATACACAGTCAGAAAAATATGCGTTTTAATCTGGGCTGCAATGGTTTTATTATTGGGATTATTAATTCGAATCAACAAAGAACAAATGTCTTACATGTACGTGAACATGCTGCAAGAACGAACGTCTACTTGGCCTTCGACAAAAAGTGCACGGCTGGACTAAAACGGAGGAAAGGGAATGAGAAGGTAAGGCCACTACTACTAAGAAAAGTGTTTCTTTGAAAGTTCAATATCAGGGAAAAATGCAGGTAGACAAATTGAAAATCAAAAATTTTAATGATGAAAATGCAATCTAATATAAAAAGTAAAGAAATTTCCCGTATGTTTCATCTTCAGTCGATCATTTGGAGTTCAAACTCCCATGCTCAACAATCTGAGGGAATGAACGTAGGTTTTCAGGTGGATAGAGTGGAAGACAATGCCTTCCAAGCTCACCTCACGTAGCCCTCTTTTTGCCTTAGCCTTTTGGCCTTGGGGAGGGGAGAGCGAGCAGGAAGCCCTGACAAGACTGCACCCCCCCACCAGCAAAAACCAATGACAAAAAAATTTAGCTATTGGTGCTTCATGATTACACTGACATTAGAGAATTATCTTAGAGAACATCTAATAATATTCAAAGCAGAATTGAGGAATGGTATCTGCTACTTCCTTTTTGCGGTTCGATTTTAAAAATGGCATGAATTGAACTCAGTAATATGACCCTTTTCCAATACTCGACTTGGGCTCCGTCTCCGGCTTCAACTACAAAAGAGTCAAATGTAGAAGAGCCAAACATTTCAGTACTATAATTTAAATTAAACACTTCAGGGTCACAATTGGGAATTGGTTTCTTACACGAAGCCTGAGACGGAGACGAAGTTGAGTATTGGAAAATGGCCTATGAATATTTAGAAACTTAACTTTTAGTGACGATGGCCAAATCAATTCATTATCATTTGTCTGCACACGGTATAGCAAAGAGCGCCAGAGCGCTATCCGTTGCCAGGATATGGCAAGGGACTTGTCTGTGCTGGCTGTGCTAATTTTATGGAGTTAAATTTGTTCTTCAGGCGCGTTTATTTTGGGTTAAAACTGGATTGCTATGGACAGCAATATTCGACAACTTCTCTCTGCTGCTCAGCAGTATGGAGGTATGCTGCAAATTGACGAATTTCAGCTTTCATGACTTTATCCTTTCCATTTAAGTTTAACCATGTTAACGTAAACTTCAACTTAAGACAACACAATACGATCGCAAGATAGGCCTATCTTGCGATCGTGTAGTGTTGTCAGTCGATCCAGTATGAAATTTCTAATGTTGCTTCCATTTTTACTTTTTGGAAATAGTCTGAATTAATTTTAGATTCTTGCCCAGTGTAACTTGTATGTTTAACATAGTATACTCAGTGAATGTCCCTGAAAGCTTGTGAAAAAACCACAAGCGTACTCGGGGGAATCTCCCCGGTGCAAATCCATCTCTGAAATAATTGTTCGCGGTACCCGCTGCTACATCTGATTCAAACCAGCCAGCCGACACTGGCAAGCTTGGTGGTCAAGTGGTTAAGACGACTGCACTAGTAAGCAGGAGGTTGTGGGTTCGAGTCCCACCCGAGTACATTTGTGTTTTTTTCACAAGCCTTCAGGGGGCATACACTGAGTATACAGTGTTAAAAAAATACATGTCGGGCAGGACAAAAATGTAAAATTAATTTACATCTCCCCAGCACAAATCCATCTTTAAAATAGTGGAATGGTCTTCCACAACTTCCTAACTGCATCAACAGTTTTGTTGGGAACCTACAAAGAGTTGAACAATTTTAACCAAAAACAGGGTCAGTGTGTGTTTGCTAATGATAAGGAACGCCAGAATCTCTAGTCAACATCCCTACAGGCTGGCAGTGTTAAAGAGGGTATGCTGAAACTCATCACACAGTGTTTTCCCGTTTGTGCTATTGTTTGACTTTTAGGCCTGCCAAATAGTAAACACCATTTTTATTCAAAAATGTTATGAATACCGACAGTTGAATCAGAAGGCTCCTTCCTGCATCAGGCATATGACCAGCTCAAGATAGCCGCTGAGACTAAGCCAACATCAGATGGACCACTACCATTCGGTCAAGATCTTTACGTACTATGTGCTGAAATTGCTTTCCAGGTATGCAATTAATTCAATATGCAAGGTGTCCTAAATTGGAGAGAGAGTTCCATACACTACAGTGGTATATTAACCATCATAGCAACCATCCACCTGATAATGTGAACATGGTACCAGATCTACTTTTAAGACTGTTTTAGTCTCAATTGATGTTGTCCAACTTAGTCACTAAAACCCACTTCAACATTTCCTTTTGCTGCTGCCTCATGAACCCTGCCCAAACTGTACTGGGATAAGCCAGAAGGGTATTGTGTACAAACAGAAGCAGAAGGTGATAACTGGTCCTAACAGTCTTATCAAGTGGGGATAATATTGCTTACAAAATTAGCATTTTCCAGACCGGTCTCATACATGTACCAAAGCATTTGTGCACAGGTTGTCGGGTGCTGTTTGTGTATGGAGATCTTTCCTAAATTGGCTCTCTGATTTTAAGGATGGGGTCTACATGGCATCAGAATAGCTATATTCTTAAGTCACATTGAATACTTTTTTACCATCTTCTAGTACGGCCTTGTGGACATCACCAAGGAATGTCTGAAGATGTTTTTCATGAAAACATCACCACCTAACCAGTTCCTTTGCAGGGCCTACTTGTGTCAGGCCCAACTGTTGGCACCTACTTCAGCTGAAGACAGTGTAAGTTTCTATTTGGCCACGTTGCTAATGTCATTCAAAAGGTTGTATGATGCTAGTCAAGACAAGGATGTGGGACACCGTAGGGATGTCAAGATGACATGAGGCCAGTGGCCTACTTCCTGAATGAAGAACAAATGCAAAAAGCTGGCTGGGATCTTCTTTTTTAACCCAATGCCATATTTTTATCTCAGTGATTATTATTAAGTGATTATTATTCAGTGATTATTATTCAGTGTTATTATTCAGTGATTATTATTCAGTGATTATTATTCAGTGATTATTATTCAGTGATTATTATTCAGTGATTATTATTCAGTGATTATTATTCAGTGATTATTATTCAGTGATTATTATTCAGTGATTATTATTTGTTATGTGCTCTTTCTTGCCTTACGTTTTATTTGGGTTTGGGGAGATATAAACCTCTTGCCGACAGTTTATTTTAAACTTTTACGTTCTCCTGGACAGCCCGCTGTGCCTTGTGTTTGTCTTGTTGGATGTGGAATAGCCAGAATAAAGTTTATCATTGTTATTATGAGCTGTTAGATTTCATTGTCATGAATATGCAAGCTCATTGCTGTTATAGATGGAATGTTGCAAATTCAAAAAAAGATGTGAAGATTATATTTGTTTTTTCTTCCTTTTTTATAGGCACAGTTAGACAAGGCTGTAGTTTACTTGTTGAAGGCCATCAGCTTTGCAAAGGAAAACCCAAGGTTTGTTTACATCATCAATAACACCTTGAAAGCATTAGTTTGTTATTAACTGATGTGAACAGGGGTGAACGTTCGGCTGCCAAATCAACAAAATACACGTCTTTCTCTGACACCACTTTGAATAAACCTGTAATGAAATAAATTCATTCTCAGGTATCATTTCTTAGTCTACAATGCTTCGGTCCTGTTCTGGCAATTCTGCCGTCCATTTCTCAAGCGGGGCTATCGCCAGCACTTGTCTATCAGCTTGCATTCGGTGGTCAAGGCTCTGGATGACATTGATGATAAGGACTACGAATGGCGGGCCCAGTTGATGATTGCACTGATTGAGTGCCATGTGGATGCTGGTAGAGTCAAAGAAGCGGCTGAGGTTAGCAAAGCAACAGCTGAGTTCACCAAGACCAATGTGCCAGCACTCTACAAGCAAGTCTTGGGATTACAGGTAAACTGTCTGTACTCATTAAAACTTCATTAACCCTCGCTGATTCAATGCAATAAGATGCTTTTGAGAAAACATCACAGTCTTCTTGGCCTTGGACTTGAACTTGTTACGCCCCCAAGTAAAACATTGTCCCAACTATAGTTGGGGCCCAACTACAGTAGGAAAACCTGTATGGCCACGGTGTGTTTGTGATCAAAGGGTCACAGATATTCCTGTGCGTCTTGGATGTGCAAAACAACAATCAGTTTAATTGGAAGTAATTGGAATGTGACCATGTCCTCAGTTTGACCTCTTTCCTTGATATGAGTAGACAGGAATCACTGATACTCCCTTGTTCCATGGCCAACGTTAAACTTGTGAAGAATGATCTACCTATCAATTTATCAACATTTTCTTGGTCAAGATTCGTCACCAGCTGGTGGATCATAGCAAACTCCTCAAGGACATCAAACATAGTGGAGATCTGACAGCATACTACAAGTTGGTCAAACTCAGAGTGTAAGTTACCATGCCATGCTATCTCCAGCATGGACCTCAGCCCTTTAAATTCATTGTCCAACTTGTTGATTACTTAATAAGAAATGGGGCTGCAGATTCCAAAAGCATGTCTTTATATTAAGACCATTTAAATTTCTGAAAGAAAAGATTGTCATTTGTTTCTGGGCTTTACTTTTTCTCTTGATCACCTTGGGTTTGTGGAAGTTATTACTGCCTGCAAAGGAGTTGCACAAGTTCAGAACAAAATTGAATCAGAGAACAAGAAAATAATTTGAGATACTGGAGAGTATTTCAATTTGGTCCCAATTTTTGGTACTGATTTTGCCTCTCATTAAAAACACTCTATTTTCCATTTTATTAGTTCCTTGGAACAGAAAGAAGCATCTGACCTTGATGTGCAGGGAGACAAACTTCTGCGTCAGATTCTGATGGAGGATGACACTTCACGAACAAACAGTGCCCTCAGTGGTCGCAAGACAGCTACACCAGTCAGTGTATCAGAAGAAGTCAGGTAGTCCACTTGGAATTTTTTTTAAAATCTGAATTCACGTTTTTTTTGTTTTGACTGGAACATTTGGAGTGACTGCATGTCATCGCGTTACTGACAAATGATAGGTGGGTTTGCGGATGAGGTCATGACACCATTGTCGACCATCTTGGTGGAATGACACTCTAGTCTGAAACTCAGCTATCCCATAAGTAACAAGTGTCAGAACATGATATGTGGTTCTTTATCCACCAAGATGGCTACCTACAATGGTTACCATGGTTTCGGTGTTGACCCACTGGCCACATGATGAGTACCGGAGTGTAGTGTGATTTTAGAAGTTGTAGAGACAAGCAGTTATTCTAGAAGTAGTTACAAATGCAGTGATTGTTTTATTGATACTTTTTGTGAATGATGTGGTTTGACCTGGCCGTAACTGCTTTTGGATGCCTAAATCCCGTGAGGTGAGTGACTGTGACTTACTATGAGGCTAAAAACAACTGATCAAATGTTAGCCGTCATTAACCATGTCAAGTTTAGATTCTGCTCAAAAAATGCTTCACATGGATAATGCGCTTTTAATGTCATATTTGTCATATGTTTGTTGAAGAGTTAGTTTCATTAGATGATTTACAATGTTTTGAGAGAGATTTTTCTGTCATTTATGTACCTATAGCAAACTTGGAGACTTATTATGTCAATGCAAAATGTTGCATTGTATGTAGCTATCTACTAATACCAAATCATCGTTGCCCATTTTCTAAGCCTTGATTTGATCTCCAACCTTTCCTTACTTTGTAAGCAGTAAGCAGCCAGATACTCAAGGCAGGGAGGACACCTCCTCCCCTGCCTCTTTGACCTCTGTGTCAAAGGTCACAGTTGCAGTTGGCGATGTGTAAGTCCCCCTGACATCCACTTCTGTAACTGCATGGATTTTGCATGCAAAGCACCCTGCACAATCCAATCATTCTTCTTTCCCATAAATTCTGGATACTTCCGTTCATTCTGTTTGTCCCCCAGCATTTTAGCAGTGGATCATGTTTCTATCTCTTGAATCCTTGTTAAACCATTTCAAGAGAAATTGACCGGTTATATTGTTTATTGATTTTGTTCAAGTGTGTTGTCTCTTCATTCCTCAAGGGTTGTAAATTATTGGTGAAGGCATTATGTAGGCTGCATAAATCCAGGTCATTCCGTTTAAGTGTGTGCATCACTCTATATGGACATGGAACAAAGATCGCCTAATTTAATGTCCTAACTTACAATATGGTAAACGGGTAGCGTCGTTATAAAATAAATACACCAAATAACTGGCCATCTGTAGCATACATTTCCTGGCATTTGGTATAAACCTGTTGGTGTAAAATTTGTAGAGATGTTCTCTGCTTATATGAATACTTGTATCTGTGCACTATACACCATCATTCCTACATGTATCATCGATCAGACATGCTATGTAATCTTGCCTACTGAATATGGTCTTTTCTCTAGTAGTAACCTTCGCTAAGTTAACAAGATGCAGTACTGATATTTGCTTGCAGCTTTCTGATGCAAATTCCATCTGGAACTAATTCAAAACTGCATTTTCAAGCCTTTGCCTCAGCCATTCTGGATTCTGGCCCTCCCAATTTATAAAATGAGCTAATCAATATCATGTCAGTATCCGAGTTATGTTGGGTAAAACTGCAGCATTGAACGCGGAACTGACTGGAGGTTTGTGGTGGGTGGAGTTTAAGGAGGATTTTGGGGGAGGATAGGAGGAGAGAAAGTGGTTTCTAGAGCGGTTCTCTACATTGACATTTTAACAGTTCATCTGTAGGTATTTTTTATCCAGAGTCTGAGGGGTTGATTGGCTGCATCAGTGGAATTAAATTTCCAAACATTTTTTTTTCATTTTTCCCTCTTTCCAGCACAAAAAGTCTTTCAGCCGGGGATGGATCTGTGTAAGAGACAAATCAAACCAAATGCACGGCTTCATACTGACAGATGGTCACATTTCTTTGGCACGGTTAATTTGATGACAGCACAGCAGTATTGACTTCCCAAAAACTCAATTTGTGATTGAAATAATTTATCTACCTGACACTCATCTGCACTCAAGTGCTTGCAGGAAACTTACAATGTAAAATTCCTGTTTTATTTTAAGCCTTACTGATTACAAAACTTTCAAGTTGTAGATGATTGAAAGCTTAATTACAAACATTTCTTTTTTTTTACAAATAGGATTCCAACACTTTGTTTTCAATGCATGAGACATTTTGACTCATATGACATCATGGCTGACAGTGGTCTGCTTGGGTTTAGGTATGCCATTGGTGCACTAACCCTTCATTTTAGGACTTAAACACTAGAGAGGGGGACATGCAGGTTTTTCTCAAACCACACAACCTTGAATGAAGGCTGGGTTCTTGTTGCTAGTCTTTTATTCAAGGCTGATAGGTCTTTTGCCAATGCCATAAATACCAAATAACACATGCATGTACATATTGTGTAAAGTATCTTTCCATTGTTTCATGTAAGTCTGTGCGCAGTTTACAAGAATTTCATCGGATGCGTGTTTAATACCAAGATGCATGTAAAATACCACCTGGTCATTTCTTTGGCAGATCTTGTCATAGGACAATGCCAACTTGCTTTAGTGTTTGCCATGTGTCTTCTGGAATTCTCCTGATAGAATTGACCATTTACGCAGGGAAGGTTGTAATTTTCCCATTACAGTCAACCCCCAACCCATTTGATTTTATTTCCTCCTTTCGTTCCCATAACCTTTCTGCTGCACCGCTTTCTTTGCTTTATCTTGCACCCCTTGAAGGCTGCCACGCACTAACAAACGAGCACCTGCAGTGCCTACACCTGCTGCTGCTGCACCGACCCAACCAGAGACTATTCTGTCTTGCACTGAACCTGTGTATGCTGTGTGAGTGGATGTGCTTTATTCATTAAATCTATAAACAGCTTTTCCTTGTCATTTCCTTTGCCAATTTTTTTTTTATTCTATGACTAGGTTCATGATAGAAACAGTATCTTGATCAATAAATAAACTGAACGAAGGAAGCTGGAAAAGAATTGGAATGAGGCACAAAGAGAGAGAAATATTATCAATCATCAGGATAAGTGAATCACATTTTGAAATTAAACTTCTCCTTTTTTACAAAAAGTCTGTGTTTCTCTTTTTATAGCATTAAGAAAGAAAGAAAGAAAAATGTATCGTATATTAATAACAAATTTGATAATCCAGTCTTAATAAATTGAATATAGCCACATTTTGGGAGTCTATTGATTTGATTCCATTGCTTAATTAAATACTAATACTTTGTTTTTATCCGTCTTGACTTTTGCTTGTCGATTGACCATTCCCCAGGTGAGTAACAGAGTTTCAAATGAATGTTGTTTTCTGTTTGGTTTGCTTTATTTTCCCTTTTTTTCCATTTGTAGTAAAATACATAACACTGTAAAGTTCAGTAATTCCATTTGCATGTTGCTTTCAATTGCATGAAAATGAATATTCATAATGACATTGCTTAATTATTTATCTTTGCATGCCAGAAAAATTATACTATTTTACTTTTTCTTCTCTTTTTACTTCTGACCAAATGTATTTAGTGTTTTCATTCTGGGTTTACCAGGTTTTAAGATTTCAAATGTCAATCACAGATTTAAAAGATCTATCCATTTGTGACCCCTCTCCCATATCCAAAACAGTGGCATGTGCTCCTTGTCTGACCAATATTTCTGTATGACAAAAGTAGAGCTAAATATTTTATTGTTGCAACATCGTCTATTTATTTTTGGTGTTATTTTGCCTCTTTCACTGAGGTGTATTTGTCGATTTGTATAATTTGACTGCCATTGAATTGTAGCAGTTGGTTTATACCAGGATGTTAAAGCTCTGCTTAAAACATGCCGAGGGACCAAGTGGTTCAATTTTAGTGAAGCTAGGTCACCACTTTCCAATTTTATTCATCACCTGAAAGTTCTAAGACCTTCGTTGATTTAAGGAATCAGGCCAATAGAATTAGTTTGACTGGATTTTTCTTATTCAATTTTAGGCAAATTAAGTTGCCCACAGGTCTTGAGTCATTCAAGGTTTGGGCCAAATCAGCCAGGAAAAATTCCCTCAATCTCCCCATAGTGCAGCATAAATTGAATCAAGATGTTGAACGCCAACGGCTTTACTCAAATTTGCGCAAAGTCGAGCAAAGACATAGCATGGCTCATAATTTGCAATTTAATCAACTCGTAATTTGATAAGACTGTCTGTGGATGATTATACCACAATTGCTTCAGCTTTAGGGGGGAGGGATTTTTCAATAAAGATTACGACCAAAGTTAATTCCTGATGGGAATAAGATCTGTGATACACTTGACTCAACTCAATCAAAGCTCACTTTTTGGTGGCTTTTAGGAATCCTGCAAGTGCAATTTATCAACATTTTTTCAAAGAAATAAAAATATCTTGTGATGAAAAATCATTTCTAGCTCCTATACTGTGAGTTCTTAAGAAAGATAGAAGTGTTATTGCATCTCTGGGTTTGTTTGCTTGGACTTAAAAGCTGTTACTCCAAATCTAATTTTTAATTGTCAGTGCTTTCATCAAAATTGGAAAAAAAAGATCCAGTGGGATATGAATGGTCATGTGCTTGCATGATTTGCAGCAATAATTGATATTATACACTTCTATTCACTCAACCTTGTGGCACTTGTTCGACTGCTTTCTGTTTTCTCGTCTGTCTTACCTGCATGCTGCGATGCCATTGGTCAATTGGTAGGAGATCAGTGGTTTCCAAATGGAGATCACTCCCATCCACCCCAGTGTCTAAGTGGGAAAAGTGAGTGTTGACCAGGTCTTGATGGAACCATACAGTGGCTACCTTTGTTTTATTTGGGACATGGGAGATTTCTTCTTAACTATGAAAGCTCTGTGGAGAGTCAGTTTTATCCTTTTGAACACATACACCGATGTTTCCAAAAAAGGAAGCCATTACATTCCCTTGTTTGGCTGCCAGTTGAATGAACCATTGCCAAAATAAGATGTTACCTTCCTGGCAGTTGTAGAGTGCCACAGCAAATACTGCTGTGGCTGTTGGGAGCAAGACAAAGATGGCTGCTGTAAACACTCATTTCAGCTTGACCCAGATTGCACAGTGCACCGTGTGGTTCGTTGGCCCCTCTGTTGAAACACATTGTTTGGCACTCTCTGTTGACAGACATTTCCATCCTTCCATTAGCAGCTATTTAGAATGACTTTTGAACGTTCTCAAAACAGTCACTTTGAGATAGAGCACAATTTGCCTCATGTGTGGTGTGTGAACACATTAGTCTCAGTTCATAGGCACTTTTGGTTTTTCAGCCTCTGGAAAAATTGCTCCTTTGCAGTTCACAAATAAAAAACTTGCCAGCTCATGTTTCAAAGTGTAATGAAGCTAAAATTCTCAGATCCTTTTCCAATGATCCAGCATGAACCATTTCTTTAGAGTGTAGATGAATTTTTCAAACTAAAGTGGGAAGTTGTGTACATTAAGAGTTTGATTTATGGAAATATATCCTAAAGTTAACATTTAACAGTTAGATGTCTTAATAATGAACTCATTAATCCTAACTCCCTAGGGTGTGAGAAAAATCATAATAAAATTGGAGGATTCAGGACCGTTAGGGTGTTAATCCTTTCTGTACATTCTACATACCATTATTTTATGTTCTTCATTTTCTCAAACGAAATACAGAATTCGTATGACATTAACAACTTCTGTCAGTTCTCTTTCCTTTTTGTAACTTTGAACTTTAATTACTAACTTAAATTACTACAGATGACACTTTGGACTAATTACTTTTAGAAGTTTACAAAATAATAATGGATTGGCAATCTTTGTTAAAGTGGCATTTGCCATGCTCAACTTTGACTGTTTAAGATTGTCCATATTTTCTTAATGATGAAGTGATGAATGGAATTGAAAATCTTTATCAGAGGAACACTGGTCAAAAGTCAAATGCATTCCTAAACATTTTATTTCAAAACTTAAACTTTCCTCAGCTGTTTGGAAGGTTGTTTCACATTCCATCTCCTTGTTCTAATATCAAGCTTTTTGTGTATGCTGTTCTACCATTTCCTTGTGTGTCAACATTCTGTTTTTGTAGGGCACCTTTGCTGCTGGAACTAGCTAATCTTTGTGTTGAGTATGACCAACCTGACCTCGTTGCAAGATGTGTAGATGGAATGAAAAATGCCCATATCAAGGTAGGGTGAAATCGTTTCTTCTTTCTCTGTATTATCGATCGCAACCGTGGTGTCAACGACTGAGCTGGTCAGAGATGCACTGTTGCATTCTCAGATGAGATTTCAAATTTCAGTTTCTAGTTTCAAAACAAGGTATCTTGTGCATATTTTTTCTTCTGCAGGACAAAGGAATGTTCCTTCAAATAGAATTTCTTGAGTGTTACTTGATGGTGCTGAAGTTGAGGGAAAAGCAGGAATCGTACAGTAAACATTCTGTTGAGGTGAGAAATTTGCTGAAAATTTTTGATTTTTTTATGCGTCATATTCACCATGGCTAAGACTTGAAAGGATGTCATTCAAAACTTTACCAGAAGCAAATTACAATTGGAAGTCTGTCTCTCGTGTCTGTAGGTCCGCATCCAAGCCATCAATCGGTTGACTGAAGCCTTGATGAATGCGACGCGGTATGGAGACCCTAACATCATCCAAGCTGGTTGTGTGACCCAGTGGAATCTCTGTCTTCCATTACTCCAGACCAACCTAAGAGAACATTGTCGCAAGCCACTGACCCTAGTAGCAGAGGCTCTGGAGAGCATCCAGAGGTAATGACAGGCCAGACAAAGGAAAAAAGCTTGTAAAATTGTGTCAAAATAACATCAAATTGCCAAATTTAGTGGACACATAATTTCCTTTATTGTAAATGGAGTTAAAGTGTTATCAGCATTGGATTTAATATGAAGACATTTTCGAATTGGCAGTTTGTTGGTATTGCTTCGATGCCAAATTCACACCGAGTTGGCCAAATGTGAAGAGGATGAGGAACAAATACAAGTTGCCATGGAACACCTCAAGAAGGTATTGAAGAAATATTGCTTAGACAAGAGACTGTAAGAGGAATTGCTAAGCAGAGAGTTCTGTTTCCAAAAACCTCTTCTTCGGAAAGCTACATGTATAAGTTCTCAACTTTGGAAAATGCATCCATAACTTGATGTTGGTTGCTGTCAAGAACCAAAGCATTTGAAACAAATATTGTAAAAACTTTTTTCAATTTTGTCTGGTTCAAGAGCTTAGTTTGTTTGACTGCTGCACAGTTTTTGGTTGGAGTTCCCAATGATCTGTACATTGCTTGGTTTTCTAGGCTCTGAGTTTGGATGATGGAGGCCAGTACCATGAACGTTTAGAGACAGCTCTCCACCGGTTGCAGTTGAGAGCTGAGTTGTACAAACCACCAGCCAGCATGGAAGACCAAGCCGCAATGATCATAGAACAGGTAGGAAAAATGAATTCTTGCAGTTACAAGAGCCAAGAAAATAATTGCCCTCAAGGTATCTTTAAAAAAAAAAAGATCATCCGAACTTGTGTGTGCTGGCCTTCTCCGTTGATAAGACTCCAAAAATGAAGATGGTGTGGTAACTTCAAATTATCCGTTGTGTACCTTCAAAGATTTCAACTTAAAAGTTTGACTTGGGAGAGGCAATAGGCTTTTGTATGGCTGAGGCATAAGTTCTTGCTAAGAATGAAGCATCAGCTGTGACAAAACTGAGCTTGAGGTTTCCCTGAGCCTGAACTTGAATAGGTACATTTTCCTGTTGTCTTTGTGAGACACCTGTCTCATGCTGTCAATCAATTATCTCTGCCCATTTCAGGCCAGGAAGAGTGCTGAGTCAGGTACTGTCAGAATGAAGAGATCTCTGCTTGTCAAAGCTGGCCAGGCACTGTCCCCTGATGCCTTCCTTTTGGTCTTGGAGAGTGAGAATGAGATCAAAGGTAAAAGCCCGGCTGCATTACTGACCCACCCAAAAGAGAGAGAAAGAGAGGAATTAAGACTTCCAGGTTTTAGACGATTTCAGAAATTTTCAGGATTAAATTTTGTTTTAAGAATGTGGGCATTGTAATAAATGTATAAAAATGTGGCCAGACATTTGGTGTACCGTCTCAGGTGATGAATGGAGGTGACTGTAAACCATTCAAATGTCTTCTTCACCAATCATAATTTTATCTACTGTAAATTAGCAAGGAGATCAGTATTAATGTCTTTTCTGCTTCAGAGGACTTATCAAGTTCATTTGAAGAACATTTGCTCTCTTTTGAACAGCACAGTAAAGAGAATGCATCACCGAATGGCAAGTTTCTTTAGACTGAGTCCTGCGCTGTTTCCTCATCACCACATTCTCAACAAAATCCACCAGTTCACACTTTTGTAAACTCCCCAATGCTTGACCACATTGCTTGCCGCCGTGCATTTATACAGAGATTCATTGGTATCATCACATTACTTTTTTTGGGGGGGGGAGGGAGGAGTCACAAAATACAGATCACTGTCACTCATCAGCCAACATGCTTTTCAGTTTGTATGCCAAATGAGTTTTGCTTCTCATTGACAGATTTCATTTATGAAATTATTGAATTCGTCTCACTCCAGAAAGTGATCATTTCAGGGTATATTTTTCAACATGCTTTGCACTAAATCAGATTCACACAGAAAAGCCAGCAACCAAATATTTCATGTGTACCATTAAAAGACTTGCTAAGAAATAAATCCGTAAATGTATCAAGGAATTTACTCGAAGAAAAGCACACCTTTTCATTTTTGTCTGTGCGAACGTGTTTGATTCATGATTGAGTCCAGTTTCTGAAACATGACACAAGCTCTCATGATGAAGTTCTAGATGAGTGGTCAAGGTCGGATCCTTTCCAATGACATTTATGTGTAATAAAGGTGGAGGAGGCAAAGGGTACCAGACCATCATCAACCAACTTGGTAACCGTGCAAGACACTTCCAAAAGTGCATCAAGAAATGTGGCGGTCACATCAAACGATTGGGCAGCGAGAGAGACAGAGAGAGGTTAGTCTAGTAGGGAAATATGCTTGCTACTGTAAATTGAAATGCTTTTCAGTCGAAATAGTTGTTAGCGGTGCCTGCTGCTACATCTCTTTTGGACCAGCCAGCCGATACTGCCGGCAAGCTTGGTGGTCGAGTGGTTAAGACGTCTGCACTAGTAAGCAGGAGATGGGTTTGAGCCCCACCCGAGTACGCTTGTGGTTTTTTCACAAGCCTTCGGGGACATACACTGAGTAAACGGTGTTGAAATACACGTCGGGCAGGGCAAAATCCAAAATTAATGAAATGCTTTTAGAAATTATACTTCATACCTGAAGAAAGGCAAGTAAATAGGTAGACTTACTGAATCTTCAGCTGTGTAGATGTGTGGTATTGACATGTTATGATGTGTCACGGATTTGATACATTTTTACTCTGTGTTCTGCTACAACCTGCAGAGCCAGGTTGTGGGCGGATCTAGCCAAGGTGGCACGCAAGCAGGAAGTGTGGGATGTCTGCCGCGTAGCTGCTCGGTTCACTCTGTTGTATGATGATGACCGCTGGCATATGGTCAGACCGTCTACGGGACGTTCGGACACTCGAAATGAAAGGTAAATGAAAGGAGGGTTTACTGTACCTTGGCCTGGTTGTCTATGCCTGAAAGAGAAATAGGACACTCGATTCTACTTATCGAGAAACATTCCATACCATTCCCCCCTGACAGCATTACTTCAGGCCAACCAGAGCAAGTAGAGACGCCTACCAAGAGTAGAAAGACAGGTTCAGAACCTCCTCCCCATGAGGTGCCAACTGTGACCCACTCCGACAAGGACCTGATCCGCACACTGGCCGAGATTCACTTCTTAAATGCTGAGGTGAGATCCAAATACATCCTATCTCTTGACATCGTGCTCACAAGCATGACTTGATTCCAACATAGATCTTATCCCACTGCAAACAGGTTGGTGTTGGAGTGTCTCCTAGTGAGACCAGTTTTAAACCTCAAAGTTCTCTGTTCAGTTGAAAAATTGATCACAAATGAAGTTAGCCACTTTTTCCTCATGTTCTATCAAAGTTAATTATTCTGTGTTTGATTTCAGTCGTTAATCCATCTATTGAGGTCAGAAGGTGTGAGCTTAAACAATGAGCCCGTACCTCCAGAGGATAAAAGCAAACACCCAAAGGGTTATGTCCCTACGAAGCCTGAGGATGATCCAGACTGGATTACCTATAGGTAATGAAGAGATAAATAGGTATATAATGGAAATCATTTGATACTTTAAATAGCAACCTTGGTCGTTACAGTTGTCAAAGTTAATAAAAGATGAATAGAAATAGAATCAGAATCTTGTTTTAATCTGAATCTCATGAACTTAAGCTCAACGCCATAAGAGAATTGCTTAAATCGGACTACTTCGGAGCATATATTCTCTGATCTTTATGTTGTTGAAAGAATAAACCTGATGTTGATGTGTACAAGTGTATTTTTGAAGTGACTTATAAGAAATGACCTTCATAAACTAATTCGTCTATCGAGTAGACTTTTGCTAGAGTGAGCGGACGGCAGTTTCAAAGCAGCACACCTGTTTAGCCATGATTCTGACATCTTCCTTTCATTTTTTGGTATTGATCTGTAGAGATTGGATCAAAGACCTCTCTGATTCCATCACCAAAGGATTCCTGAGAGCATCTGAGCTTGGTGTGCAGCTAAATGAGCCTTGGGTTGTATGCAGTGCTGCCACCTACCTGTGGAATTATAACAATCACCTGTTATCAGGGGACAGACACAGAGAGCTAGTGGCTTGTTATGGGTCATTGCTGCAGGACCTTAAACATGTTGGACATGCGGGGTAAGCATTTGGTCAGTTCACTTGTATTTGGATTAAGTATCGTGTCTTTTGGCAGAAGATGAAGCAGGCACACTTGTGGCGGTATTCATTGAGAAATAAGTAACGACTGAGTTTCAAATTGAATTTGGTTGTCTCTACTGATTGAGTCATCAAACCACTAGCTGTGCAAATCTACAACTGATGACTGATACTGGAGATTCTGCCATTAACACTCTTAGAATTTTCAAACGTACATGAGGATGAGCAGCCCAATCTGTTTTGTCACAAAACAGGGAGACAACCATGCTAGTTAACCTATGCAGTGCCCTGGCCTATGGTCTAGTCCAACCCTGGATCCCCAAATCTCCAGCCAGAGAAGTTGCACCCCCACCGTCCCCCTCACCAAAGGGTCGAGGGGAGAAAGAGTCCCCAAGGAAGGCCAAGTCAGTCACCAGCCACACGTCGGCTAAGACAAAGAGTCTGACAGTCGACCCAGATGGATTGGATGACATCAAGAAAGCTCTAGAGGTGAGGAGCCTATGATTTAAACCAATCCTGTTCACAGCGTCAGAGTCTACTATTCCCAAAGTTCTCTTGTTCATTCTGTTGATTGAATTGTTTGGTTTTCTGTCTTCCCTTATAGGTTTGTGAGTATGCTATGGAGGTAACCAATGGCACCAGACCAATGGACATTGTACCCATCTCAGTCCGTCATCCTCTCATCATCATCTGGACCAGGGTTAAACAGCTCCTAGGTCAACAGGTTGCTAAATCCCTGGGAACAGAAGACGAGGTATTAAACAAATAAATTGAGTTGACCGCAGTCAACTCTCGTAAGTTCACTGATCCCTTCTTGGGCCAAGTGCGTTGAGCAATTACATGACAAATCTTTTTTTTCTTTGGCAGAATAATTTTGAAGGTCAGCGACCTCTCACCCGGGCTTTGGTTGCCTTGGAGATGAAGGCATTGAATGGTAATGGGCTGACCGACTTTAAGGAAACACCTCCACTGGCAGAGGTAGGTCAAGTAATAAAGAAGTCGATCAAGATTTCTTGCCTATCTTAATAGAAGGAAGCCTTAGGCGTTGTTTGAAGAATCATAAACATGACGCTCTTGTTTTTTAACTAACTTTAAACTTTTTTTTGATTCTTACAGATTTGCAATATGGTCGAGGAATGCGCCTGGGAAGATGTCCTTGTAGAGCTTCAAGTTTGGACTCGTTTAGCAGAGCTTGCACTATCTAGCAGGGACCACCAGTTAGTGATGCGAGCCACGGGCAAGGCACTGGAGTTTAGTAAGGGTGGAATCAAGAGCAAGAAGATGGATGGGTACGGGCTGTTTGTTGGTTTCCATTTCTGTATGTCTTACAGCTTTAGCTTTTGTATTTTGGATCACAAAGTGATTGATCCCAAAAACTTCAATGAAAACCATCTCCGTTTTCTGCCCACTCCACTTAAGGCACAAGACGATGGTCTACAATGAGATGCTGAGTTACTCAAGTCGCATTCTTGGCCAGAGCTTGATCTTCAACATGCAAGGAAAGAATGCCATCAGACGATCTGCACTTGATGCGTTTCTCAACGCAGCAAGGTAAGGGCTCTTGAAGCTTATTCACTGTTTCTGTGATATCATGGTCTCTATACCTATACTTTAGTTCCAATTTTATCGGAATTCCGCAAAAAATTAATGAGATGGTTTTGTTTGTGGTAGGTATGGACAGAAGGCCAGGAATTATGGATTGGTGATCACTGCAGCTAGACTGTACTGGAACGGTTGTCTGCCATTGGTCAATGAACCAATGGAGAGACAGTTACTCAAGCAACCAATCATGATCGTCCTGGACTGTGTGACTGCCACCGCCAACAAGAACATGAAGAAAGAGGTGGGTGTTGGACATGGTTCCTCATTATGTCAGAATCCATTAATAGCGTGCTACACTGATCGTATTAATCTCTGTTCTGTAATTTCTATTTGTTAGGAGGGGACCACTGTGTCCAATGCTGCACCCCCTGCAGGGCCAACTGCTAAGGGTAACACCTCTTCCCCGTCCCCAACGAGCTCTCCTATTGCTGGCATTTTGTCGGACCCAGAGGATGACTTGACTCTCAGAGCTGCCTTGTACGGGGTCATGTTCCAGGCTTATGTTGACCAGGTATGGAAAGCGGTTAAAGCATATGCCAGGTTGTGGCTATGTTTTGAAATAATGTGCTTGCCTATGGACAGATGGAAGCCACTGCCCATACCCCTAGCCACAGCCAATTAATTTGGACATAGCTTTGTAAATTGAAAAACTTTCTTGATATGTTCAGAACTATAGCTTATTAGCAGCTATTGAGACATCATTGATTGCTGTTTAATATGCGAACCTTTGTTTGCATTAGATTGGTTAAAATCCCAAGTTCTATAAGTCAATGATGTAACTTACGAAAGAGCAAGATCAAGTAATGACTAGGGCTAATTGTTAGTTTTTATTCTTTGCAGGGTGAATGGGAGGAAGCCTTAGCCGCTATGGATAAAGCTGTGGCTGACATGCCCCGTACCAAACACAGATTGTAAGTTCAAAATCTTATCAAATGTTTTTCTTTATGTTAAATTCACTGTCTACATGTAGCTTCATGGATACTGATGGCTTTGCCCCAGTTTCAGATACACGGTCATAATTTGTCGTTGATTTTGAATTTTTTAGGTTGATATTCAAGCATCGTTTAATGGTCAAGGCCAAACTAGGAAGAGATGTCAGTGTAGACATTGCTAAGTTCAAGGTAAGGTTGTGGTAAAGTCAAACATTTTAAATTGGGGTTAATAAAAGGGCTTCCTTACTTTTGAAATATTGTAAAACCTGAGTGGCATGTGATGGCACAGTAGGTAAAAATTTTTTATCTTCGCTGAAATTGAGCATTAGTAGGCTCAGCACCAATGCGGATATCCTGTAAAATGGAAAAACATCAGGTCTGCTGATTTTTCTTCCCAATTACAGGACGAAAGTGAAGACTACCTATCCACAATGTGGCACAAGGTGGCGCTGTGCTCTCGAGATCAGCGTGAGCAGCTGACGTCGTACAAGAATGCCATTGAGGTCTTGCAGGTAGGCAACCAACTTTAAAATTTTTAAGTTGTTGGGTGTGCTAACTGTAAATCAAGAAAATGATGCAAGCTGAAATACTCGGCTTAGTTCACTGGATTTGATTTTCAATTCCACAGAGAGTGTTGGAATGCACAAACCATACTGAAGTAGCTAGAAAACAAGTTGAGACACCTGATTGAATTTCTACGTCTCTCCTTCATGATACAGGCAAGTGCGAGTGATTGGCAGAAGGTGGAGTATCTGATGGAGTTTGCTGAATGGCTGTACATCAATGAATTTCCCTTGATGGACTGTCTGGATCAATTAGAATGGGCTGCTGATATCTTGCTGAATATGAAGATTGAAACCAGGGCCAAAGTTACCGAGCAAGGTATTGTCGCGTCCACGTTGGTTTTGACAATGTGCAGTTACTGATTGTCCATCACAAAATTCCATAGATGCTGTGGATATTAGCAGTCTTCAATCATTTTTCTACAGCAACAGGAAAGTCTAAAAAGAAAAAGGGCAAGAAATCAGCTGAGCCAGCCCCTCAGTCCCCAGCTGCTCCTCGCTCCCCCACCCCCACAGAGACAAAAACAGCGACAGAGGGGGCAACAGACAGTGAGGGGGAAGAATCCAAAGCTGCTCGGTTCATCCCAATCAAGAAGCAGTCGGTCATCGGTCTGTCAGCATCCAACTTGAACCTGTCAGCCGCTGAGCTGACCAGCGTCAAACAACTGGAACATCTGGTTCGAATCCACACCATGCTGGCCAAGATGGCTGGCTGGGGGTCACCCATGCACAAGACCTACTGTCTGCTGGCCTGGGGTTTCCTGATCAGAATATGGCAGGTAGGCACAAGTGATCAGTTCCACTTCCATTTCGTAGTTTGTAGTTGGAGTGATTGTAAGAACCTTTGTGACCGCCAAACTATCAGGAAGAAAGACGCCAGACAAATGTTGCCTACTACAATCATGACACACAGGATGTATTCTCTGTTGTGCAAGACCCTGCTAAGTGGAAACCTTTTCATCAAGGTTGATTTTTAAAGACAATTGTTGTAATTGTTAGGCTGAGTGATGGCGATGTTTTTGCTTTCTTGTTAAATGATCTGTAGGTATCTTGAATAGTAATTATTAGCCAGGTGCAAGACTTTTATTCCTGTCTAATTCTTGGGTCCAATGGAAAAGTTGTTCATGTTGTTTAAATATTTATTCATGGTAGGTTTCTCTGAGCTCAGCTGGTCAAGTAGCCAAGGAGATGGCCAAAGTCTCCATCTCTAATGAGCAGCAGGGAAACCAGAAGAATTCAGCCAAGGGTAAACCCAAGAAGGATGGAGGAAGCAAAGGAGGCAAAGAACAAGACACACCCAGGGAGAAACCCAAGAGGAAAGGCCCACTGGATGCTGTACCTCAGCATCCTGAAGACTGGGCCATGTATGACGTCCCAGATGAGGTGAACTTAATAATGATCCACACTCAGTTCCGGGCCAAACTGCAAGCACCAGCTCTTCAGAAGGTGTTGTGTAGGAAATTGTATATATTCTCTAGGAAAACAAAATGAGAACCAATTAATTATGGCAAGCAACCTGTTCTTACATTCTCTTTGCATCAGATGCGAGAAGCTTTCAAGGAAGACCACACTGGTGAAGGCATCAATAAGGACTCCATCACAAAACCGGTGAGGGTTTACTTTCTTCTGAATTCATTCATTGTTATACAGCATGCTGTAATAAACTTTGACAAACTTCTTTTGCACTCAGGATTTGAAGGTCTTGTACAAAAACATCTCAACCATTTTACTCCTTCGTAGTTCACTTATTGCCTTTCTTTCTCACCTCTGTAGACTCTCACCCTCTACTACTTGGATTGCCTGGTGTCAGAGCTCCGAGGTATCGGTTACAGTCATCTGACCTTTCCTGCCCTTGTCTTTGGTGAAGTCGTCGCCAGAGATATTGTGGAGTCTAATGTGACTGGAAACACGTACAGACTACTGTAAGCATTCTTTGAGGGATCTTAAATAATTTGTTTTGATTAGTTTTGTGGAAGGATTTCCAAACATCGTGAAGGCATCTATCGTTAAAATCGGTTCATTTTCTTGATTACCTGTGTGTATGACTGTTTCCTGCTTGTAGGTCTGCTGAGATATGCCTTGAGCTGAATCTGACCTCAGCTGCAAAGTTTCACGAGGCTTCTGCTGGTGCTCTGGGTGTCAGTGAAGATGATTTGGCCAAGTGAGTCGGATTTTACTATTTTAGGAAGATTGTTCAAGGACCTATTATGGAGGAAGGTATTGGCAGTTTGGTCTCGACACTCTTATGACCAGCCCTTCTGTCACTTGCTTATATGTCATCATGGTGTTGGTGAGACGATTTTGCCCAGAATTTATCCAGACGATGCCTTCCTTTGACAGGTGTCGAGAGGAAACAGCTCGCTTCAAGGAGAGACAGAACCAGGTCCGGGTAGAGGCACAGCGAGCCAGGGAATTACAGCGACTCATGACAGCAGACGAGAAGCTTAAGAAGAAGCCCTCAAGGATTATCATTCCTGCTGACCAAAAGGTCTGTCTGCAGTTGATCTGATTATGAAGTTCATATCTTGTTGCAGAGGCATGTCATTTGCCTCTAAATTTGTCGTGCAGCCAAGGAGTTTTATACATGTACATGTTTTGCAGCCATTTTCGAAGTCAAAGTTTGCATCTATCCAGTAGAACATCATTGGTTGTGTCCCTAAGCAGGATAGTCAATCACAATTTTTCTCCACCTGACTGCTACATATTACTTAGAATAGTATTAAATGCAGTTAAGACAGAATCTTTTCCAAAATGCTGCAATGAATTTTGAAGCCACCTTTGTTACACAAGCACGGATTTTACTTCATTCAATTATTTTCGTCAATCGAATTGATATCTGTATAAATTTTCATCTTTTTAATCCAGACTGATATCATCGAGTCTGTTTTGGGTCTGAGTAAACCCCTGAGTGGTATGACTTACAGGCAAGCCTGGACTCAACAAGCTGAGATCCTTACCAAGCAGGTAGAAACAAATAAAAGATCACATGACGTCACCCGCTTTGTCTTATTTAGTTCTAATAGTGAAAAAAAAAATAGTTCTCATTTTATCAAAGTCACAGATTGACATTTCGGTCCAGTTTCGAATATCTGTTTTATGTTTTCTCTTTAGGGTTATTACCAAGCTGCAAGACAACTGCTTAGTGAAGCTCACCTCTCCACTAAGGCATTTGATGACAGACACACCGAAGTCCACATTCTGCAGAACCTTGCAAAGCTAGCCTGCCAAGAGGCCAACTATGGACAGGCCATCAACCTGCTCAAGGAAGCTCAGAAGTTTGACGGCAATGAGTCATTCTGGTTGGACACCACTGTCCTACTCGTGGATGCTACACTGGGAGATCTGGAAGACAGGGAGCGTAACAACAAAGCTAGAGCCATCATCCTGAAAGCTCTAGCATCTTACTCCGAGATTGCCAGTCAGAGACCAAACAAGAAGGACATGATGACCTACATCAAGGCCACACTGGATGCTAAGTAAGAGCGACGTACTACGGCAACGAGATTCTTCCCTTTTTATACCTACAGTGCTGCTCAGTTCTTGTTCAAACATGGATAAATTTTATGGATCCGCCATCAAGTCTGGGTCCTTGAGACATAGACTAAAGATCACTGATTGCTGAGGAATGGCTCTGTCCATTTTTGATGCAAGCCTGTTCCCATTCAGTATGACCAATTTATGGCTCTCATACATTATTCTTTGGTATTTTTTATTGTTCCACAGATTTGCATCAGTTCAGATCAGCCAGGTCCTTGAGGAGAGTAAAGACACCATGAAACCCAAGGCACATCGAGAGCTACAAGCAGCTTGCCAAGTAATTCCCTTTGATATAGTTTCTCATTACTTCTCGTGGACCAGATGTCACCATATTGATACCTTAATCTCTAAAACTTTTTGTTCAATTTGATTGTTTTCCACAATATTTTGTCTCTGCCAGTAACGGCGGATGAATCAGAATTGATCCAACACAAATTTGCATTTGTGAGTGTAGCGTCGCGGAGCTGCCAGATTGCCTCAAATGCAGGCCTCACTGTTATTTTATAACAAGCCACTCTCTACATATTAGTTTGTACATCTGTGCATATGGAGTCAACATCTTTCAAAATAATGCTGGTGGTGTTGTTCTTGCAGAGACTGCAACGTAGCGCTGAAGATTTTGTCAGAGCCGACTACAAGCGAGAAGCAGCACAGGTCATGCAGCAACATGCTAGCATACTCAGGTACTCAAACTCAATAATAGAGCAAATCCTCATCATTAATGACCGAGTCCTTTTTGATTTCATGACCAATCTCCTTCAGTCATCAGTAATTCTCTGTCTCCGGTGACACCAGCTTGTTCATCTTTATACAATCTGACTGGTTTATTGCCTCACAGGTTGTTTGCTTGCGACAGCGACGATAAGGAAATTCAGCATAGCTTTCTCTTACAAGCCCAGTCCATCATGCAGAAAGGAGTTCAGATGATGGATCACCTGCTGCAAGATGTCTGCACGCTGTCTGCAGTTCAAGAGGTACATACTCCACATACCGAGCGGAGTAATCTCTTCCAACTTCCTCATTTTGTCATGTCAACATCTGTATCCCTGTTCCCTGCTTATCATTTTTAGAGCATCACGGTTTCTTCTCAGACCAACTAGTTTTGTACCACTTGCATTGAGTAGTTTTTCTCTTCTACGTCTGTTGGAATGTCTTATTGATGAGGAAACTGTTACTTGTTTCATTCTCGTCTCGTCAGATGAGAAGCATCAGCTTGCCTCTCCAGCGGGAGTCCTGCATCCTCAAGATCTCCTACGCTGAGCTCCTGATCGACATGTTTGTCATCTACGCTGAGGAGCAGAGACAACATCAGCAGGTTGAAGCTCAAAAAGGAGAAGTAGAGAAGGTAGAGAAAGAATACTGTGTGTATTGGTAAACAATCCAAAGAAACAAGGACTAACCCAATAGAGGCTTTACATGGTAGCCATCTTGCGGGGTAGTTCTTTTGTTCCACAGGGAAACCTCTTTCGTGCATACCCTGTGGAAAAAAACACTAACCTTCAAGATGGCAGCTATGCAAAAACTCTATTCAGACCTGTAGCATCTCAGACTGTCTGATTCTGTTTGTTCCCTCTGAAAGTACACTGACATGACACTGAATGTTCATGGTGAACAATAAAGGTACGCCAATCATATTTTACTTGTGCTTTAGTCTAAGCCGAACACTATTTTGACTGTTTGCAAACTTTGTTCCCTTTATTCACAGCTCGTTGAAGATTTCATCTCGGCCACACCGGTACTGACAGATATTGACAAGCAATGGCAGAAGATGGCAAGGTTGGTCTGACTTTCTTTCTGTAAAGATACTTTCTTCATCTCGTGGTTTCTTCTCTTTTAACTATAAGCATCAGCTGATGCCAAACTGCATCAATCTCATGCTTTGTAGAGTCTAAAGAATGGATAATTGATTGGATAATTGATAGGTTTTCAATATCTTAAGTGTTTGCATTTTTGTTTACTTTTTTCAGCACATTTGCCACTGGTGCCCTGTCTGTCCTTCAGAGTGCGCACACCTTGGCTGGTTCCATTGGTCAACTCAAAGCAAAGGTTATACATGTGTTCCTTGTCACTTCATTGCAGTTTCTGCTTCCATGCTGAACTTCACTCCAAATAATTACTTGTGCTATTTGAGTTTCAGCTTTTTTCTCTTGATGTTTGCAGACTTTGTACAACATGGGTCGTTGTCTTCGCATGCTGGCTAGCAGTCGTGGTGCCTCTCCACCAAGCCAGTGGGATCTCCAATACATGGTAAACATTGTTGTCAAATTTGGAAGTTTCATGTACTAAAGTTGTTAATATCTGTACTACTATTGGTGTAATTCTGTGACTTTGTTACTTCGTCTCTCCATGTGTTATGTACAGAATTTTTTTAGAGAGGCCTGCAGAGAAATGACTCTTGTATTCATTCCCAACTCATTACATTTTGTTGGGTCGTATCTTCTCGTTGTAGAATCTCACTGCAGGATCAGGAGTTGGTCAAGGCAGTCAACCAGTGAAGAACACAGAGGAGACAGAAGATGGGGAAGAAATGCATGATGGGAAAGATCTGGATGTGTCCGCCTCTCAACTGATCAAATACTCGTCTGTAGCAGTCAACATCAAGGTATGCTAAAGGAGGAAACTTTGCCACTGAATGTTATACAAGCACTGGCCTTTGCTTGTGAGAAGAGCTGACATGTGTAATGTCTTCAAGTAGGAAGAATTCATGGAACATTTCAGATATTTGCTCAATACTGATGAGCGTATGTGCTCAGTAAAAGTTCCTCATCTGTCAAATTTTATGGCTTAGCTAGACATCACACATGACTACATAGTCCTATAATGTCAGCCATATGTTTCCACTGCTTGTTTTTACCCATCAGGCAAATCAGACTTCCTCTGAGCTGTACTTGGCCCAAGCCAGCGAGGTGCTAACCCAGAGTGTGCAACTAGCCCTCCAGAAGGGAGACAGGGTAAAGATAGCTAGGGTTAAAAGTTTCAAAGGCCAGTCTGCTCAGTGCAAACAGAGGGCCAGTCTACTTGTCTCTGCTTTGTCTTGGGTTTCAATCTCTGTCTGATTGTAGAAGGAGTCGAAGTTTGCCAGTCTCTTAACATTCTCACTATTTAATCTTACAATATCTTGTAGAATTTGGTAGCAGCAGGATGCTTGGAGCTTGTAGAGAGCTGTGGACAGTATGACAGTGCGATGACCTCCCAGTATTTAGCATTGTATCAGGTTAGATATGTGATGGAATATGTCTGCAGTATTGCCGCAAAAGTATTTCAAAACTATTGCAGTGTCAGTTGATATATGCTTTAAATGATTCCTTTGAATGATTTGAAGATCAGTGTTTTCATAGTGAGAGAAATGAACCAGGTGCAAGGCTAATTCTTGGGGTATGTTACAGTGCATGTTTATTTCTTCGTTATCAGAGTTGCATGAGCTCCAAGTGTCTTGAAGACTTGCTTCTGAGGGCACAGCGAGATCCCTCCACCTCTAAGCAAGCAGCTTTGCTGCAGCAGCGACAGCGACTAGAGACTGATGCAGCAACCACCAACATGGGTCACGGCAGTCTGGCCAAGGTGGTTAATGAAAATCTGCAAGAATCCTCTGAGGTAAGACAGACATCTGAAAAGGAACTCCTTGGAGTGTGAATTCAATACTCTCATGATTTTAGTAGGTTGAAAGCTTTTACTGGAAGTGAGCTGTCTTGTTTTTGTGGTAGGCATGGAAACGCATCGCTGTCAGCCCCCAGCACATGGATCTGATCAAAGAGATGCCTACAAACTTCAACCTGGTCATCTTGCAACATTCCGAAGACAAGTTAGTCCAAAATAATCAACTCCTTTTTGGTTCCTCGTCACTATTTATCTTTCTTTTTCACCATTGACCAAAAACTCTCCGTGTGGAAATATTATAACTAAACTTCATCTAGATAGAGCACTTCAGCTCTTGATTTGCCATTGTGGATAATTTTTTACTGAGAAACCTCTGTCAAAACTGTTCAATCCAAGTATACAGTTATATACTCTTTGTCTTTTTCAGTTTAGATCAATCCAATTTGTACCTATTCCTTCTTGAATTTTTACACCAGGTCAACTTTGTATGGGGCCATTTTGGATCGACCCAAACCAGCGGGAGGGAAGGAGGGGGGTAAACCCTCCAAAGGAAGTCAAAGTACTGCATCAAGGGCAAAGGTCACTCGGACATTGGTGGAGCCTCATACTTTAGAGTCACTTCACAGGAGGTCAGTCAATAAGCAGCCTCATTCTGCATCTTGGAAGGTTATAAAATAGGAATTTTTCAGTCAATCCTCTTTCTTCACTGAAATGTAATTAACCCTAGAGGTGGTTCAGGTTTCTTTACTCCTCTCGACAGTACAGGCGTGGTTCTAAACTCCTAGCTTTGTACTTTAAACCTGCTTGACTTGTAGAGACTGCACTTTTCTATCATTTCATTCAGATTCCGTCAACACAAGCAGGATGTAATGGCCACACTGCTGAAGGCAGAGTACCAGCGATCACAGCAGGCCCAGCGACAGAAGATGTTGGAGAACATCTCTGATGACATGAAGGAGGACATCAAGGTATTGGCAGGATTGGCGGGATTCGTACCCGAGACCTGCGGGTTTATGTCCAATACTCCACCAAGACGGTTAGGCCGTTGTTTATTGACAACCATCAGAGTCAACTGTCATCTGCCTATGATTGGATCATTTTTCAAGACTCTTTGCTAACGTCAGTGCACCTGTGCAGCTGATAGTATTTGAAAGAGAAAGCATTGTTTATCATCACTTCACTTTGATGGGGATTTGTTTGTTGATTATTTTGTGTTGTAGGATTGGTCTGGCGACATTGAGAAAGCCGAGGACAAACTGCAAGAGCAGTTTCTGGAATTGCTGCGAGAGTTGGAAGAATATCTGAAGCCCATCCTATCTTACTTGGACCCAGCTATCAGGTAGATTTCATTGGAGCTATGATTGTTTTAAACAGGTTGAAGAAAAAGATTTATTATAGATACGTATTGTAATGTTATCATTCTTGAGAAACTGTGAATAAAATTCTGTATTAAGCTCAGTACAGCAACAGGATTTGCTTTTGAATTCCTCTCTGACAGTTGAAACTTTCAACCAAATTGGACCAGAGATGAAAAGTTCACTTTGTTTGTTTGTTTGTTTGTTTGTTTGAATTTACTGCAGAGCTTTGGAGACACCAGGACCAGCCCCGACATCTCGCTCAGATCCAGCCACCTCTGCTACTCCTGAGGAATGTGTCATCCTCCTGGCTGATAAGTGGCTTCTTGAAATGCCCCTTGAAGCTTTGACCATCTTCTCGTCACCTGCCATCACCTCGCTGTCTCGAGACTTCTCTTTGCAGATGCTGTACCATCGCATCCACAAGGAACCAGAAGGTACTTTATAAAGGACAGAGGAGAAAAACTGCGCTAGAAATTTGTGATTAGTATAAAACAGTTTTAAAGAGAATTATTAAACTGCTTCATTCTGTGTGAGTGACGTGACGGCCTGATGTTTGATCTTTTGTAGAGGAAGTGATGAGTGATGACAAGAAGAAGAAAGAAGCTGCAAAGATCAAAGCAGCTAAGGATAAGGCCAAAGGAGTCAAGATGGTAGGTGGACTGATGAGAACTCATCACAAGATGGTCATTGTTTAGGTGGCTGTCCTTAGAGACTATCAGAAGCAGTTATGAAAGTGGTCAATTCCTGTCTTATGAGGACAGATTATTAGGGCCAGCACCACAACAGAAAGTTGCTGGGTGCTGCTGGTTGATCTTGGACCCTAGTTAAGCCAGATGGAACACCTTGACTTGGACTGATTTAGGGATAATAATGATGTTGATTGATTGATGTGATCTTTTGTTCTGCACAGGTACCAATAGATCGTCCGGTACCACCTAGTTGCCTACCCATTGATACGCACAGCTTCAAGTGTATCCTTTGAATTTTTAAACACAGACACTTTGTTAGCGGTACATTTGTAGCATGGTATTGGAAGCACAAGACCAACAAAGATCTGATCAAGAAAATTAATAAATTAAGCATCCTTGAATGGTATTCATTATTTTCCTTGAAGGATGTCATCATACAGATGTCGTTGATCCACATTATGACTGCCCGGGAGAAGGTACAATTTTGTAAAGATTTTCAGATTTAAGTCCCTTCATTTTTTGAGGACAATCATTAAGAATAATCTTTGGTTTATTATAATGCAAAGCTTTTAACTCATTAAAATGCCTGAGAAATTTGACATGTGGCAAGGTTTTAATATTTTTTGTATTCCTGTTTTTGTGTCTGACAGAAGTCAGTCATCCTGTGTATGAGCTACAGGAAGCTTTGAAGCTTTATAACAACCAGTTCTCAGCTCGTTGGGAGGGAATTACAGGCAGTGACCATGTACCAAGGTAAAACAAGACCTGCCAAGCTGGGTTATGTATTTGAAAAAGCATACTTAAGCAGGTCACCTTGAGGTAGCCGGAAAAATGTTTGATGTCTCTTGCACCCTTTAAAATATACTGTCATAGTGTAGCATTTTCATGACTCAATTTTGTAACATTAGTGACATTACAGATGATTAAGATATTTACAAGCCTTGTACTCAATTGCTATCTCAGTGAAATTATTCTATCGAAAACATACGATAGCAATATGATTTAACAATGTATTTTACCCTGACCAGTTCAGTATGACCAGGTCATTCATGCATGATCAATGCCATTCGTCGTTACTTTGTCTTTTGCATGGCAGTGTGGGCGAGTGGGAAGAACAGTTCCGTGAGTGCGCCGCTTTCATCTTCTATGGACTGGAGAAATTCTTCTCGCATGTCCCTCCGCAGAAACTGGCTCCCATGAATCTAACTGGTAAGCGTCTGCTGGTAATTAGCGCTTGACCTACAATGGTAGATTGGAAAAGAGCTACATGAAGATTTCATTGTGCTTGTTGGTTGCAAGCCCGATTACTTGCAAACCCTTCCGGACTATTTTGGCACAGCTCTACCTTTATGTTCTTGTTATCAAATCGTCAATGAGGAAATACGTTTGTCTTGTCTCCCACAGAATGCCAGTTGGTGATGATACTGGATCTTGTGCAGACAAGCCAAAGCTTTATGAGACAGTCCAAGATTGATGTCCAAAAGAGGTAAACACTGAGAAGAAATCACTCCAAAATGGGACTTCGAAGGCTTTTGCTCATAAATGCAATAACTCTTTTCGTGACAATTGACAGAGTTAATGTATTTGTCTACACTTTCCAAGCAGTATTTGCTCAATGTCCATTCTGTAATTATTTTGCCAGCAAAAACGAGTTGTCGCTTGAGAAGTCGGTTGAGACAGCCATGCTGTTGAGTCTGAGTGGGGCCGGCTGCATCATAGAGAATCAGTGGCATTGCACAAAACAGCAGAATGCCAACAAATTCCAGACAATATTGAAAGGTGAGGACTAGTGGGAGTGGGGGACGAGTTGGAGGGTTGATGATGAGGAATGGGTCAAGGTGTCAGGGTAAAGGTGAATGATAGGCTGGGTACTCTGGGGCAGCATAGGAGGGGTGAGGAGGGGTGGGTCAAGGTGTCAGGGTTGAGATGAATGATCGGCTGGGTACTCTGGGGCAGCAGAGGAGGGGTGAGGAGGGGTGGGTCAAGGTGTCAGGGTTGAGATGAATGATCGGCTGGGTACTCTGGGGCAGCATAGGAGGGGTGAGGAGGGGTGGGTCAAGGTGTCAGGGTTGAGATGAATGATCGGCTGGGTACTCAACTGACTTTGTGGTGACAAATTTCGCACATGCATTCCACTAGATTAAGAAAGCGCCTGTGCTGTGTTTGGTAGAGTAAGCATCTCAGTTCTGCAGTATTCTATTCTCTTAATCTGTCTTCTCATTCAATGATAGCTCTGTTGGAGATTGGAAGGACAACCGGTCAAACGGTCCGTCGGATGTTCATTCCGACCTGGAAGCAGGAGGGGGAGGAGGAAGAGGAAGGCGAGGGGGCGGATGACAAGAATGACGGCAAGACCAGTGTGGCATCGCAGCCTCAGAAAGCCAACGGCAGTGACAGCAAAGGAGACAAGTCCAAGAATGCCAAGGCCAAAGGCGACGAAGGGGGCAAGAGTGCAAAGGTCAAAGGTGAAGAGGGTAAGAGTGCAAAGACCAAAGGCAAGAAAGAGGATAAAAAGGAAAGTCAGGTGGCAGAGGTGAAGGGTCAAGGGTCACTGACTAGTGTAACAAGTAAAGAACAGTTGGCTGGGGGTGAAGAGTTGGAGTTAATTAACAGGCATTGGTTTAACTGTGTGTGTTATGGGTTGCCTAACCTGATGGTGACCCAAGTTAATTAATTGTAAGGTTCAAAGGTTGAGTTAAATGGAATTTAAAAGTTTGTTGTTTCTGATATTTAGTTTCTTTGATGGATTTGGGGTGAAGCTGGAACACTGGTGTCAGTTTTACAAAATACATGTTATTCCTCAGTGGACTTTAGTTGCTGTCTCTACACATATTTCGAGCTTTTGCCACTGTTTTTAATACTGTGTCACCTACAAAATGGGTTAAGTGTTCGAGAATTTGCAAAAACAACAAATTCTCCTTTCACATGTACATTTTGTTCAGCCACCCTTTAATAGACTGTCCATGTAACCATCCCGCTCTGGATGTCTGTGGCTATTTAAGGCTGCATTTCCTATCACAAATTCAACCTTAAAAAAACTGCCATTTGACATCAACTTCATACTCTTAATTAACCAGCAGCAAAGCTGATAGTTTATTCAAAAAATTGTTCAGTAATGTAATATTTACAGGGTGTACTTCAGCTTTTATGTACAGAATCCTGTCAGGAAAGGAAAGTTGTTTGTTCAACTTGCTTCCATGACACTTTTTCTGTCAAAAACCAAGGCGAATGCATGTGTGTTCAAAACAAAATTACTTTCACAACAGCGTATGCCTACACTTGATAACATGGCAAAAGCTTCCAATGAACTTAAATGAATTCTCCAAGGTCTTTCTTTGATAGGCAGGAAACTTTATAAAGGTTTAGCAATTTTAAACAGCATTTCCTTTCCAATGTGTTTTTATTACAAAATAACATGACGAGGCCAAACAAAATAATAGTTTTGCTTCCAGTTACTCACCCCAACCTAACAAATTCTGCCGACCCCCAAATCTTGTTATTGAAAAAACAAATAAAAATAAAAACTACTATTGCCAACCCTCATGCTTATAATCTCCACTTTTTTGTTGAGCATGCCAAAATTTATTTTCCACTGTTTTGCCATCGACAGGCCGGATTTTCCTCATTAAGCACCAATTTTTCTTTTTCTTTCGACGCGACAGCCAGGTCAACTTTGCACATCCTCGTTCGGACACTGAACAGTAGTGGAGAGTTCCATACACATAACACACGCTACTCAACCGTGCACGCACATGTACAGTATGTGCGTAAAGTGATACATATCCGTGCGGCTTGAAGCACAAGTCTTGTGTGTAAACAGTGTGGAATACACCGCAGCCCATCAAAATCACTTTGTAATTAAAAACGAAAAAAAATTGCCACCCTAAAATTTTTGACCCAAAAACTTTAGAAGAAAAACAAAGATACTACCCACTTTAATACCCAACCTATTTTTTTCCCATGTAATAGGAAGCACAACTATTATTTTGTTGGGCCTGAACTCTGTATGCTATGCAAGTGTAATTGTGTTTCTGAAGTGGATGCAAACTGTTAGCAATAATACACCATCCGTCCATAATCCTTTTCACAATACATGTATCACTTTTAGGTACCATTTGGTACCATTTAAACACCTGTTCTGGACATTGGAATTATTAAAACAAATCCTTGGCACTGTAATCACTCTTTTGCCTTGTTAAAGTTAATGTGGATTGTTGGCAAATATTTTATGTTTAGTGTGACAGATTATGTGCTTCACTAAAAATGTGAAAACAAATGTGTTAATTATTATCGACATTTGCCAAGAGTGACCCACGTTTTGAGGGGTACATTTCTACAACATTTGCATCAATCAGTTTGTCACACTATGCTGGAGTTCTCACTACTTCCTTTCTGAAGTCTTTGAGTTGGAAATTCTTCATCAGTCACTCTTCCACACTAGCAACCAACAAGGTGGTCAAGCAAAACCAAAGGTTGCTCAAGATCTTGGTTATTGAACTGTCAAGATCACAGCTGATGAAGAAAACTTCCGTGTCTGTTCCATAAACTTGGCCAAATTGGGAAAAGCTGATGTTCTATTGGCATCGTTCCCATAGGATTTCCACTTTCCATAGAAATCTTCCTCAGGCTTTTCCCTCCGGCATGACCATCATCCGTGGTGCAATGCTCATGGCCATCAACTCCTGGAAGAGGAGCTTGCAGGCATAGGGCAAACGAATCTGAGATATCTGCAACAGGAAAAGATGTAAGAGGGTTCACTATCTTCCTGGAGAAACACTGAGAAGTCCTTGGAAAGGGTCCAATTATTCAATATTTTGCAAAGATAACGTAACTTGGAAATGAAAAACATTTTGGCACGTTTACATCAAAAATACTCTTGAAGGAGATACAAGTTCTTCAGAATCCTGTCTGTTTTTGGAGTTGAATCCACCCTGAGTCGAAGTTCACCCTTTTCCGTGGTAAAGAGGAGGACAGACAGGCTGGTGGGAAAATTTCGACCAGGCTTGTGCACGCGCACACATCAATTCGCCTGGCGAAACATGTAGTCTTCATTCTAATGTGTAATAGTTGAACGTTATCAAGGCATGCCCTGTGCCAAACACACACCTGCAGGTTCGTGCAGTAATTTCCCACCAAAAGATATTCACTTCCCTGTAAAAACACGCCCTCTCTTGTTCCAACTGGAGGGAGAAAGTGTGATTTCTGTACCTGAGTTTTATTCTTGCAGCCACGGCACTCAAACGTGTTGTTCCTCAAGTTTGCAATAGCAATGAGTCCACACAGGTTGCAGACATGAACTCGATAAGGATCAGATACCTCGAACAGTCTCTCCCTCAGGAACTGGGCTGAGCCGTGAGAGATCTGACAATCACGTTCCATCTCGCCGAAGCGAAGACCACCATCACTGAGATTAAATGATGAGAGTACACAATCAAGTCAACAATGATAGGTTGAAAAACCATTTACGTTAAAGGCAAGGCTTAAATTGACATTGAAAACTTTCTCCTGTGTATACTCTTTTAACCCTAACCCTCGTCACTCTTCTAAAATCCTTCGGGCGGTTTCAGAGGATTTTGGAGGATTGAGGGTGAATAGTTAAAGTGTATGGCTGATTGTGAAGGATTCCATGAGTGGAGGTTGTGGGCTGGACGTTGTGTTGTTCTTGCTCAGTCATGCATAAATTCAGCCCCAAATTTCTTTTGAATCAACCGCACTGCTCAAGAATGCCATTCGCACTGCCTCAACATAATGGCAGGAATTGCCAGAGAATTTCGAAGGATTGAGGCAGTAGGCTCACCTCCATGTAACATTTTCAAGAAATTTTGGAGGACTTTGTAGGCTTGAGGGAGAATCCAATTTTGTCACCCCCCAAATTGGATGATTCTGGAGGATTGAGGAGGGTCCCTAACAAACAGGACCGGGGGGGGGGGTTAGGGTTAAGAAGTACACTGAGAAGGTGAAGGATGCCAACTTTACCGCGATCTGCCCTCCATGGGCTGTCTGTTCAAGATCTGCACAGGTCCACGAGCTCTGGAGTGAATCTTGTCATCTACCATATGCTTGAGACGTTGGTAGTAGGTTGGACCCAGGAATACCTGAACACCAATCTTGCGGCCAGTGAAACCACAATAAAGCACCTGCAAAAGACAACAAATAGGATTGAAGACTCTATGTCAGTATAAAGAACAATCAAGGACTTTGAATGCTCTGAAAGATTTAGTGTGTGATTAAATTCACATGGAAGGTATCATATTTTGAGATTAGAGGATAACTGATTCTATTTTTAAAACATATTTTGATGTCTTCACTTATCATTTGCTCAAGATCCAATACGGCCAAGTTTTATTCCTACCTCATTGCCTCTCTGATGGTATCCATACTCATGCAGCAGATCCGAGATCTTCTGTACGTTGACTGAGTCGTTGAACGGCGTTGCATCACCAATCTCCCCCTTGTTGGCCGATACTTTACCCTGGAGGCATTCAATCAAGTGACCGATGGTCATACGGCTAGGGATGGCGTGAGGGTTGATGATGATGTCTGGATTGATGCCCTCACAGGTAAATGGCATGTCCTAAACAAGTGGAAAAGAACATGAGGGGCTGGCTGTTACACTAGATGTCTCTTTAAGAGCTGAGAGTAAACTACACGCCTTCACTGTTTTTATAACAAAGCCAAACTCCTCTGAGACTATTGAATAACCACAAAGGAGGCTTGTTCAATGCTGAATATTACTCTCGATGTTAAAGGAAATGAGCAACGTTAGAGAATCAGCCCTACCTCTGGTCTGTACTTCATTCCACAAGTACCCTTCTGCCCATGTCTGCTGGCAAACTTGTCGCCGATCTGGGGAATACGCACCGACCGAACCTGCCGACAGATTCAACAAAACCACCAGCAAATTCAGTGTCATCCAATGCAAGCTTCTGAAATAAATGATTTGATGAGACTCCAACAAGAAACTGATGGGCGATGTGTCAGAGTTCTTGTCACACCAATGCTGCCATTTCTCACCTTGATCTTACAAAACTTGTAGCCTTCCTGGTTGATGCTAATCATGACCTGATCAATGATACCAGTCTCTGAGCGTCGCATGAATGTGCTACAGTCTCGCTTGGTATACCGTCGACTGGTACCCTCCAGCTGTAGGACACAAGCAAAGTGTCATAAATATCAGTCCACTACAAAAGCATTTCCAGACCTTAGATCACCGAACCACAGCATACACTATTTAATGATTAAACAGTCGCTGTACAATTTCTAGGATCGTCACAGTACAAGAAGTCCAAACGAGACAGCAAAATGTCAAAGACCAAGAGAGACAAAGAATGTTGCAAAAGAACCCTACTCTGGTACCTCATCATCATCCTCAGGTTCTGTTATTGTTTTGCCGATGAGGACATCATCTCCAGACACACGAGTGCCAGGAGGAATGATGCCATCGTCCTCCAACTTTTCATAGACCGCTGTTCGCATCCCTGGAGGAAAGAAGAGCAAAAACAGAGCGATACTATCATTTTACTACCACAAACTTGAACCAAAGTCTTGAGAATGAACTTGCAAGAGCCTCTAATTTCATGTGAATCTTGACTGAACAGAAATCCAAACTGGCTTTTTTCTCTACACCAAAATACATTCTATAGTGGAATTACCTCGGCAAAATTCTCGATTTGGCTTCTCAAAAATCTCTTCCTGGTCCATCTTCTTGGACTCTGAGTCCTTGTATGACCGGTAGAAGACTGACCTGATGGACAAAGCAATTTTAAGGTAAAAGTGGCTACCTTCCAGTTGCAAATTGCTGTTAAGTGCATGGAATCCTTCAGAATACGTACCTTATTTCTCGTCATAGGATTCAAATTCCATCTGAATAGACCTGAAAGCACTGAGCATACAAAGCCTATAAGAAACAGGTTTTGGAAAAAAATTCTTCAGAAAAAGCTTCTCGAGGTTTCAATCACTGACCTGAAGAAGCCTCTATCGACAGCTCCTGAGTTCAAGATGACAGAATCTTCCTGGTTGTAGCCCGTGTAGGAGGCAATAGCCACGATGGAATTAATACCAGCAGGCAGCTCTCTGAATCGGAGGTACTCCATGGACCGTGTGGTGGTCAGAGGTTTCTGGGGGTAGTACAGCACGTGGGCAAGGGTATCCATGCGAACGTGATAGTTGGTGATGTAGACGCCCATAGCTTGCTTACCCATAGCTGACTGGTAGGTGTTACGGGGTGACTGGTGATAGAGAAGACAGGTGTGTATTGAGTTTGTTATACTTAACAGAAAAACGATCTGCTTATCAATGCTAGACATAAACATAAAAACCTGTCCCAGCTATTGCAAGCTAATGTAATGCCATTGATTTTTTCATTTTGACAAGATATGAGAAGGTTTAACAGACAGCGATATACAAAAATCTCAATGCAATTGCCACACAAAATGGCAGAATTTCCTTATACAGTCTTGACATGCATCCAGCTGTTGGGATGAAAGATGGTAAGAGATGGAAGATCTATAATACCTGGTTGTGATCAGGAAAAGGAATGATGGATGCACAGACACCCAGGATCATGGACGGATGAATCTCACAGTGGGTGTATGTAGAGCAGTACATGACATCCTTCTCGTGAAGGTCATCAGGGGTCATTGCCAACATGATGGTCTCTTCCTCATTGGTGTCGATATACTCTACAACACCGCTGGCAACAAGGTCCTGCCAACTGATGAGACAAATCGTGAGGTATGTTATTTAAGGCTAACTGAGGACAGGAGGTGTCATTAATCTTGGTCGCCATGCAAAAGCTTGCCTTGAATCACGAGGTGTAGCAACAATGTCTTTAGTCTGGGAAATTCAAATGGTTATACCTATGTGCCCTGAGATAACACAGTGTACCAGATTTTATTCAAATTTAACTTGCAAAAGGCTTATTGGTTCATGAACAGACCCCTACCTGTAGTTATTGTACTCCCGTTCTTTCAACATGTCAATGTGTTTTCTCTTCAGTAGAAGTTTCTGGTTCTCCACGATGAGCAATGGCCGACAGATGCGGCCGGCATCCGTGTAGATTCGGATCTCTCTCTCCCGAATGTCACGTACCATGGACACCTCGGAGACGATGATGTCCATTTGACGACGTAGTTTGCGTAAGGTGTTCATGAGCTGCTCAGGCTCACGATGAATGCCTACCCAGCAGCCATTCACAAAGATCTTGGTCGCTCTGGATTGATCAACGAGGGATTGAATCAAAGGTTACAGCTTTCAAATCTCACCAAACTACACATTCCTCATTTATGTTCTTGAACATTCTGTCTAATGCCACAAAGACGTAAGAACTATCAAAACTTCTCCAGCAACACACTCTCTGGCCAGGCTTTCTAAGCAATACAACCATGAGGAGGTTACACCCAAACCATGTTAAGCCTCCTCATATCCGGAGACCCCTAAGGCTGTATCTCTGACTGGGAAAAATTTGATTGGAGACTCTGGTGCTTCATTTCGGTGGGTTTGTCTCATTTGAAGGATTGCATTGGATCTATTTATTAGAATGGTATGTTAACATACTCGTTGATGGCTGATGGGGCAATCTCTTCCAGGTTCTCCATACTCCATTCCTCAAGAAACTCCAGGATGGGACTAGGTTGGGAACCTACTGAGATGTATGCCATCAGAGCAAGATTCTTGACAAGACCCACAGCGTGACCCTAGACACAACACAATCCAAATGTAGTGGTAAGTATGTTGGTTTCCAAAAGGAGACTTGGATATTGAATTCAACTCTGGACTTCCAACGGAATTTTTATTGAAAAAAGAAATGCAGCTATGAAAATACAACATAAAAGAGTCGGCAAGGACTGAGAGTAATTGAGACAATAATCTTGCAAAAATGTCCCGACAAGATTCATAAAATGCCCCTCAAAAAGCAAACAAACAGTCACATGATGCGAGTAACCACTGACCACTAACCTCTGGTGTTTCAGCGGGGCAGATCATGCCCCACAGTGTGTTGTGTAACTGACGAGGTCTGGCCAGTTTGCCGTCCCTGCCCACAGGGGAGTTGAGTCTACGAAGATGGGACAACGTGGACACGAATGTCAGTCTGTTCAATACCTGTACAGAAGCAACAACAGAAAAAAGCAGATCCTAACTTTCAATCCAATTCATGGATTTCATATAAATCAAACTGTTAAGAACACTTTGTGTTCACTTACAGCTAGCTGCATTCCTAAACCATGACAACATGACAATGACCACAAGTAATCAATAATTAATTGATTGGAGAGTTGCAGAACAAAAAATTGATACATCCGGAGGGAAAAAAATAAACCACAATAAGAAGATATAAACTGCCTCACTTCTGCATATCAAACACATCACCAGCACATCCTGGGAGTTGGATAAGAGAACAAGTTAATAATGCCCTGTTTGGAATACTAGAGTCCAATGAACGGAAGTTTTACCTGAGAGACCCCAGCCCTGGCAGCATGAGCTTTCTTCTGGTCACCCCAGTTCCCTGTGGCTAGTGAATACTTTAAGCCATCAGAGATGATTCTGGTCTTGATGGCTAACTCCATACTGAAATCCTGCACAGAAAAATCAATTAGCACAACTTGCTGAGGGGTGTTTAAGTGGGTGTTCAAGCTCTCATGTGTAATTTTGATTAAGTGGCAATGCCAAGTGTGACGGTAGAGAATTTCTGTGGATTTTCTACCGATTCACCTTGGGCTACTGTAAGAAAGGTTTTAGCTAAAAAGCCTCCAATGTCCAATTTAACTGTTAAAAGGAACATTTTTATTTGGAAGGAGTGTGGGCTGTAGCTGACCTTGCCCTTATCGATGAACTTCTGAGCGTACATCCGAACCTCCTTCAACAGATTCTTGAAGAGGTTTCTGAAGAGGAAGGCCAGTAAGGGTCCAGCTAGATCCAACCGTTTGTTGCCATAGTGATCACGATCATCCACTTCTCTGCGACCCAACGCCGCAAGGAGAAGTCTGTGAACACAGTACCTGCAAAGTTCCATAAAATTCCAACAACTTAGACAAGTAGTATCATTACACTTTCTGATTGTTAAGTATTTCAATCCACTTTGAACAATTTTAATGATTCTAAATAAGCTTGAAGGATTTAAAGAGAACAGTACGAGTTATTAACATCCATTCTTTAGTTCTCTTACCCAAGGAAGTAAGCCTTCTTTGTTTCACAGAAATCACTGACGCCTACATGTGGCAACATCTCTTTCTGTAGGATCTCCCGTGCATATTTGATTCTCTTCTCCTTGGTGACACCTGGCTTTGCTCCACGAGCACCAATGAAATTCAATGCGACACTCTGTTCCTGGATGACAAACGCCTCATCCAAGGAAGGTTTCACCTGGGTGCATCAAGATGATTCAATAGCCAAACAGGAAGAACAGGTGTGACATAGCTCTAAATATACTTCTCAGGAATTTGAGACTCAAGTGGATTAGCTGGGAGAATAGTAGAAGCCATTACAAAGCAATTAATCTAAATGCTTCATTGGAACTGAGGACAGGTCAGGGCAAGAAATACACAGTCAAGGTCAAAGGCAACAGGTACAACATTTTCCTTACTATCTCCATCATCTCAGGATCGTCAAAGTCATAGATGATGTGTTCTAGGATGTCCCTGTCGGCGACAAACCCTAGGGCTCTGAAGACAATCATGATGGGAATCTCCAGGCGAATATAGGGCAAAATGGCTGCAATGCGCTGACCAATGGCACTCTTCCTGGAGCCCTGCAGGTCAGAAACAGGACGCAACATCTCAAAAACTGAGATCCAGAATGAAATGATGTGAATAAACAAGAGAGCAACTGCATCCTGATCCCAAACTTCCTAATTTGTGCTTCTAAAAACAGGATACTGATGAAAGACAGCCTACCTGCCCTCCTTTGGCCATAAGATGCACCCAGATAGTACTAGTAGGACGAGAGGAGTTCTCCAAGCAGGACCGACACTCAGCAGTGAAGGCATACTTTGTGTCTTTCTTGCAGAAGACGTAGACCGAGTTAGTCGCCATCTTCTCTTGAGCAATCAGCACCTTCTCTGAGCCATTGATGATGAAGTAGCCACCAGGATCCAAGGGACACTCATTCAACTCTGACCAAAGCCAAGACCATAGCAATAAACGGTTAGCGTACTTATTGCTGAAAATAACGACAACTCTGGACAACGTAAAAAATCAGCAATATTTTTCACTAGGAACGAGTAACTGAGGGACCACTTCCAAAATTGATAATTTTTTACCAGCTTCCATCTTTGAATGATTGCTACATCATGCTTTCTCTTTGGGATTTCTATCTTGCATGTTTCTGTTTCCATCTGTCAACAGACGTCTTTTTTTGAGACAGCAGCAAGTAAACCTTCCTTAAATTTGACAAATCTGTTCGGAGTGACTGTGAGCTCACCTGTAAGATCACGATCAGTCAGGCCGCTAAGCAAGCAATACGTGGAGCGAAGCATGATGGGAATCTTGCCAATGAATGTCTTAAGATGCTGAGTCTCTGATGTCTCTTCACCATCTTGGATCACTGTCTTCATGATGTCTACATACAGTGGGGCTGAGTAACTATGAAAATAAAAGTGGGCACTGTCAGAACAGCTTGAAAAACAGGTGACTTGTTCAAAAGGAGATTTCTTGCGACTCTTACACCCAATAAGTGCTTTGTCTTTAACCCTGCCTAACAAATCAGGACTTACGTGAGATTACGGAGTCGAGCTTCATTGGGCATCATTGGACTTGGTGAGCCATCCTTCTCCCAATGTGTGGGCTTGGAGAGATAGATCTGCTCAAACTTCAACAAGTAACGCGTCTATGCAAAAAAGAAAATGCAAACGCAATTAGACAATTCATGTGCAATTCTAAGTATAACGTCTATATTCATATATATCTGACATACATGTACGATAATCCAATTTTATTTTCCAAGGACATGCAGGCTATTTTGCAAGCCACATCTTCCAAAAAATAAACATATGACCCTAAACCACAAGTGGTACCTACCCATGCATTCTAGTTTTGAGTCTTTTGTTCTCCCCCCCCCCCTTTTTAGAATGATGTTCTTACAGGAATCTCCATCTCTGTGGATGTGTGTTGAGCCTCTGCCTGTAGGTCAACGGCTGGGGCATCCTCCACGATTCGCTGGACAGACATCTGGATGAACTCATCAAACGAGTCGAGCTGTTGTCGGACCAGACCCTTCTCATCGAAGTAGGAGCTGATGACAATCCAGCAGGCTTCTTGCCAGAGATCCTGCGTGATCTCATCCGAATCATCCTCTTCATACGGTTCTGAAATGAGAAGGGCCAATTTCAAAAGTGTTAGACTAAAGAGACAGAGCATTGCCGTGGTTGATTCAAAGGCTGCACCGGGCACATGTATGTCCCCCCTCCTTTATTTTTACCGACTCATTCTCCCCTCCCCCTAAAAAATCAATGACAATCTTAATTGAAGTTTGCCGATGGTTGTCTTGCAACCAACGTAAATTCGCGCCACTTCAAACACATGTACACAATGTAGACACATAGACACCCAATCCAAGGTACGTGTACAATGTAGGGAAACTGTTATCCAAGGTATTAAACTGCAAACATGTTGGTACATAAATAAGGCCATAACAGCTAATCCGTAACATGTCGCGTCTGTGCCTTTTAAACATACCTGAAAACCTTCCTAAGCAGTGGCAACATCATGAATAGTAGTATGTAGCTACATGTAGTAGCGCCATGGCATAGTTGTCAAGTGTGAGAGTGACGGACAGCATTGTTGGAATAACTATCTTACAATGAAAATAGGCCCCATGTTCGGTCTTGTTGCAAAGTTTATTTCACCATTTCACATGTTTAAGACTACCCCCCTGAACTGAGGGGTCAGACATCTGCCCCACTCCAACGAGCAGGGTGGACGTCAGACCCCACATTTCTGGGGGTAGTTTAAGACAAGGCCTATAACTTGTAGAAACTGTCCTCCCCAAACATGTCAAAAGAGACTGCAAATAAATCAATTTTAAATTGAGTCCAAGTAGGCCTGCAGTCAGTAGAGTAGCAATGAGTGAATTAATATTAAGCTTTGCACTGTCATGGCTGTTCTCTGGTTATGCTACATGTACCAAGTACTTCAGCTACTGCTGTACAGTCAAAAGGCCCTATGCCTACTGCAAACCCCACACTTCTCGCCATATTATTAAATTATTCTGGGCCGTAGACATGATAGACATGGCATGTCATGCATGTAGAAAAAGGGTCTCAGTAGGTTGCACTACACCAAATATGCACCAATAGGAAACAGCGCAAAATCGGACCGAAATAGCGCCACCTGTTGACTCTCGTGAAGACGTTGGTCTCCGTTTTTTACTGAAAATTCAAGATTATAGCCAGGAGATCACTTTTCGTTTCAATTTCTTGGGGGTTAGCCACAAAAATCTTTTTTTATTTCAAGGAAGATACCCCAAAACAGCAGTAAAACTCATTTCTGAATGTAGATGCCCACCTCTAATCCAAAATACTAAATACACTGTAGGCCCACAATTTGAGGCTTTTTGTGATACTGATACTGGAAACTATCAGTCCCAAATTCGGGAATGTTTCTATGATCCCTCCTGATTACAGCATGTCTTATTGTAAAAACCCAGTGGGATTACAAAATATTAATGAGCTCGCACGCAGAAATACAACAATTTGGCATGTTCGGAGGAAGACACCCAGTAGGCTAGGCCTAGGGTCTCAGTCTCACTTGTCAGACATTCGAGTTTCTGCATGTCCTAAAAAAACCTGTTTCCGCCCAAGCGCACAAAAAAAATTGAGCTAGGCCTAACGTTATATTACCAATCCTTGTAACGAAAGCTGACAAACTTTCGTAGTATTTTTGGCTTTACCTTAGGCTTAGGTCATTCTAAGTTTTGTGCAGATGTTACTTTGTGAAATCACATTTTCACATTTCATCGTCAGGAAGCCATTTTGTTATCAAAATAGAGACAAACATGTAAGCAAATTAGTTCAAGTTTGTCAAGCAAAATAATATCTTATTTACCATCATCTTGGCCATACATGATGAATGTGGTTTAAGGAGACTTTGATAGGAGTTATGTTCCCAGAGGACCTCTTAAATGGCCGACGAGGACAGATTTCCACATGACCTTCCTCCTATCCTGAGGACGCGACGGTCGTATCGACGCGTTTACGTACGTACGTACGTACGTACGTACGTAAGTACGTGCAGGCGCGGACCAGCTAAATATACAACGATGGATATAAACAGCGCCACCAATTATTATATCCGAGTTTGTGAATATAACACTGGCTCTCACTAACCTGAGCCCTTAGGAAACGTGAAGTAAGATGGGCACCAGTCACAAGTAGTCTCATGTGATTGGTCCATTTTCAAACATTTTATTTTGCAGCGCAAAATTAGAAATTTTTATCTGGCATACGAAAGAAACCTCGGGCGAATTCGAATTTTTCTCCTTTATTTGGTAAGCCAAGTGAGGATATTTGTGACACCTGATTGTGCAGAATGTGTTCAAGGATATTACTGTAACTTTTGGAATTGTCTGTCTTTTCAAATAATTGAGCCAGTAGGCTACTAGTACTAGGCGAAGTGACGTTTTTAGAACACGATAGAGAAAGACATGAAACTTGAAAGAGCCTGCTGTTCTACGGACAACACTTTGAGTTTGATGCCCCTAGCCCTGTGCACAAATGACAAACCCTTGCATGCCATGAGTGACATGATAAGACTTGTTTACAATGTCAGTTGTCTGATAAAAAACTTACATCATGACCTTAGTATTTTCCTGAATGCTTTGTAATTTTCTCACCAAAATTTTACATTTTATGATTTTGTCATTATGAGATTGTATCCTACATCACATTCTAATGCAATGGCTGTTTTAATATTTGAACTTAAACTTCAAGGAAAATGAGTGTGGCCGTATGCCATTCGGAACTCTCCTCATATTTATCAATTATATTTACTTAGGCCTACACTGGTTTGAATATAATATAAAACCAGTTGTTTTGGGCAAATTGTTTTCGCCACTTTACCATCCGCAAGTGATTTAGAAGAAAGCTGAAAATGTCCACAAGCATGACAAGCCATCAGAAAATTTTAAAAAGATTAGCGAGTCATGGGTGTTTCAAACCTTACTCAAAATACACGTAGTACTAGTAGTAGGGCCTACATGCCATGACATTCCGTCACATCAAATTCATGAACATTTGAAATCTTTCCACATTCCAGATTCAGATTGTGGTTCTGCCCTACACATACAGTAACAGATATGGCAGACACTACGTGCATGGACTACGATATGTCTGACCCTGAAAACGACGAGACAACACAAGATACACAAGATGTATGCAAGAACCTATTGGAGGTTGGTGTCAAATTCTGGTTGCCTTTCTGGGTTTTATTCTTCATGATTCTACCATCGTTAATGAATTGCAGAAAAATACAAGAAATGTCTTTGTACAGTGTATGTGCAAGACAATATTCAATTTATTGGAATTTGCGTATCACAGAATTGTTGGCATTTGACTTGATAATTTGTTAGTAACATTTTTGGGGGCAAACTTGAGTTTTCCGGATTCTGAGCACAGTCCCAATAAACTTCCTGGATAATCTGCCACCGGATTAAAAAGAATTTGTGTTGGTTAGCTGCTTTCCTTGTTTGCCTGCAGGCAAGACTGCAGCAAATTGTTTGGTACAGGAACCTAACGTAATCACAGATGAAGTACATTCCAAAGCCTGCTGGGCAGAAATGCCCTCCAAGAGCACAGGGGCAGCATTTTCCACCCTTCTTCAAAGAGATGGTTAGTGTTTCTATTTGTGTTCCAAATTGCAGGATTTTTCAGTTCCAGCTGCCAAGCTGATGAGGGAGAGCGTTGCCCACAGCCGTGAGCACATGCAGGTCTATCTCAGGATTCGACCCTTCACCAACAGGGAGAAAGAACAGGGAGAATCACAGGTAAAGTTGGCCATTGTCGTCGACTCCGTGCATTAGCAATAGAGGAAACTACATAATGTGCAAAGGGCATTTCGCCGTCTCATGCCTGTTCGTGTAAGCTATACTCAGCAGCATCCATGAAGGAAGATGTAAGCTCTTACTTCAGTGCCTTTCTGATTTTCGCTGGTAAATGGTTGCCCACAAAGTCCGCACCATCACTCAGAATTTTACAATACAAGTAAGAGTTTGAAGTTGTATTATTCTTTGGGTACACAGTGTTCCACTTATTAAACAGGTTCTCTTTTCAATTTGTTTGTATTTTCTGAGACTGTTGTCGCAGCATCCACTGATATTTGAATGACTGGGGACGGCATCCAGTTGACACAAGTTTGGTTGAAACCACAATAACTACCTGTACATGGCTTGCTTGTAGGACTGCATGGAGGTTTCTCAACCATCGTCACTCTTGATGAGAGCTCCCAAGGACAGTTTCACCTTCAAGTCCAGCCAACGTGGCTTCAGCACCATGACCCACAAGTTTACCTTCAGTCGGATCTTTGGCGAGGACACCGCCCAGAAGGAGTTCTTTGATGAGACCATGCTGGGCACTGTTAAGGATTTCATTGATGGCCAGAACTGTTTGTTGTTCACTTACGGAGTCACTAATGCTGGAAAGACATACACAATACAGGGTACATGTACATACATGAAATATATGGTTATATATTGCCACTATTCAAAACAAAAAATTTTGTAAATGTTATCCCGTTGCATTGTTTTAAAGAGAGATTTAACTGTTGACTTCCTTTTTACAAATTTTTCTCCATAATTTTTAAAATGTTCTTGGCTCACCTGGCAGGCGTTCCTCAAGATGGCGGCATCTTGCCTCGCTCCTTGGATGTCATTTTCAACAGTCTTGAAGGTCGGCTGTTTCCGAGTATGCAGTTGAAGCCTCGCTTCTTCTGTGATGTGGTTAAACTTGACGAACGCCAACGCAAAAAAGAAGCGTACATCAAGGATTCTGTTCTGTCCTTAGCCGAAGGGATCTCAACTAAACAGGTGAAATGCTTCAATTGAAATCGGTCCAGCCACTGTCGCATCAGTGGAACTTGTTCCTGTTTCTTGGTCTTGTGAATTTGTGCCGTAGATTCCAGACACCTTCCTTCAATGCTCACTCTTCTCTTGCTCTGCTCAGGACGGGACTCGAGACAGCTCTGGGATGGACGATGCAGATGACTCTAGGGCTTCCAATTACACGACAGCAACTGAAGATTCTCAGTCAGAAATATCAGTTAGCAGTATTACAGATGATGGTAAGATCGTCCCAAAATATATGAATTTAATTAATTTTTTGAAGCACAACTCAGCCATGCTCTAACTGACCTGAAGAAAAGTAAAAATAAACATTTAAATCTGACCCAAATAGGAGTCACTGCTTATATGAATGGCAGGTCGGGTTGTTGCTGTGCAAAAAGCCAACTATGGTGCTATAGATCCAGTACACAACATCAACTTTCCAGAACTCATCAAGATTATCTGAAGGTGAATTATCCATCTTCCATACCCCTCTACAGCGAGTGTACCCAGTGTTCTTGAAGATGTCAACAACCGTATCCCTGATGATACCTCAATCGATGTGGAGGCCCAAGGTCCCCTGAAATTCTCAGTCTGGGTTTCCTTTGCCGAGATCTACAATGAGTATATCTACGACCTACTGGAAGCCATCCCAAAGGCCAAGAAAGTGCGCCGTCAACCTCTGAAACTGTCCGAAGATAAGAACGGGCAAATATACATCAAAGGTAACAATAACAAAACCACCAAATTGGAATCCTTTTCTAAAACCCAGATGGGATATGGCTTCAGTAAGATAGAGTACATGTTACTGAAGTCTGTAGATGGTGACATTTAAGAGTGATGATATTGACCAACTGACAAATATCTTGACTCTATTATTTTTCTCTAAATATGATTGCGCTCCAGCTTGATATTGGTTTGATTTTTTGTGGGTTTTTTGTTAGGATTAAAGGAAATCTGTGTGCAGAGTGCTGACGAGGCGTACAAAATTCTCAAGATTGGTCAGCAGAATCTTAGTATTGCTGCCACCAAGTTGAACCAGTGCTCCAGTCGTAGGTAAACATCTGTATTTGTTGGAAGAAATCCAAGGGCAGCTGGGGACCGCCCGCCTTAAAAAAGTGGCAAAATGTTTTCTACAAAATATTGAAAGGGGAATATTTTTGTGTATTTCGTTTCCCAAATTGTATAAAATCCCCAAAATTTTGCCATCATCCCCCCCATGTGTTTCTATCTCCCCCTGCCAAAAAAAAGGTTCTTGATTGGTCTTTGTCAGGGAGATGAGGTGTTGCAACTTTTGGAGAAAATCTTCATTTAATTTTGTTCTTACAAAAAAACTGTCAACGTTGAACTACTTCACATTGGTGATTTTTGGTTTGATTTGTTTCATTAGTCACTGCATCTTCAGTATCAAGATCCTGAGGGTTGTCGATGTTGAGAATCCACACGTTGCCAGAGTCAGTCAGTAAGTAGATTTATTCTACTGAGTAAGAACTGCTCTACTCACATCTCACGACACTGATGAACTCGTACTCCGGCAAAATTTATTGTCCTTGCTTCTTACTTTCATCAGTCTTCTGACCTACAGTTACAGAGCGTGAATTAAGGTTTTCAACAGCTTCATTGGTACAGATGTTCAGAACTGCAGATAAACTGCAGAATCCAGTCATTTTACCATAAGTGACAAATGCAAGTGGCTTTTAAATTGCTTATATTCCTTTCATTCCAGGCTTTCATTCTGCGATCTGGCAGGCTCAGAACGATACACAAGAACCCAAAACACTGGTGACCGTCTGAAAGAAGCTGGCAACATTAACACGTCACTGTTGACACTTGGGAAGTGCATTCATACTCTTCGATACAATCAGAACCACCCAAAGTATGGCGTTCATTTCTTTGCTGTCTTCACTAAATCGTTTAAATGTGTGTCCAGTTTCAATTAAAAAATTCAGGCCCAAAGCAGGACATCAACTACTGGTTAACGAGCAAATTAATTGATCCACTTTCCCAACATTGTTTCCAGGTCCCAGCCCAAGATCATCCCATTTCGGGAGAGCAAGCTGACTAGATTATTTCAAAGTTTCTTCCTCGGTAAAGGCAAGGCATCCATGGTTGTAAATGTCAACCAATGTGCCTCTGGATTCGATGAGACCATCCAGGTTCTCAAATTCTCGGCCATTGCAAAACAGGTACTTCAAATGACACCTTTTTAAAATGCCTACTTAGCTTTATAGTTTAAATCAGCCATGGAATTCATAGACTTTGATTAATGCAGCAGAGTGGGCTTAGCACCGTAAGCATTAGCATTCTCTTAATCTTGAAGTTTCTGGATTTGGAAAGATGCGTTATTGTCTATGAACAGGTGACTACAGTGACCTCCAAGCTGGACAACAAGTGGAAGGTACCTGCAGCAGCCGGCCCCAAGTTAGTCCCTTCCCGTGCCCTCTCGCTGGCCCTGCGGCAATCATTGTCTAGTGGCAGGGTGTCAGTGCCTTGGGCCACACCTGGCCCTCCACCGGACCCCAACCTAGATCTTACTACAGTGGAAGAGTCGTTCATTGAAGAGGAAGATGAAGATGAGGAGGAGGATGTGGAGAGGACACCCAAGGAGTCGATCCTGAAAGGACAGTCTAGAGCTGTAAGTCTTTAGATGGCGAAAGTCTGAAATGGACTAGTCTCAGATTTTTGGGGTAGACCAAGGGCATGTATAGTTTATCTGTGTAGAGATGCTAGCTTTCAGATAAGTGTTTATTACATGCGTACAGATTTTGACCTGGTTTTCAATATTATTTAGTATATTTTGATTGAAGCAGCAAAGCTTAGATCTCACTCTTGTCGCGTTTGGCCGAATCCATTTGATCAGCATGGCTTGAACTATAGTAAGTTGAATTTACTATAGTTGATCAATTCTCTTGCCTGTCATAACATCAGCTCTCCGCCTAGGCAGCCGACAGCTTTTGATCAGTGAATATCCTCTGTCATTATCTGGAGAGAAAAGGACTTTATGAAGGCTCCAATGGGCTGATATGCTGCCTTGCATAAAACTGGCATATGCACAGCTAAGTATTTAAAAAGCAGGAAATAGTCAGACTAGTGCGTGTAGGGAGTAGACGGTGAAAGGAGAGTCTATGGTCGTAGTAAAACTTCATTTAAAAAAATCAAGTATTACCAAAAAGGACAACTTGTGCCATTCGTTCCTGCGTAGGAATTGATTGGCTTGGTAGAGGCCCTTAAGACACAACTCATTGAGGAGAAGAAGAGAACCATGATGTTGGAGGTACAGATACGAGAGGAAGTCTGTCAGGAGATGGCTCAGCAGTTGGTCCAGATTGAAGGAGAATACAAGTAAGACATGCCAATGAAGAGCTGGTTGAAATAGATTGGTCTTGAAGATCACTGTTGTGAGAGAAGAGATTTTCGTTTGTTGAAAGAGGTGGTGATACATGCGCCGTGGGATGTTTGGGAGGAAATTGTGGGGATAGTTGAAGCATTATTACAATGTTAACAAGGTTAATGAAATCACCGGCAAATGATTCATCAAACTTAACTAACAAGTAAAATGACTGATGTTCATTTTCCCAGGGACCAGTTGGAAAAAGAACGCCTCAACACTGAAGAGATGTTTGAGAAAAGACTGGAAATGTATGAGCAGTTTGTCATGGATTCACGCAAAAAGCCACAGCCTGATAACAACAAGGAGGAGGAATATGTCTCGAGTCTTCTCCTTCATGCCGAGCAAGTGAAAGTCCAGGTAAGAAAGCCTGAGAAAGTTTGTGCAGCATATAAAAGTCAACTCATTCGAAGAAGTTCTGAAAATACTAGCTTTTCCTGTTGGCCAAAACTGAATTTTTTTTTCACTGTACTGAGACACTGTTGTAAAATCCTGAACTACAGGACAAAGAGAAGATTATTGAAGGCCTTCGCCAAGATATTGCCATGCTGAAAGAAGCCTTTGAGGATTCCCAGGACAAAATGCACTCTCAGGATGCAATGCTGGCAGAGCTCCAGGCGCTTACTGAGGCTGAAAAACTGGCCCTGGAGGAGGCAAAGGCTAAGCTCTGTACTAAAGATGAGAAGATTCTAGAAATGGAGGCAGCGCTTCAAAAATTACAAGGTAATACCATTATTTATTTTCTCTTTAACGTAGATGTGGAGGTCTCAGTACCTCTGAGGGCAGATATGGTTATTATATTGAGCTGTTTGTGCCTGATAATGTCAGCACTGGGCTAGTGTACTCCCAAGGGAGCTGAGACAGTGTCGGGTATGTTCAAGAGTTGTCAACTCAGCAAGTAGGGATAATGTCAATTAATATATTGGTGCCTTTGAAAGATACCGTTAAGATACTCTGTGCCTTGATGTTATAATATAATTCGTCTGATACACTTCAAAATGGATGCATGTTTTTTTTATGTATTTACAGATGCAGCAGCAGCGAGAGAAGAGGAGCAAAGTAAGCGAGTCACATCGCTAGAGCAGAAGATAACGGCAGCCAAGCAAGCCCTGCAGGAGGCAGAGAACAACAGCAAGGTATACCAAGAGAAGCTGTCTGTGGTCCAGCAGAAGCACGCCAACCAGGTCGCACAGCTCCACTCTGAGTTCAAGATTCTCCAGGAGAGTCTAGAATCTCACCAGGCCACATCGAATGTGGACAAGGATCTCTCTGGGAAACTTGCTGCAGCCATCTCCGAAGCAGCCGAGTTGAGATGCCAGCTGCAGTCCTCAGCTGAGGAACACTCCAGCGTGGTTACTGCTTTGGATGTGAAAATGGAGGAGCTTCAGAATAAGCTGAATGAAACTGAAGTGGTTATCCAAGATTACCAAACAAGTCTCAAAGAGGCAAAGGCCCAGGTTGAAAGGACAGAGGAGAAGCTGCAAATGACAGAAGTGGGCAAGTCAGAGCTCCAAGATGAACTCCAGTCCAGGATAGACGCTCTCCAAAATGATTGTAGGGAGCAGGAAAGTAGAGCAACTGGCCTGGCGAAAAAGTTGGGAGATTCAGAGACAGAAACAAAGAGGGTAATGGAGAAGCTGAACTCTTCAGAGGTTGCACACTTAGAAGTCGTTACTCGTCTTGAGGACCAGATTGAACAGTTGAAACAAGAATTGGTGCTCAATGCTAAAGAAGATGAAATTGAGCTGGGCCAAGCCAAGAAAGAAAATAATGAAATGCAGAAGAAAATTACCGCCTTGAAAGAAAACTATGAAAAAGAGGCAGCAGCCTTAGAAGATTCTCATGGCAAAGAGAAAGAAACTCTGACTGCAAAACTGAGTTGCTTAGAAGAAAGCAGATCACAGTCGGAACGGGAGCTGGAGAAGCTTCTTAACGAAGCTAGGCAAGAAGCAGAAGAGACCAAGTCTAAATTGAACGACCTACAGATCAAGTATGACTCAGAGGTAGGGTCCCTTCAGGCTGAAGTCAAGGCTTCCTCCAAGACGCTGGCACGGGTAGACATTAAGATTGAAAAGGAGAAACAGAAAAGCTTTGACGCAGAAGAAAAGGCGCTGAGAATGGAGGAGGAAATCACATCACTCAGGGAGAAGAACAAAGAGATGGAGGATGTCTTGGCTGACATGCAGGCCTGCTTCGACCAGACCAACACTAAGGGTCAGGAGGCTGCAGTCCGTGTAGCAACTCTAGAGAACAACCTTGAGTATCTCAAAGAGGAGATGTCTGTAGAGCAGAAGGCCCACGTTGAGACCAAGAAGGTGGCATCTGAGTATGGCTGCCAGGTTTCCTTACTCCGTTCCCAGCTGGAGACAGCAGAGCGCACTGCCTCAGCCAATAGCAACCTGGCCAAACGAATCAAGGACCTAGAGGCCAGCCTGCAAGAGATGCAGCAGGCCCTTTCAGACAAAGAGATTGCCCTGGCAGAGGCATCCAAGTGGCAAGGGAGTGCCAGCGACCTCCGCTCACAGCTGAAGGTATTGGATGACAAATTGAAAGAGACACAAGAAAAGCGATCAACGGCAGACAAGATGGTGCAGGAACTGTCCAATCGATGCACTGGATTACAGCAGAGCCTTGCCCAGAAGGAACGAGAACTGGCTGATCGTGTTTCTAGTGAACAGAAAAGTAAGACAAAGGCAGATGAAAGCGAGTCCGAAATCCAACAACTGAAGGTAGGTTTTCCTAAATTTATTTCATTCTTCAGCAGTTCAAATAACATGTACATGTACTTCAAATTCTGCAACACTATCTCACGTTGGATCTCATGAATAGGACGTGCAGGCTCAATCGGAGAGAAAGATACAAGCTGTTGAGAAAGATCTGGAAGAGCAGAAAGCTAAGACGAAGAGCAAAGCTGAGACCATCAAGTCATTGATGAGTAAGGTGGAGATGCAGTGTCTTAAAGAGAAGTCTCTTGAGAGAGGTAAAGAAGACTTTGACATTTTGGATGGTACAAAGTCAGCACTATCTTTCCCAACATTGAAACATCTGTGGTAGGCATGCGCTCACAGAAATGAGTACACAAAATTTAAATGTGGCCTGTTTCCAAGGAGTTTGTAACTAGAATATCATTTGAAATATTTTGGTACTTTTAATATACATGTATTTTGTGAGTCTACAGTAAAACAGGGAAACCCTCTCATAATTACCGCATTGCAAAACAGTTGCTGGAATAGATCATGATTCAGAGGAAAGCAAGCATCTAAAATTTTAAAAGTTGCTATCTGTTGGATAATCAAGTACATGTACTTCGGTCATTTTCATCGGCTTAGATTTAGCCTCCAACAAAGAGGTAATTGAAGGACTGAAAGCAGCACTTCAGGAACAAGAAACGACAATGGCTAGCCAGGATGAGATACTAGCGTCTAAAGAAGAGGAGCTCCAATCTGTCACCCAAGGTTGGGGCCTAACATGAGTGTGATAGTGGTGTGCTATAATGGCTGCAGTCAATTCCAGTACTCACATACATGTATTTTGCTTTTCATCCACTGCTGCCAGTTGGTTTTTGACACTGTGCTCCCAGCAAGTGAAACTATGAAGCTCTGTTGTTTTGAATTTCATTTCAGAACGGGAGGACCTCCAGACAAAATACACTGATTTATTAAAGTCATCCAACGAGTCTCGACAAGAAGTACGAATGGCAAACAAGAACCACGAGCGCTGGATTACTGAGAAGGAAAATCTGAAGAAGGAACAGATTGAGTTGCAGCTGGAGTTGTCCAAGACCGAACAAGAGAGAGAGGTGAGCATTTTCATCCTCTACATGGGCTGTGATTCATATTTTTGCTTAGTTGTTTTTGTGATTTTTTTCCATTTTTTAAAGCAAAATGAAAATTGGTTTTCTGCTAATAACGAGCAGCTTTCATTAGAGGAAGGTTTATTTTTTGAACTATAAAAACATGCATCCCTGTATTTACCCCTTCCCTTTTTTTCAGGAGCTAAAAATGAAGCTCTCAGAATCAGAGTCTGACCTAAAGGACTCCAAACAGGCCATGAGAGACCTGGAGCAAGACTTTGGCAACCTCAGACAACAGATGCAGGCAGCTCCCAGTCATCCCGAAGATTGTCCCGACAAACTCCAAGCCCAAAAGCTGCAGAAGAAGGTCACTGCCTTGGAGCAAGAGGTTCAGTGATTTTCTTTACAGTTTCCCCAATATTCTTGAAACCTTTTGGGCTGATTGAAAAGCTGCAGTTTTTGTCTGGTTTAAATGGCACTGAGGTCAAATTATGTGGCAAGGAAGAGTTTAGCTTGTGAAAAATAGGTTACCGTCAAAACTGAGGAGTGGTGTTACCATGAAATCTAGTGGCAGTAAAAGCAGACCGTTTACTTAGAATTTCATGAGTATCATGTCTTTATCAATTTGCCCCCAGATTATGAAACAAGTGGCCAGCAAAGAAGAGACGCTTACCAAATGGCGTGAAGAAAGAGACAGACTTGTCAAGGCCTTGGAACAGAAAATGAATTCTCTCCTTGAGGCACAGAAGACAAATGAAGCGGCTTTAGCCAAAAAACAGGAGCACATTGAGCTCCTCAAGGTACAAACTACCAGGGATATCGGTTACTGACTTGCAGCACTCATTACAGTTGGTCAGTTGCCTTTTGGGCTGAAAATTGGGATGCAAATCATGCAATCCATTACAGGTTCATCAATTCCACCTGTTACAGTTCTGAAAAGAGAAGCCAATGCAGCAATTTGTCCTGCTCAAGGACGCTGCTCTCTTGATTCCTGGTGTAGGTTTTGGTCCACTCTTTGAAAACCTTCCAAATATTTTCACAGATTTGTTTCAGTGTTTAATTGATTTACTTTGTAGGCTAAGATGATGGCAACTTCAGAGTCTCAGGCCATCACCGATGATGAGAGTGATGTAGAGGAGCAAGAAAGAACTAAGACAAGAGGGCAGCCTGTCAGTGGAGACCTCCAGATGGAGGTGCAACAGTTGAGACAACAGGTGTGGATTAAAACATTCTGGGTGGTTTGAAGGAGTTCCAGGTGTCCTTTCAATACCGTCATCTACTTTCCTGAACATTTCTGAAGCCAGCAAAAAATTAAAGCACATCTTGTACAAAAAAAGCAACCCCCACAGTCCAGAAAGCTAACTGATCCGTGCATTTGTTTGTAAAAATCTATTGCTACCTCAACTCCAGTGAAAAGTTTTAGTTCATTCTTATTTCTAACATTCTGAAGAATTTGCAAAGGACTTTCCTGCATTTACAATGAGTAATCCTTACGATATTTAATTCTCCTTGATTTTTCAAGTTGCACAAGGAGAAAACAGACAGGGAGAAAGTTGTCGCTGATTACGAAGAAAGTCTTGAGGTGAAGAGACATGCCATCAAAGAGCTGGAAGGTGCCAATCGTCACCTTCAACAACAGCTTGGACTCATTGAGGTAAGTGGACATCGAAGATGTGGGTCAGCTGTAAATGCCCTGGAAACTGACCTATCACCAACAGACAGGAATTTGAAAAAAATTATTACTGATATTAAGATTCAGCAGTTTAGTCATTTAATGTAACTTTCTTGATACAAAGACCTTTGGGTATAATCTGGAAATCCTTTTTACCTTTGCACTTTTTTACATGTGACCGTAAACCAATGTGAGTAATCTGGAAATCATAATCACCTTTGTACTTTTCTTACAGGTGAGTGTTGATGTCAAGCCTCTATCTCCCAGCCATTCAGAGTCTTCCACTGCCAGGTTGTCAGCCCGGTCCCCATCCCCCCAGCCTGACCCAGACTCCCCAGACCTGTTTACCGTGGACGTCAAAGACCAGGAGAGTTTCCACCAACCTGGCCGGCGTCGCACACGCGTGGAGATGGATGTGACACCACTACAGAAGAAACAGCCAACTCGCAAGACAAGGGCCAATACACGAAAAGCCAAGAAGAGAAAGAGCACAGAGCTCCTGGAGGTTAGATAATCTCTCTCCTTTTTTTTTTCTTTCCACAGCTTCCCTATTCTGTTCAAATCTAGAAATTGTGGAGATGCAGCAATCACAAGTGGTTCTTGTTTTTCTTTTTCCCGCTTGCAGGAAATTGATATTGAAGCTTTCCAGAAACGAAGTCGAGCTGAAGAACAGAGCACAGCAAGAGCTACTCGCAGTACGCGTCGACGAATGACGAGAGCCAACAAAGAGAAAGAAGTGGTAAGATCACCGTCAGTTCATTGTCAGCTAAACGTTAATCACTTCCCATAGGAAGAGAATCATGACATTACAGTTTACTGTACGTAATTTGAAACTGTTTAAAATTGTTATTTCATACTTTGGATCGCATGCAAACTAGAGAGACAATTGTGTCGTTTTGGTTGCTAAATGAATTGGTTTAGCAGGTTTACCTTTGTGATGACAACCTTCACATAGCTCAGTTTTGGACATCATTTAGGTCAAGACACATTAAATCCCAAGATCACTCCCATAAACCTATATATGAGATGTTTTTCTTTGAGCAAATAAAGTTTTCTTTTGCTTTGTGGCAGCACGATAACAATGAAAATACCCTGGACAACAAATTGGCTGAGATGCCTTCCACCAACAGCCGAGGGAAGAGGGCAGCCTTGTCAAAGATTGGTGACCTCCTGCAAAACACTCCACTCGCAAAATCAGGTATTCAATTCTGTCTAGCGAATTTGAGTGAAGCTTTTCAAACTTGTGTTTTGTTTCGTTTGCTGTCTTGAATTCTTGCTATCTCACATCTTCTGTTAGAAATCTTTTTGTGGTGAAGTCTGACGTCTTGTCTTCATTTCTCTAAAGCTGTGCCACTTGCTGTCTGAATCATTCATGTTACACCTGTTGTCTTTCCTGCAGTTGTGTTGAATCCCCAGTCGATTATTCTACCCTTTCACCCTGTTTGTCTGACTTTGCTTCTATCTGGAAAGTTTACGCTTTCAACTTACCTCTTTGCAAAAATCTGTTTGCGGTTGTGGTTTGCTGTTTATGACTAGATTTAGCATCTATCAAGGCCATTTTTCTTACCTGCTAATGTAACTCCCATCGCCACATCTCATGAATATAATGGAAAAACCATTTTGATTTTGAATGATGTTGTGGACACTGAAACATACGTCCAAGTGGGGCTGTGTTTGGTCATTACAAACAAGCCTACATTTTACTCTAATATTACTGAAGTAACAAATACATGCACTGAATATGTTAGGCGCACTTGTGCATAGCCTTTGATATCACAGTTGTGAACTTGGGATGGTAAATGATGGAACTCATATAGCTTACAGAAGTTGCACATACAGAATTAAAAAGACCGATGATCATAGTCTGTGTGACTCCAGTGATGTGACGATGGGAGTGGCCTTGTTCCTCCCTCCCCAACTCGCTACACCCCACCTTCTCTCTTTGCGCTTCTTGTTTGCAGCCACCTCTAAATCCTCCTCATCTCATCCCCAACCTCCAGCCAAAAAGTTTGTGGAGTCAGCCGCCACCCACATGACATCTCCAGCTAAATCTCCGGAGGTGGAGGTGGTTGCTTGTTACCCACCGCCCACCACGGAGAAAAAACGTAAGAGACGACTGCTGAAGACTGATATCTCAGCTCCATTTGCGAGTTCACCATTTGAGGTACGGTTTGGTCATATCTTTGTGCCCTTGAAAGCCCCTTCAATTCATAAAACTTGCCCCAGAGAGCAATCACTCCAAGTCAACAAAGTTTCCATGAAACAAATTTCGCATATTTTTTATCACAAAAACCAACCACCCATGGTTTCTTTTTATGTTTTAACATTTACTGCATTGAGATCAATAAAAAAAAAAGAGACGAAAAGATATCTGAATAATGATGAGATCATTCCTCCACCTTGTCACCGCAGGTGGTGAATGTCGGAGAATCCAAGAGTGATAACTCCCACAGTATCGTCACACGTAAGCTGAGATCCCGCAACACAAGAGTGTGAAGAATACATGTACATGGAAAAGTAAATGTACACTACATCAAGTCTGACATTCTGATGTCTGTGGTGAGTGTAGATAACGCTGAAGGTTCACCAGCTCCGATAAAACACAAGGCGCAAATTAAATTCCAACAGACTGCATAATTTTCGGAGTACACATGGATAGATCTGTTAATAAATCCTTATGCATGCATCATGCTCTTGAATCACATTAAATGACTTATTTTATTTTGCACAAATAAGTGTCAGAGATATAATTAGTACTAATTGGTACTACGACAATGCCTGCAAGTTTCTTTGGTGTATTCAGAATCTCAGGTACATGTCAAAATGACCATCCAAGAGAAATCAGAGTCCACCCTTGCTTCTTAAACTTTGTTAGTGTACAACTTCCTGTAGATAATTTTTATGACGGTTCACTAAGATCATTGTAAGAAAGATTGAAATGATTCAGCAGCGTCTACCTGTACATAGAAACGTTTGAGAGTAGAGTTAATACATGTGGTTTGATCGTAGTTACAGTGAAAGGACAGCAAAGCCACAGCCATATCAGCTGTGCACGTATGTTGCGGCTATGACCAGTGTTGATTTGATCACAGGTACAGTGAAAGGACAGGAAAGCCACAGCCATATCAGCTGTGCACCTATGTTGCGGCTATGACCACTTTTGATTTGATCATAGTTACAGTGAAAGGACAGGAAAGCCACAGCCATATCAGCTGTATAAGTATGTTGTGGCAATGACCAGTTTTGTTTTTCATTTGGTACAGTAAACAGCCGTAGAACTGCATTGCCAATTTGAGACATAGCCACTGATGAGTAATCGGGAAGCTGTGTCATATTGAAGAATGATGTCTTATACATGTACAGTGTCATTGTGACAAATATTTGACAACACAGAAAAAGAGCTACATGTTTACAATGTGTAAAAATGTTGTTCACTGTTCTACCACTTCATTCTTATTCACTACAAAGTAAAACTTTGGTAGTTTCGTTTCTGATAACCCCTAATTTTAAAGCTTAAATATAAGGCTAAAGACTGCAAGTTCACATCACCTACTTTCAGAGCATCACTGATGTAAACATGTCTTATTTTATGCTAATTTTCAAAGCCACATATTCCGAATATACATGGTCATTCAGACTGGTTCTTATTGGAGTGGTCATATAGTTAATAACACCGAATTCATTAAACCATTGTGAACATTGAAACTTCAAAATATTGACTTGTTTTCATTTTTATGTGTTGAAAGAGTGTGACAGTGCAATTGTTGTAAAGTGACCAAGTCTGCAAACGCATCCTACAAACGAAGCATTTCAATACATCTGATAACATTAACATTACAATGCTATATTTCCTACGTGATAAATAATTCAAAAAAGCATCCACTGCACATTCTAAGTTGCTAACTGACCTGCACGGGAAAACAAAACCAAGACACAAAGTGTAGTCCTGCTTTGTAATATTAGTGCACCAATGGACTGTACATGTATTTCATTTGTACGTACATAAATTAAACCATTAACTTGGTAAATATTTTGTGGAAGTTTTCTGCAGCTTGTGGTATGCGATTGCAATCATAACCCCAAAACTTTCATTCACGAAGTTGAACGCACGCAGTCAAAATGCACAGGTGTATATTTCTTCAGATATGTAAACATTTTAAAAGTAGTAATGTATTACCTCTGGTAATTTATAACATCGGGAATTGAAAATCCGATTGCACCCTAGCAAATCAATTCCAAGAAATTCTCAATATACATGTTTAATTGTATTTAACAAATAAGCATAGAAACCATGCCTTCCTGTTTCTTTATCAACTCTTTCATTCTACATCTTTTTGAGTACCTTTTTTTTTCAGTGAGGCAAATTGTGTAAAATAAATGTGTCAAATCTCTTTCAACCGTGACACTTAGTTCAGTTATGAGTGATTGAACTGATATTAAATCAATTGTGGAAAGTTGACATTCTTTGCTAGACTACAAGATGTAGTACAGTCATATCGCAATTTTTTAACGATCAACAATTCTGTAGCTCAGAAAAGCCATCACTGATAACAGCAGCTCCGTCAGGGCATGCTTGTTGCACGAAGTCCTCCCCTCTGTAAGGCCTGTGTGATTGCCACAGAAGATGGCTGATCAATGTTTACCAACATCACCTCGCGGAGGTTCTTGCTTGACTGGTGACTAAAATCAAGCAAAGCTGACACAAGGGAATCGGCACATACGTCCTTAGGTGAGCCAGCTGACCCTGAGCCTATCAAGGGTATCGCCAGAGATCGCACCTCATTCTCTTCTGCTTTCAGTAGACAGTTCAGAAAGGTGTCATGAAGCTCACTGCTATAATTTGGGCCACGTTTGATGGGTCCTACAGTATGGATGATAAGGCAGTTGAGGTTGAATCCAGGCGTCAGGAGGCACTCAGCTACGTTTAACGCCTTGTCATCACGATTATGTATCATTTCTAAACAGTATTTTTGCAGCGGAGTACCAGCTGCCGACACTAAAGCCTTTGATACACCTCCCCTGTTACCCAAGGCTGGATCTGTAGGATTAACAACAGCTTGCACTGGCTGCTTAGTGATATCACCCTCGCAAACACTGATTTTCATTCCCTCCCCTGTGACAAAACAGATACTTTGACGTGATGCTTGCAATGCAGCAAATGCACGTCTCACTCCTCTCTGTAGTGGACCTAAAGAGCGAGGTACAGTAGAGTCCGAGTCAGTCTCATCAGTTGATGACATCCGAGTTATCTCTTCTTTTGCCCCTTTGTAAGGTGAAGTCTTCAGAGGGAACACTTTCTTGCGAGGCTTAACTGGCACAGGACTCTCTTCAGCCACCTTTATACCAACATCCTGCATGGACAGATCATTTTCATCCGATCCACTGCTGCTTGGTGAACTTCTATCTTCAATTCCATCTGCCAACGACTTTACGAACCGACGTGCGATTGTCAAACCATCTTCGTTACCTTCCAACAAAAATCCTATTCTGTTGCCTGATTCATGAGTGATCTTGACATGATTGTGTTCATGCTGTTCTTCTAAACTGTTTATTAAATAGCCATGATGTTTAAGAATGACATCCATTTTTCTCTTACTCAAATGAATAAATTCATTGCTGACAACATTTGCAGTCAAGAAGGCAAGTATTCTCTGCTTCATCTCCTCCAAGTTCGTCTTGAATCCAGCCAACTCCAACTTATCTAAAGCAAAATGTTGAAAGTACAGAAAGAAATGGGTGACAACTAAGGGTTTACCACTGGTTGATGAGTAAACGTATATAGCAGTGTTTTGTTTTATTTAAATACATGTGTAGATATAAACTTGTTACCTTCTGGTTGATTGATGTTGACCACAGCAAGCTTCTTTTGGTTTATTTCATCCAGGATATCTCTTCCAGCCTGGCTCTTCAGAACGGCCAGCTCACCTTGATTCTTGATAGAGATCCCAGTCTCTTCTATTTCCTGATCAATGAATGCTTTGGCTTGGATTGCATCCTCCCTCGTTGCACCAGATATGATGATCTTGCCGTCATCAGATCCCTTGCATGCTGCTCGAATTCCCCGCGACCCTAAGATCTCTTGGATTTTGTCTGAAAATTTCTGAACAAACTGAACTTTTTTGCTCGCTTTGAACTCCACTCGCTCAAGACTGTCCATTTCTCTCCGCATTAACAATTCAGCTCCTTCAACATTCTTTCGTGTTCCTTCAAATATGAGTCTGGTGTTGTCTTGTAAAGGAGTTACTGTGATGTTCAGGTTAGGAAAGGCGTCTTCAATTTTATCCTTTATGCTGCAGATCACAAAAGTCTGAAACTTTTCCCCAGTTAAGTTGATTTCTTGTTTTGTTTGCTGAGCTTCAAACTTGGCCTTTTTTATCAATTCTTTGATGATTAAATCAATACCATTCACTCCTTTATCCACATTTTGTTGCTGTCCAACTAAATGGATTACATGTCCACTGCTATCAGGTTCCAAAGTGCAACCTTCGATGTCAAGTTGATCTATTTTAGCAATGGTGTCTTTCCACAGTGGTGGTGGGACAGGGATCCCTGTTGACTTTAATTTTTTCAGGAAGTCCGCCAAAACTTCTGCAGCAATTTCCGGCCATTTGAGCCAGGAAGATTGCCTCTGCCCATCTTCTGGCAGAGGCTCTAGCCTAGCTACTGTCTTGTCGTCACTATATGGCCATTTCAGAGTGGCCTTCACGTCACTCAGCTTCTGAACCAAAGTCTTCCTTGTGTGTTGCCCCTTTTGTCCAAAGATGAACTCCATGACAGGTTGTGGCACCTGTACAGTGAATGGCTTAGGGATGTGTGGAGTCGGGACATCTAACGGGCTTATCCTTCCAAGACATTCATTGTACTCTTCAACAGATAGCTTGACACCTCCAACCTTATGGGGGCCCTTTTTTGACAGAACATCACCCACAGCTAATGAAAAATTAAGCAAATGAATCTTGGGCTATTAGGAATGCTTAGTTCATAACCTGACTGAAATTAATGTCTAGCTATTACATTCATCGAGAGGAAAGTGTCTGGAAAGATTCTAAGCAAGAAACTGCTTGAAGAATTGTTGCCTTCATTAATCTTATCTTGACCTACCTTCCCAGTCCTCAAAGTAGACAAAAGCCTGAGCAGCCGTTGGCCCTTGCTGTACCTCCCTGACACCTTTGCCACCACTTTTCTTTTTGTTGTCAAAATACAACTCCATCATTGCTGCAGAAGCTTTTGGTGAGAATCCTGCAACAAAAACATTGTAAATGGCAAAAGGTACACACTAAGGTTATGTGAGCTACCTTGGGCTCACCATATATCTAAAATGTACAATGTAAATCTGTTAAATCTGCAGCTTCACTGATAATTGATATCCCCACATATTGCAATTTTGTTAACAGACTTTGCGAATCTCACCTTGCACTAGGATACAATTGGACTCCTGCACTTTCTCTGCTGTCACCTGGATGCCTAGTAAATTCTTTGAAGAAACCCTTTCAATTGCTCTTTGAAGGTCTACAGACAGCAAAAACAGTTTTTCCATTAATCAGTCACTTCCTTTTTTGCACAATTAAAATTATCTCTTGAAGTGCATTGAAAATGAATGCTTTGCTCTGAGCAAGTAATTTACATACATGTATTTGTGCAAAGAAATATACTTCAGGGTTAATGACCACCAGGTCAAAACTTCTTCTTTGTCCGGCATTATTTCAGTTTTTATGAATCAAAATGTTCCTAATGTTTTAAGTTCTGAATGAATTACCTGGGATGTCCTCATTAAATGTGCAGAGTGCTGTTCCAGGCATCTCACCATATTGGATTTTGAAGTCATCCGTGCCACATCGATTCTCAACGAACATTTTCACCAGCTCTGAAGTACATCCATCAGGAATTCCTCTTAGCAACAGACATCGTTTCTTGACAGGACGAGGGCGGGGCTTCTTCTTTACAACCTGTCGCACTGACAGAGTTGCTCCTCCTACCTTGTGTTGCTTCCCAATCACTTTGCTGACAACTGAGGCATTCGAACAAATGAAAGAATAAAATAACAATAAATACCCGAAGATAATACCACAAAGTCTGACTTCTGCAATATGTTTTTGTCAAGATTGCAGTCATAAGATCACCTTCTTTGAACTGTTGAACGATCGTACTTAAAAACCTTTCCCACTAAAACGATTAGGCTAATATATGTAAATGTTAACTTGTTCAAAGTGTTCCTACACTTCGATCTTGAATGAAAGCCGTTGAGCAACATGTGTGCATATGTGCTGCAATGCATGTACATGAAGAATGCCTTGGGAAAATAGCTTACTTGAAGGATCTTGGTAAGTCAACCGAATGGTTCTAGTCTTGGGGTCATGCTCCCAGGTTTTGATATTGCCTCCTCCAGACCTTCTAGGATTCTCAAAGTGCATCTTGAGCATCTCAGCTGATGATGGTTTGAAGCCTGTGACTTCAACAAACTGTTCCTCATGTTCTGACTCCTCAAGAGGCAAGCTTTCCGTGGTAAAAGGCTGGCAGATTTTGAAAACAAGCATCAAAAGAAGAAACGTTCATAAAAGCTTTGAAAGCTATGTGAATATTTGCACCTTTTGCTCTGCTTATTCAGGGTTTGAAGACACATCAGTGAAGCCTTGTCCTGTTTTATCTGTGGATCTTCCATAGTTCTTATGAGAACTTATAGCATAAGCTTTCCACCTTTCATATTGCCTTTTCCTACCTGATAAGTTTTGGGCAGGACACGATGAGGAGATTGGCTGAGTGTATCGCCAAGAGATTGACGCCATGGCTGACCTGTGATTGGCTTGGAGAGATGAGATGTCGGAGTGTCTGATGGACTGAGTCTTCCTAGACATTCGTGGTATTCCTCGACGGATACTTCGCTGCCACCTATCTTGTGGGGTCCCCTTGACAAAACACTGCCAACAACTTTACAAAAGGCAACGAAAGTATGAAACGTGATGTAATTTCAACACATCCATCCATCCAAGAATGAGCACATCCATCAATGGCATGGTGGAGGCTGTAGCAATGTAAGCAAAGTTAATTGTGTGGCATATACATAAAACATTTCAAGCACGAACATGGTTGTATGCCAAAGGTCAAATTCATGTGCTGAGATTTTAACACAAAAACTTTAGTTTAAAGTTGTCCAAGTTCAGAAGTGAGTTTATGAAGAATCCCACAGCTACTACCAAAATGTCTAAATGACATTTGAGCCACCTTTATCAGAATGTTTGATTCGTAATCTACTTGCCCAAGAAGGTCAAAGAACGTTTTCCTGTTTAATTTCCCTCATTTTGTCAACTCACCTCCCCAATCTTCGAAGTAGATAACAGCTTGACCAGCCCTCGGTCCCAGCTCTACTTCTCTGACACCACCACCTCCACTTTTGGAGCGGCAATCAAAATACAACTCAATCAAGTCCTCTGATACATTTGTCGCAAACCCTGTTAAGCAGACAGGTTTAATATAGCAAAGATTACGTGATTTAAAGAAAACTTTTGACATTTTTAAGGGAGTTGCACACAAACAACTAGAAATACTGAAGTATTCAAATTGTGTTTGATGTGTTATTAATATTTCACTAAAATTTCCATATTTCTTAATGGAACCATTAGTTGCATGTAACATTCTCACCTTGTAATAGGATACAATCGGATTCATACAATCTCTCTGCAGTCACAAAGACTCCTTTCAACTTTTTTGAAGAAATCCTGTCGATTATTTCCTCCAGGTCTGCAGAAATTCAAGACATTGAGAGTATGACTGGTCTGTAAGCATAGCCAGCTCATAATCAATGAACACAGCAAATTATCTGAACACAACTGCATACAGAAACCTGAATGCAAACAGTCAGAAAAAATTTAATAAACAATTCAGGAGAAACTCATGCAGTTTTGTAATGTCAAAATACAAGGACTAATTACATTACCTGGGATGTCCTCATTGAATGTGCAGAGCGCTGTTCCAGGCATCTCACCATATTGTATTTTGAAGTCATCCGTACAACACCGATTCTCTAAAAACACTGTCACAAGGTCTAGACTACATCCATCAGGAATTCCTCTTAGCAACAGACATCGTTTCTTGACAGGACGAGGGCGGGGCTTCTTCTTTACAACTTGTCGCACTGACAGGGTTGCTCCTCCTACCTTGTGTTGCCTTGCAATCACTTTGCTGATGACTGAAGCAATGAAACACAAGGATAAACATTATAACTACTCCCATTAAACTCATGGCATCACTCGACAACTAAGTTGGGGTTGAAAAATTTTTTCAAAAATACTTTCAAAAGTATTGGGACACATTTTGGGGAGTTAGATAACACCATTATTAGTGCAAGCATTTTGAAACTTTTCGGCTGGCTGCTTAATTAAACTAACAAGAATAAATGACGACATCTATACAAGCGATGGTTGAGAAGGGTTAACTATGTAGACCATTCTCAGTCCAATATTTCCATGGAAATAATTGTGCAGGTTTGGCAGACATGTACCTGATGGATCCTCAAAGGTCACTGTGATGGTTGCATCTTTGGTGTTTCTTTCCCATATCTTGACATCACCTCCTCCCGACTTGCGAGGATTCTCAAAATAAAGCCTGAGCATGTCATCTGATGTAGCAGGCTTAAAGCCAGTCACTTCAATGACTAGTTCATCTTCTTCTAAATCTGCTGACTCATCATCACCGGAAGACGTGGACAACTGGTCTTCATCGTCAAGCTGTGGATGAGGACTTGCTGAGTTTTCATCATCGCTACTTTCCTCCTCACTCCACTCACCATCATCATCACTTTCACTTTCTCCTCGGTGAAGAGGTTCATTGGACTCACAGATTTGATTGGAACCTGTGTCACAACTCTCTAATGATGCTTCCTCTTTGACTTCGCTGGCAGTGTCCGATGAATCGCTGGACAGGCTTGGTTGATCTCTGCCAAATGATGGTGAGCTTTGACCAGGAGCAGATATTTCACTGAGAAGGGGACACTGGTTGATGTTTTGCTGTAATTCAAAACATAAGAAAAGTTGTAAGAAATGTAAAGCCTACCAGAACAATGTTCACAGATGACATCTGAAATGATCTTGGACAAAGTCTGCTGAAAATGAAAGTTGTTGGGCAAGTTAGTGAGTTGCAACATTGTCTCTATTGTACTAAGCAATCTTAACATGATATAGACTGTAAACAAACTTTGACAACACCTTGAATGATTCCAGGTAAGACTCTACTGTAGAAGAACCCAGTGCAGAACCCTGAAGTGACTGCCCTCCAGAAAGCTGGTGTGCATGGACTTCCAATGACGCTTCATCACCGTCAATCTCCAACTCGTGACACTGATTCGCTAGCACCTGCTGAACACCTGTGAACAATCAAGGGATGGGAAGTAGAAACTGTGGCCTATCAATCATGCAATATTGAAAACAATTTCCACGAAACAATTATTTACATGTACATGTATGTCACCAGCCCAACCAGCTGGCTACACATGGGAAGACGATGGGGTAGTTGGCAAGTTTATCTGGAAAATATTCTTCCAATTGATGCACAACAAATATTTGCAGAATCAAATTCAACGAGATTCCGATGATGCACAAGGGTTGGTGGTACTGCTCTTCCAGCAATGACAAGTACTAAGTAGGCCTACAGTTGTGGACCATACTGGGTCGGTCATTTCAAGGACCAGCACTGTACCGGGGAAAATGTTGGGTTGGTTGATATAACGAGACCAAGAGTAGTTTTATGATTACATACAACATGAAAGACGATCACAGGCGAAATGTCAGGCATATCAGGCAGACCCCCCTCCTATTGTCCACATCCAAATCCCACTAAATCATTAACGGAATACTAACCTGACGGCTCCAGAAACTTCACAGTCATCCACAGTCCCCCGCCATCCTGAAATATGATATTGACATCCTCCACTCCGCACCCGCCACTGACTTCCACCTGTTGGAAATATTTCCATATCTGTTCTTTCAGTCGCGGTCCTTTTGACTGATAATGTTTGGGAGGAAGTCGAACGCGAATGGTGGCCTGCGAAAGATCTTGGGGATGTTCCATGGCTCAACTGAAGCCTGACAAGTGACCGGATGAAATTTATGGCAAGATTTGAAGCGGCAGGATAATCGACCCGACGAGACACAGTCCGGGTTGTCATTGCACATAATAATGGGGAATTCCCCCAAATTATAACCAGACTCTGCGCAGGCGCTTTCACATTTGACCGACATTTGCATGCAAAGGAAGCGGAGGCCTGAAGCACTGGAAACGTCACAAAGTTGTTTGCCGTTTTCGGTATTACAGGGCTCTGGAAATTCCCATTCCTGCAACGTCACACTGACTCAGACACAGTACGGGACTTTTTAATCTTATAGCGTAGAATTTCAGCGCAATTTATTTGTCCCGGCCCCAGTGCGGAAAGATCGAGCCTAAATTTCATCGCCTCTCTTCTAATGATATCCAAACTTAATTAATGTAGTGGTCTGGTACAACAAAAACACATTGAAATAAAACAGGCTCATTAGAATCAAACAAATTTTAATTACTTTCAAATGTTTGATAACACAGTTTGAAGACCGTTGCGTGCCCCTTTGTCCTAACTCATACCTAAGAGACACAAACTTCTGTTTTGGACTTTTTTTCATACAATTACTGAGGAGCTCGATTATGCATATTTTTTACTGCTTGTAATAAACTACTATAGCTACGTGTACATCATTAAAGATGTCAGATGTTGTTAAACTGATGTAACTTCAGCTGATGACCTTAGTAAACATTTGAATATTATGAAGTAAACTGATTCAAGTTTTCCTCGTTTGTACACATTTATATTCTACGATTCGTTAAATTAAATGTGTGAATTCACAATAGTGCCTTCAATCTGCTGATGCATGGTAGCTGTCTTTCAAAGCATTCTGTGTCCACCGAATTTTGCCTCATCTCTGTCACATGATGCCTTTTGCCGCCAAATCTTCCTTGACTCGCTTCAAGCAATAGGGATCAGGGTAACCGTGAATTGTTCTGGAAAAAAAATTAGACGATTATTGCTCAAATAAATAGTGTAATTTTTCTGCAGCAAACGCATTCAAAAGCGTACTACTAACAAAGACTTCTTTTAAGTCTGAATTGTCCGTGCACTTGGGCAAGGACAATTGCTTCGAGTTCGGTTACTCGGAGACTCAAAATTCAGCGCTACTAAAACCATCTCGCGACAAGTTAAGGAGTCGAGGTTGTTACACTCCCTGTTAAACAAGTTTTAGACCCTACAGAAAGTATAGCATAGCCACGAACACATAAAGCGCTCTTCATTTATTACAGCATATGATTGCTTATACATCAATTGATTAAATTGGGGGTTTGTAGGAATAGTGCATTCGTTAATGAACAATACATAGAATTTTATTCAATCAAACACAAGAATGGACCAAATTGGAGGCAAAGGGATGGCAAACCTTCCATGTCTTTCAAATTAACAAAGCGATTCCAAGGATTCTATCAAGTGTTTATATTTATGACGAAACCGTCTTTCCTTTGAACCCATCTCTGTAGCTGTATTTTTATCGTATTAACATTAGTGTAGTTTCATGACAAGCTCAGCAGATACACTGGATACGGCCGACTATAAAAAAGCAAAATCTATTTTTAATATACGTGTAATGAACATGTATTTATAATGTGCATTCAATCAAAACGCAAGAACAGAACAATGCTTTGTCCAGGTCTTGAATCGAGGAAGGCGATTTTTTTTTCAGAAAAAACCGTCTCTGCTTTTTTTTCTTCCTTTTTTATTTATCTATGAAAGAATCCTAATCCCCAAACAAAGATGGTTGCAACGTTTCTAAACTGCTTGCATTTTCAATCCCTCACAAATGTTTCTGGGAGAAATCATGAAATCACTATCTACATGTATAAGGATCTATCAATCGTAACAGACGTCTTGTATTATGCATGTCTGTACATAAATTCTTTCAGCGAATCTGATACAAAATAGTTCATCTACAGTCAGAAAACTCAGTAAGTTCTGTATTGTAAAACTAGTCAAACATTTTGCCAAAAACGGAACCTGTGTATCAGTTCTGTACATAGATGCCCTTATCAGGTGACGGCTAACAAATCAAATCTGACAGGAAAATAGGTGAAAACATAATTAGCAAAATAGCTCCATATTCAAATAACATGAATTGTGCTAACAAAATTCTCTGCATGACTTTGCTAGAATTCAATTAAGGACATTCAAAGACTAAACCAATTAAAGGCGAGATAGAGATACTGACATTACATGATGACAATGATGAGAGGATCAAGGGAGCTATATACATACAATTCCGACTCTCCAACCAGGCAGGGAGTAAAATTAATGTTATGTCCTATTTATGACAAGATTCGGATAAAACAGCAAAGTTATCTTAAGACAAAAAGCTGAACACTTGGAATTTCCAGTAAAAGAGAAGGCTACAGGTACATTTTCATCTACAAACTACAGTACCAAAATCTCCATATTATGGGAGAAAAAAATCTTTTTTATAACACCTTTCTCTGAAGTTTCTGGGGTTGAAGTTAGTTAAGTACATATGTCAATCTCTCTTCATTAACTTCAAACATGCATGTACCGTAATTTATTACCTTCTACTTCTTAAATAATCATGGTGCACAAGACTGAATTAGTATTGCAAAGCATCGAGCCTGTACAGCCATTTCCACAGTTTTAAACAGTTACAATTTCCACGGCTCCGAAAAGGTCACCAAAATGTTTTTTAATTAAGGTCAATCTACGATTTTTTTCACTTAAGCCAAACCTTCCACTTTCCTCTTGCCTCTTTCGGTTATAACGGTCTACAAACTTCACACTGCTAAGAGGAAACTACGGTATTTGTCGACAATTAAGACGCTGTCTAATACAACTTTATAATGTAACATAATCGTTTCAACTCTATTCCCTATGTTGCAGTGCAACTGTGAGAGAACTAAGTGATCCGCCCACTTCACGTGATTCATGCGATACCCTTTGCTGACAATTCTTCCTTTACTCTCTTCAGATATCCGGGGTCAGGGTAGCCAAAGTTGGATCTGAAAAAGTAATAAACTCATAATAATAACCGGAACCACATATCTCGAGCAAACATATACAGTGCATACAGTGCTTATTAATATACGTTGGGTAAGGGCAAAAAACCGTTATAT